AATTGTATTGCAGAGTAGATTTAGTGAGACAGAAAAAAAGTTAGAAAAACGTCACAGCGCCGCGTTGTGATATAATAATTTATAATGGAGAAAACGATTGCGGACAGTTACTATATACTAGTTACTATATACTCGTATATGTATGTTATATTCTAATTCTTACTCAGCATTGATTTTTACATCGGAACTAGTCAATTCTCGACATGTAAAAACTTATAAAAAATAATAATGTAAGCTCATTAGTCACAGTTAAAAGTGTGATATAATAAATATACATTGCATAAAATCATTTGAAAATGGTGATTGATAAATAAAAACGCCTTTTTCATAGAATTAATTTCAATTTTTTGAGTATATTTTACGATATATGAGTGAAAACTTTCGAAAGTTTTATTTGTTTTTAAAAATGTAGATTTCGTTATTTTAACTTATTCACCAGCTTACTGAATATATAAGCCTTGTTATGGTTTTTGATTTAAGTATATCTTCCTTATACATATAACATAAGCAAATATTTTAAAAATAAAGCGGCACTGTTATTTACCGTTTATACTTACCTACTACTTATGGTAAGACAGCCTAGTACTAATTATTTCTTTGGCCTTTTTGTTATATGTATATTGTAAGGGAATTTCCACAAAATCACTGTACAGTAAAAAAGTTTTATGTCTCTTATAATAAAGCTTTTAATTTTGTCCATCTATATATGTTGTATTTTCCAATGCTTATAGCATTGGAAAATAACACATATAGGTAGTTTAAAATTGAAATTAATATTTCGTGGTGAATTTTCCAAGATAGTTTTGCTTTAACAGGCAAAATTTGATAATATATTGCATGCGAGGCGATCTGAAATAATTATTTGATTGTTTAGAATTATATGCATTAATATGACCACTAATAAGACTTAAAGTGGTTTAAATTACATCGCCTTTTCAGCCTGTTTTCGTCCACTATTGACCATTGTCTTCCCCCGCAGAACGCCATGTAGCACGGTCCTGCCATGGCACTTACAGCTTCTCGCACATTTGCCCAGGTCGCCACTCCATCTAGTGGGGCGCCCCACACTACGAGTACGATGGCTATCACGAGACTGCCACTCGAGAACCTTTCTTCTTGGTTATCGGTTGCTGGAGCTATGGAACGAGCTATGCTGCATATTTTTCGGCGCGATATAGTGCGCAATGACGACATACGCAGTACAGCATTTTTTTTTCTGTGGTAGGGTCACGCAACGTTGTAGCACGAATGGGTAGATCCCCATAGATGATAGATGGATAGATATTTATTATAATATACAGAGTATATAATAATCGCTAAGAGATCTTTTTTCATTTTTATCAAAAGTTTTTTGAAACGAAGTAGTAAATGCAATCCAACTTAATATACAAAAAATTCGGTCGTTTCCAGGTGAAAATTAAAAACATTTGTTGGTATGTCATTGCTAACAGTTATTTATTTATTCCATTATTTTTAATAGAATAAAGAAATAGCTTAGATCCTGAAAACTAAAAAAAGATTAAGTCAAATTAGATTAAGTTTTGGATTTTAATAGGAAATCTCTTATTGAAATAGAAATTTTACGTAGGCTTAACATATTTTCTCTTGAACGTTTCAAGTTACTGTAGCGATGTAGTTACATTTAGATAGCCATTTATAGTAATTTGTTAGGTAATACACAAAAAATAGGCTTAATATATTGAGAAGTGGAAGTTGTGACGGATAAACAATAACAAATATGAACCGTAAATACTAGTCTGACAAATGATATATCATGCGAAGTTCAACAAAATAAATAATACTTCATTAAAAAGTAAAGTCATTTAAATTTCAATATCAACGGTCACATCTAGTTAGTTCGTTTTCAATATTTCATTGTATAATGTCACATGAAAAAGTGCCAGGTGAGATAGGTACATACGAATACGAGGCAGATAGGTATGAAACTAGCGCACCGAAACTGTGGCAGTAAAATCACACCAATTGATATAATTAGATTGCAATTCTATAGACTGCTATTTCTTTCCGTATCGTAGGTTCTATAAATCATCTGTCACCTTCAGTTACATATTATGTCAAATAAAATAAAGCGTAACAATTTTTAACCGCGCAGTATGGACATGCGTCATCTATATTATTAAACATTGTAAAAAGTGGTCGTTTGTTGTAAAGGAAACATTTCATGACGCTAAAAATTGCTTACAGTTAAACAAAGCTGTTAAAAGTTGTTAGTATTTTCATCGATGCGATGATAGGCCGTTTGGCTCAGTGGCTTTTATGTGAATAGGTGTAATCAACTAGGGTTGTCAATGTTTTTGGCTGCTTATAGTATTTTTCTAAATATAATAATATATACTTAAAAAATTTGAAGAAAAAATGAAGATGTCATTTATTCATCCAATTGAAATATAAAATGTTTTTATTTTATCTATTTTTTTTAATTTCAAACTCTTATGTAGACCCCAAAATTAGTATCTACATTACGATATATATTTTGGTTGGAAAAACTACAGTTAACAGACCATTGATTTGCATGTACCAAAAATTAGAAATAAATCATTTATTATTGTTGTATTATGACATATGAGACCATTTACAAATTAAAAATTAAATAACACAATATAAGCAAGGCTGTATAAAATATATGGTATAGAAATAATTTTGCCAAAAGTTATATTCCTATCAAGTATTTAACAAAGTAAAGTTTTATGTAATGTCATATTTATTAGCAGACAAGATATCATTTATTAACATTTCAAGATGATCTCATCGCTTGTCAAGTCGGCGTCAACAGGACAAATTCCCCGGAGAGGTACTGGCACGGAAATTTTTCTCTAGCCCGTATGTGTTGTATTTTGTTTCTGCGAGAAAATGCGAACATGGAATTTTCCTGATTTTTATGATGGTCATAGCTCACTCAATAGACGAAATGAACAAGTGTAAGCACTTCCTTAGGTTTGTGAGCCTCATAGTAAAATGGACAGCTGACGACAGTGTGCCTTTTAGGATTCCGTTGCAAAAAAGTCACTATCAAAACAATAAAACAATGAGTAAATGGGATTACGCCTCATTGAATTTAAAGACTAGTTCTATGATACTTTAATTTTAAATAAACGAAAAAAAAAATCATCGTTATCATTCTTTGTCAGTCAGTCAAGTTGTCATACATCCCACATTATAATAATGATACCAATTAACGAATATTCTTTCATTATTAAAGAATATTTTATAATAAATACATTTATAACGATTGTGTTTATAAAGAATAAATTTATAATACATTTTTTTTAATTTTTATTATTAAAATGCTTGCCAATTTCAGAAAGTAAAATACACAAAAATTATACGTCATCTCGTCTCGACGGAAAAATATGGTTATTTAAATATGGTTTTACTACTACTAATTTTTATATTGAGAATTGCAAATTTCTCATAACGTTCCGTTGATATTTTAATACGTGAAAATAATATGTGAACTTGGCCCTATGCCGTAACAGTCAATTCGTATTGGATTAGGAATTTCGATTTATGTAAACATACATAATATAGTACTTGTCGTTGTGGCTTGTATGACAACATTTTCATTGATTCCATTAACAATTTTTTATGAAGTATGCTCGATGGCAAATTGAAAAATAACTTTAATCTCTCAAACCGAAATTAAAAAAAACGTATAGGTAGAAACTTGAATTGACTGTTTTAATTCCTTATCTTAGGTTATATTTCACGAAGGTTATTATACTCCATTCCAGGAAAAAAGATCTTAAATTCCAACTTTAAGTTATATATGAGTAAAAGGGTCTTTATTTGTTATCTACGTATGTATTTATGAACATACAATTATAAAATTCGCCTTAGCAGGCAACATTAATATTCATTTTCCTTAATACCATTATTTAAATATATCTATCTCTCAAGAGATAAATGAAGTTATAGCAATATTTCTTTTCTTGGGACAATATTCACGTATATTCCACCTTTGGGCCCGATTAAAGGCCGGTAAGCTGAAAACTCCATCTTTTTCGGCGTGTTTTCGGATACTTCCACTCGGAACTTTGAAAATAGTTTCATAATACATATAAGAGACTGTACTTTTGCAAACCGCATACCTGAAAATAAAAAGAGCCATCAATTGCATGGATGATTTTAAAACGGAATCAATACCTAAATTTCATGCGGAATGAATACCTAATTAAAACATCACGCTCTTCGGTTAGGACAAAAAACCAATGAAATACAAGAAATCTTTCTCCGAATCAGGAGTAAAGAACCCTTGAAGTTAGTGTGTAAACTTCTCTTTATAACAATGTACAGTATAATATTACAGTGTATTATTTGTAGACTAGCTGTTATCCGCGACTTCAACCCTCGCGGCCAAAGTGAATTAACAATGAGTTTTTATTATACACCAGAACTTCTCACATGGCTTAATTTTTTCCTACTTAGTTAACACTTATCATTATCTATGTTTTAGACAATTCACACAATATCTTTATATATTATGACCTATGTGTTATTCTGATGTATAAGCTATAGTATTGTAAAGTTTCATTAAAATCTATCCAGTAGTTTTTGTGTGAAAGAGTAACAAACATCCATCCATACATACAAACTTTCGCCTAATATTAAGTAAAGAAGGAAGTGAGGATGTAATTTGGGGGCTTCAATAAATACCTATGTATATAATAAGATAATAATAAATAAATGTAAAGGACATTCATTATCATAAATGTGATATAGTTTCGTTTGGAGTTGGATTTTGTATATCGTAGTAAAATAAAATAACTAAGATTTTAGGAAACTTGCGTTTTTGTTTTCATTTATAGATAAGAAGAATTCATACAGAAGTAAAAATAAACGAACTGTAGATATAATTTACTCACAACTTATAATGTACTCACAACTAATAATGACAACATCAAGTGCGAAACACTTGTTTAAACTGCCATAGCATAGTAAAAGGCTTAATTTGAATTAGTCAATATGAACAGTTAACTCTACATTTTAATGAATTTTAACTTACCGATACAATTTCTAGGTCCTACTCCAAACGGCATATAAGCGCAAGGGTGCTGATCATTCATTTTTTCGGGTGAAAACCTCTCCGGGTCAAATTTCTCAGGATTTGGAAAATATTTTGGATCATTCTGGATACCTAATGTTGAAATTAGCACTTTTTGGTTCTTTTTTAGAACAAGGTCAACACCAGGTATTTTGTAATCAAACTGAGCTTTCCGCTGCAGTGGCTCAACCAAAGGATACTTTCGAAGTGTCTCATAAAAGACTTTTTGCATATATTTTAAATCTTTCAGCATTTCGTAAGTAACCTCGCCATTGTGTGTTTTCAGAACTTCATCTACTTCTGCTATCATTTTTTCTTGCACGTCTGGACTTTTAGCTAATTCGAAGAGCATAAAAGACATAGTTGTAGCACTAGTTTCATATCCGGCTGCGTAAAAAATAAACGCTTGAGCAGCTATAATACTGTCGGTCAGTTCGAAAGTCCGTTGTTTTTCTGTGTCAAACCTTTTCGCGCCCTGAATTTCGCCTTCTTGTCTCAATTCTAATAAAAGGTCCATAAAATCTTTCCTATTTGAAGGCACGCCGTTTCTGTCCTTTACAACTCTTTTGACTAAATCTTCGAAAAAATTTTTTATCACCGTCGGGAAAAGGGATTTATTGAGCTTCTTCAGAATCCCGGGGTACATCATGTCTAATTCGTTTGCGAGCGAGGAAGTAAATATTATTTTGTCCATTCGATCCAGCGCCTCCATTTTGTCACTTAACGTGTCGATGTCCAAGCCGAAAGCACAGGCTGATATTGTCGCTATCGTATATTTCTGGACAAGCGAATGCACCTCTTGCTCCTGCTCATCGATAACTATGTTACTGACGTATTTTATAAAGTTATCACCCCTCTCATTCATAAGATAGAGCATATTCTTCAATTTGCCAGATGTGAATATCGGTGTGAACCGGTTTCTTAGTAAACGCCACATTTCACTTTCTGCGTGGAACAAATTGGCACCAAGACCATCCTCACTAAAAGAAATTCCTCTGTCAGAGAAACAGTTAAAGTCTTTGATCATCACATGCCTAATAATATCCAAATCACGCAGCAGCAAACACGGCGTTGTCATTCTATAAACGCCAACCACTTTTTCATCAGGATATTCGTCGTAGATTTTCTTGAAAACTTCACCAATGTTAACTTTACGAAGAGTGGAAGACTTTAGATTGCCAAAGAACGGGAGAGGTTTAGGTCCCCTCACATTTCTTTTTTTCCAATAGTTAAAAGTCCTTGTGAAATAATAATATAATGCGTATGGTAATAATATGACTATTAAAAAAACATGAAGCAAATACATGTTGAAAGATGTGCGTCGAGCAATGTGGTTATTAACGTTATTAAAGCAGTGATTACTGAGTAAGACTTATTAATACTTTGTCTGGGCTTATCGTGAAATTTTATTATGAATAATACTATTAATACAGGTCATGCACAATTTTAAACAATTCCGTTAAAACAAGAACTTCTGTCGATAAGTAGTTCTTTTATTCATAACATTAATGTATGAAATGCAATCTTGTAATGGAATCTTTCAGTTTAATTTTCTTAAGTTTGAACACTTGAAAAAACGCCACAGCTAAGTAATTATACCCAGTAAATAGCTACTGGTTGTCCTGTAGCCATTGTTGTTACTAGACAAGTTTAGTGTTTATCTACCTACTGCGTCTTGATTTTAAATGCCAAAAATATAATTTGTTATCTATGGTTGTGCTACTTTTTATTATAATATGGAGGGTAGAATAAGGAGGACCGTCTCGTATGGGGGATTAGTCGAAAAGTGTCCACTTGTAAACATCAAATTATTGTTCGAACTCTCACCGAAATAGCGCTAGTGTAGCAAGTGGAAATGATATGATCTTAGCAGTTATAAGCAGAGTGAAGTGTGCTATATAGTGTGTTATATCGTTGAAAATATAAATTTTTATTTCTTCATTTATATTTTAATATATTGGACTGTTAATATATTGTATTGTTAATAATAAATATTTATTGATTACCTGTTAAATCCGTTTTGGTGATTTCGACATTTAGATAATAATTATGAAACCTCTATAACCTTTTTTCAGCACGCGATTGTCTAAATTATTGAGAATTTGCTTGTTAAAATTTTAATTGTTTTTTTTTAATTCTTTAATACTATATTCTATTTGCTATTTACAAATAATTGGGGTACTTGAAAACACTGTATAATTTTAATTTTATTCCATACTCATTTTTGTCTATATATATTACAATGAAATTTAAAAAATTGCGCTGTAGCAAAGCGGAAATGTTTCTTTCCTTTTTTAATTTAGTATCCTACTCTAATAATTTGTGGCGCTCTATTTAAAATTGTTCCACTTGCTACTATAGCGCCACCTTAATTTGCTCCCTTTCAACGGACACTTTTTAATACAATGAGATGGTCCTCCTACAATAATTTTACAATGAACAATAAAGTATATCGGTGAAAATTGCTATCACCCGCAACGTTACGCTGGTATTATAATTTATTTTAAAAATTATAATTTATTTTACTTATCTTCATGCTTGCGAGAGAATGTAGATTAAAAGTATTTGATGAAAGGAACATGAATAGTGCTATTTTTATTAAATATTTATTTCTAAATCCAATCACTTGTTTTGTTTAAGTTTTCCAATGAATTTTCTCTTAAAGGCTTGAACCGACCCTAACACGAGTCATGCTAATACTTGGATGATCCCTGAAATTCTTTGAAATAAAATTCTTTCTTAATATAAAAGCCTTCGGCTTCTTGTTTTATAAGAGCACTCTTGTAAAGCTTTGTGACTCACAATCTTTAAAATGAATTTAAATTTATTTTCCATACCTTGACCTTACTACAAACTTCAATTTAATAACTTCATTTTTATGAATAATAATCTATAGCCAAACATATAATTTAACAAATAGTACGCTTTTTATTAATTTCTTGTTTTTACGCATAATATCATCTACAACTATCGCACTCATTTTATACATACAATAGTGTTGTTACTATAGTAATATTATCGTTTTCCACGAGCATAAAAACATGGTAAGGGGACCTGTCGTTTAAGGCTGGTCTCAACAGACTTGTAATTATGACAATGATTAGTATAGCGGATATAATTATATGACATTATTAATGAGATATTCTGGTACCCTGTTTGTATTTATAATTACAACCATAAATCAATTTTCATAAATAACTCGTTATCTCCTGAGTGTTGGCCTCTTAAGTTTTGACGATTACTCTATAAATGAAACAATTCTAAAACAATATTCATTAGTTGCCTGGGAGCCCCATATTTACTTTTATGTATGGATGAGAAATGACGAGGTGTGAAGATGTTTACAATAAAAAATAAGCATTTTCAAAGCCGTATTTTATTATTAGTTTCGTGTATAATCCAAGTATAAAAGAAAACAACATGTAGATCACTTTGAAAAGACATTTATAAGTAATGAAGTTTAAAAAATAAAACCGTTTAAAAACTTTTAAGTTAAACGGTTTTATTTTATGTGCACTGAAAATTACAATATTGTATTGTCATCTAAATTAAATGTGTGTACCAAACAGATCAATCTGACAACGGGAAGGTGCTTAAATTTCAATTTCTAATTTTGACCTAAATAAATAAACAAATAAATTCCGTACGGGTCGAGCTAAATAAAACCGTTTAATAAAGAGTAAACTAAGTCCATATTATGACACATAGTCTGTGTTAATCCATATTATACATACATTTTTAAATGAATATTTTTAGGTCGACTTTGACCGGGCCACGTAACAGTCTTCACTGTTGCTCGAATGGTCAGGTCCGTTCGGGTAAGTACAACGACCTCACAGAAGACCGGCCTGAAGTGGAAGTTATACCTACCTCCACGTTTCGTCTGGTGAGTGAGGTAGCTGGGGCCCACATTATTAAAATGATGGCATTTGTAACCCTACGGGCGTTATTAAAAAATGTTATGTTATTTAAAAATGCATGTGCCAGAAGTGTAAACACAATATTTGATAATGAAATTTCAATTCAAATCTTATTTTAAACAAACTGTTATAGTTTTTATAAGAAATAAACTTCTTTAAACCGAATAAGCGGCGGTTATCACTTAACATCAGGTGAAAGCAGTTCACTGCAGCTTGTTCAAACTGCTCGCTTGACACCTTCTTACGTAAAAAAGGGTCCGACAATACTTCTGAAAACAGAACAACTCGCTCTTATATCCTGCCATTTAAAATATCTGCAGTTTATAACACTAAACAAAATGAGTTTTTAACTCACTTACTCAAAAGGACTAGTTGATTTTCTATAACAGTAACACGGCTATATTTTTAAAGCATTATAATTAAAACTAGTCATAATATTAGATGATATATTATAATAATATGCTAAAATTTACTAATATTATCATAGATTTAAATTAGATAAGATTAAAAGACGAATTAATAATAATATTAGAAAATCATTGATTATGCTCTTGGTACAATTTTTAAAAATATTTCATCTTTAGGTCCAATGATGGCGCGCCCAGGCGCAAACTCTATGACTGTTGCTGTGTTGTCCGATGTCTCTACTCGAAACTTGGATAAGAGCTTCAGTATACACATTCGGGATTGTACTTTGGCAAAGCGCATTCCTGTAACAGAAATACATAAATTTTTGATTAAATTACCATAGAGGTATTAATTAACCTTTAATTGAAAGCAATAAAAATAACAATATTAGCTTTAAGCTAACTAGAAAAACAACAGATTATGTAACGCTGCTCTTCCTTAATTTTATGACAGCTATTAAAACCATACTATTTACACATAAACAACATAGAAACATAAAATTATGAAGAGTAGTAGAATAGGTATGTATTATAAAATATTGTCGGACTTAAATAATCGCTTAAATTGTACAGGATTTCTTCATGGAAATATGATGATCGTGAAGATGCGGTCTATTTATAAAGTGACAGCCTGTATATATCCCACTGCTGAGCAAAGGTCTCCACTGTACAGAGTGTGTTAGGACATAGTCCACCACGCGACCACACGGCGGATTAGGAAACGTCAAATATCTTCGAAATATTTTTTGTTGTTACTTCGATAATATGTATGTTTTCTCACGATGTTTTACTTCATCGCTACGCACTATGCGAATATGATTTAATAGCTGATAACGTATATGGTCGTCAATATACGAATGGCGTACTGGAAATAGATTGTGTGATGAACATAGTGTTTTTCTAATGTCTGGGTGCTTATATATGTATAATATATATTTACTTTCAAAAGAAAATCATGTCTATCAGTTATCTAGTACCCATAATACAAGCGTAGTTTGGGACTAGAGAACGTTGTGTAAAAATGTGTCCTAAAAATAATAGCGTGGCGCTGTAAAAATCGCAGTCTAATAACTTTTCATTACATGAGTAACTTTGTGAATAACTTTACGTAAGTCGATGGATGCACGTGGCTCAAGATCGTGCTTCGTGGCAGTCTTTGGGGGAGGCCTATGTTCAGCAGTGGGCTCAAACTAGCTGAAAAGATTATGATGTTGTGAAGGTTTCACAACAATTTTTTTATTTTTAGATACGGCTCAATAGTTTAAAAAATAAAACTTAAGAAGTATTAATTGAAATATATCTTTATATTTATGGGCGCACAACTGCAAGCCACTATCATTTTATTTATATAGATGAATGAATGTGTTTTTATATATTCTTTGCATTAAAACTTACCAATACAATTTCTAGGTCCAATGCCGAATGGCAAATACGCGCAGGGATGACGGTCTTTAATATTTTCTGGAGAAAACCTTTCCGGATCGAATTTTTGCGGATTGGGGTAGTACTTCTCATCACGATGTATACCAAATGCCGAAACTGTCACCGTCTGTCCTTTTTTAATTGTCAAGTTGATATCCGGGATTTTATAGTCGACTTGTGCGTTTCGCTGCAGTGGCTCAACTAAAGGATACATACGCAACGTCTCATCAAAAACTTTCTCCATGTATCTTAAATCGCTCAGTGTTTCATACGTGACTTTGCCATTATGACTTTGCAGTACTTCGTCTATTTCTGCAATAACTTTATTTTGGACGTCAGGATTTTTAGCCAGTTCATACAGCATGAACGACATTGTGGTCGCACTGGTTTCGTATCCAGCAGCGTAAAAAACAAACGCTTGTGCCGCGATTATATCATCAGTCAGCTCAACAGTCCTTTTTTCTTCGTCATATCTTTTTGTCCCTTCAATTTCACCTTTTAGTCTTAATTCTAGCAGAAGATCCATGAAGTCTTTTCTGCTGGTGGGCTTACCATTTCTTGCTTGAATAACGTTTTTCACCAATTTTTCGAAGAATTTTTTCAACTCGACGGGAAAAAGTGAACCGTTAAACCGTTTCAGGATTCCCGGATACATCATGTCTAACTCGTGAGCGTACGACCTATTGAATATCAGTTTATCTAATCTGCTCAGAGCTTCCATTTCATCTGCTGTTGCGTCGACATCCAAACCAAAGGCGCAAGCCGAAATTGTCGCCATAGTATACGTCTGTACAAGTGGGTATATGTCGTGCTCATGCTTTTCTGTGCAAATTTTGCTAACATATTCAAGGAATTTGTCACCTCTTTCATCCATAAGATAGAGCATGTTCTTTAGTTTACCAGATGTGAAAATGGGTGTGAATCTGTTTCGAAGCACGTACCATATGTCACTGTCGGCATGAAATAGATTAGCACCCAAACCATTTTCACTGAAGGACAAACCTCGATCGGAGAAGCAGTTGAAATCTTTGATCATGACAAGCTTGATTATATCTAAGTCTCGGATCAATAAACACGGTGTCGTCATTCGATACACACCAACAACCTTTTCATTCGGGTAGCTTTCGTAAATATCTTTGAAGACCACACCTATGTTTAACTTTCTAAGCGCTGATAATTTTACGTTACCAAAGAACGGTACCGGTTTTGGTCCGATGATATTTCTTCTTTTCCAATAATCAAATGTCCTAGTAAAGTAGTTATATGCGAAATATGTCAAAAATAACAACACTGATAATACGTATAACACAGCCATGTTGGCTTCGTGAAAGTAACGATCGTGTCTTCTTTCGTTTCGATCTGAGAAACTCTTAGACCGTTAGTACACTTATATATATACACAAAGCACGTTTTATAAAATACATATATCATTGACATAAAGTTCTGATAAGAGCTATAAGTAGTGGGGACATCATTTCATTTTTCCGTATAATAATTTGGATAATGAATTTAATGTTGAAATTTTTGCTGAGCAATTTTTCACGTGGAAGTATAAGTGACTACAGCCGTTTCCGCATAAGCAGTGCAGTTGCAAATGCATTGTCCACCTTTGAAATGAGGGCCCCATTTACGGTTTGTCCTTTACATTCCCCGGTCGGTCTATTGATGAAACAGCATACTGTAACTGAATTGTAAACTGAATCGACCATTGTTATCAAACATCTTCCCCTATGTTAAAAGTCAAAAACTTTTTAAAGCACTTGTTTATCGAATTTTGAATGAAAGTTCTTAATGTCTAGGAAGTCGTATTGGGAATGTATTATATACCCAGTGACCTAACACGGTTTTTTTATTGGTATTAATAAATCTAGATAGTTATACTATAGAGAATGTAATAAATGTATGATTTGTTTTGTAATGTCTTCTTCTTGATATAAAACTACTTTTTTTTTAATTAGCACGGAACCCTAATTAGACCCTAAGTGAGACGCATTTACCGTGGCACCCTTGACCTATGTTCGATGTTTTTGTATTTAATACTCGACAATCGAATTAGGCCAAGTTCATTTATTAAAATATTTTCAATAATATTTAAGATACCGGTTAAAGATTTGATTGATATCCTCTTTTTAACATGTCTACTAAATCGCAGCGAATTTGCTGTTAGATGAATGGATCAGGCTATTTCTTGACATTAATTTTTTGATATTCCACTCCTAAACTGGGATATCTATTTTTTTGTGAAATATGATTCGAATTAAAATGCAATAAAAAGTGGCCTTTCGTTTTTGGTTACAAATGAAAACAAATACGTGTGATGCGACTTTCTTTATGCTCGATAAGTTTTTAAGTTTTTAAGTCCACAAGGACGAAGCCGCTGGCAAAACCGTTTTAAAAGTATATCATCTTAGAAACTTTGATCAGGGACGAGAAGTGTAATTCAATGAGTAAGTAGGTTTTGAATGACATATTATTTAAAGTCACATTTGCTTTTAAAATAAGAACTTGGGCAGAAATTTAATACCAACAAATTTTACATAGAGCAAACAAAACACTATTTATCGCCAAAACGTCAATGCCAATGTTTTGCGTTACATTTAACCTTTGACTAAAAAAATTAAAAAGGATATTTTGTTCTTTGATTTTAGCCCGTACTATGTAGGGGTTGAACTGGTATGGTGCGAAGTAAAGCAGTGGCCAAATTTAAGGTCCAATATGCATAACTGCGTCACTACATAGTATAAAACAAAGTCGTCCCGCTGTCTGTTTGTCCCTATAATTATATGCTTAGATCTTTAAAAATACCCAATGGATTTTGATGTTTGTGATATTTATAATTTGTGCATAATATAGTAGAGAAACACTGTTATTTTAGAGTTTTTTAATGCGATGTAGTAAACAAACATTCAGCATAGCACCCGTGCGAAGCCGGGCCGGGTCGCTAGTATATTTATAAAACGTTACCCAGTTCTGGATGCATTACATCTATAGCTAGTAGGTCACTGAAAGCTACTTAAAATATTTATTTCGTAAATAAATATTTATTACAGATATATAAACAAAGCCCTGAGACTAGAAATACGTCCATCAAACTATTAATAATATATTCATCACAAAATAGTTTTCCAGTAGTAAGGATCCAACCAACCCACACCTGTGTCGCAAAATATAAGGTATCCCATTTGGGTCATTATATCGACAATGTCAAAAGTCTTTTATTTACTTTATTTTATAAAAAGAATGGAAAAATAATTTTTTTTGGTTAAAAAACGGTTTTTCTCGATTTCCGGCAAAAATAAAAATCGAAAATAAAACAAGTTTTGGTTTTTTGAATTTTTCACATAAATTTATTTGAGTCTTTGGTTTTTTATTTTTATGTTAAAAAAAAAAGTTTTTTTTACGAAAAAACCTTACCATTTTATGTCCCAAAAAGCTGTAATTTATTCGATTAAAAATATTAATTAATTTTTCACCTTTTTTGATCTTTTTATTACCCCTGACAAAAAACGTTTTCTGTTTTGCTACTTTTGATGGTGACTACTATCGTAAATTTCGATACGACTTTTAGTTTTGCCGGAAATCAAGAAAAACCGTTTTTTACCCTTAAAAACTCACCCCCATCCCTTTCCCGACCTCAGATCGCCCGTAAATTATTTTTCCTTTCATTTTTATAATATTCCCCTCCTTTTCTAATGGGTTTCATCCTACTATTATTTTTTTTGGTTTTAAAAATTATCGACCCTGGTCTATTACTAGCACTTTCCTGTTACTGGCACCTTTAATATTTTAAAAGTAATTGTCACTTTAGAAAATTTATTTATAGAATACTTGTTAAAAAGGAATTAGTGAAATAAGATTTAAAAGTTCCAATGTCGGCATAATAAAATAATTACACCACTAATATTTTATCTATTCCCGTTGAATGATATTGTTACGGAAGTTCAAGATCACAGTACTCTGTTTATCCAGTACCTTGGGCTAAATTTTTGACACCAATTTAGAAATAGATAATTAAGCCTGATGCTTTTACTACAGTAAATGCTATATAGTATATAGCTAAAGCGTTTAATGGGAGAACGTGGCAAGCGTGCTCCACAAATTGTGCTTTACTAAATTTACAACATTTTCCTTGGAAATTATTATCGTAAAGCACGGTGGTTTACGATAATAATTAAATAATTATATCTATATTATATATAGATATTATACTATATATTATATATTATGTATAATAATTAATTAGAATAACGATAATCCGTTAAGTCGATGGATGCAGGTGGCTCAGGATCGTATTTCATGGCAGTCTGTGGGTTAGGCCTATGTTCAAGGCAAGAGTGAATAGGTTTTTACTGAGCTAGCGCGCTTACCATCAAAGGCTGCATCGCCACTTACCATCAGGTGGGATGGCAGTCAAGTGCAGGCCAGTTCTAAAAAAAAAAAGACTCAAACAGGCTGAAATTATGATGACGACTGTGATGATGGTGGCACACATATTTCTATACACTTTCTTCATATTTCCGTTCTTATATGGGCAAACATTTTCGGTTCTGCGTCGGTCACGCGCCCAAGACTTGTTTACAATATTTTGATCACAATTGACTATCTACATCTACAAAATACCATATTTTTAGTTTCGTCTCCAGTGTAGAGACTAGCACTTAATTATATATTTTCTGCTCTTCCAAAAATTCCAATAAAAGAAAAAAATGTTTTCTTATCGGTCACCACGCTCAAAAAGTGTAACTTGAATTAATATCAAAGAAAAAAACACTGCATAAATAAAAAAAAATAATTATAATTGCATAAGTTGATAAAAAATGCTATGCAATAGCTTTATCGCGGCAGTCCCCGAGTGTCACAGTTATATTAATATATAACATTATCAGAAAGAAATATATTTTTTTAGTTAGTATAACACCTACTTTTCAAAAACTCCACTAAAGAGTTACAATAATATCAGTTTTCATGTTTATTCCGTAGTGATTGAAGTGGCAGTTACGCCGGAGTTATGCAATTCGAATCCCAAAGAGTTGCCAATTCCTACTCCAAAAACTCATTTGCCTCACTACAGTTCTTGGCTTGGCAGTTAAATGTATCAAAATTGTGATCTCAAAATAATATCTTGTGAAATCTCAGCAATAACTATCTGGTTTGCTTGAGTTTTGTTCGAGCGTTATTAGTATAAAGTAACAGTGTATATAATTATGTCCTACTGGTGGGCAAAGACCTGTACAGAGGGCATTAGAGCATAGTTTACCACACGACCCCACTGCGGGGTGCGGACTTCACATAACATCTTCCAAACAATTTTGTACCATTCTTTTTGTTATTATTTAAAAAATATGTAGGTTTCGTCAAGACGTCCTTCGCTGTTGAGCAAGCGATGTATGTGAATACTTAACGAAACACATCTACGGCAGGAGCGGCTGGTGTTTTGCCGCAGATGTCGCCAGGCTGCCAACGCTGGTCGAAGGAGCGCGCGAGGTGGACTTGCGTCGCTTCCTAATCACACCGAATACACAAGGTTTCACATAAGGTTAGTAACTTTTTCATGTTAGAGAGTGGCAACAGACCTGGCGTGTCACCTGATGTTAAGTAATGACCGCCGCCCGCGGTGACGGTTGTTGCAAAGGTCCAAGATGCACATACGTTTGCCAACTTTAAATAAAGTGCGCCCCGCCTACTTCACTCACCAGACGAAACACAGAAGTGTAACAATTTCACTTCACGCTGGTCTTCTGTGAGTCCTAGTAATTGCCCGGACGAACCTGCCCATTCGTGCAACAGCGAGCGCTGTTGCGAAGCCCTACCACAGTTAACATTTGTTATAGCGGAGACGTCACTTACCTTTGTTTTTCGAGTCACAGTTTTAGTACTTTTTTGTTTTGCATAAAATGAAGCAAGTGTTATTATGACTTCCCTGGGGCTAAGTTTCGTTTATCGCTGCACATTCAGCGTAATCTTTTGATTTAGAATATTTATATGTTTCTGTCAAAAAACTATTGACAAAAATTTTCCTCCACACTAAATAATTCCTTTTTTATGGGAGACGGTGGCAAGCTAGCTGACAGTTAACCTTTAGTGATAACCGACACCCATTGATGTTTGCAACACCCGTAGAGTTGCTACCTTATAATAAAGTGTGCCCCGGCTACCTCACTCATCAGACGAAACGCAGAAGTATAACAATTCCACTTCACGCCGGTGTTCCGTGAGGTTTTGGTACTTACCGGGACGAACCGTAGGAGTCTTGTTGCTAATAATAATATAATTATTGTGAACAGAAGTAACAAATGATTTAATACGATCCCTTGAAGTATGAAAAAAGCACGCCCAACATTTATGCTTCTGAAAATATTGCCAAACCGAATGGACTGCCTAATTGATTTGAATTCATCTTAATTTCAGGTCGGACATGAAAAATCTTGAACAGTTGCTGGCTGTCCCTATCAGCGAACTGGTAACATTCACCTCTCTGGCAAACGCAGCCACACTGCTCACGTGGACAAAAGGCATGTGTTTATGTAAATCATAATAGAGTTTATAAAATAAAACTATCATCGAAGTAGCACAGCGAACTTCAATCCGGGGTCGCGGGTTCAAATGCCGTTCGTATTTTTTTCGCGTAAACACCACTGTGCCACATTTGTGTTTGTTGCGCGGCGATACTCTTATCTTTTGACGTTTGTTGGTTAATTAGCATTTAACTTGAAATACGTTTATAATAAAGTTGTAATATAGGCATATATTCGTTAAACATATACCAAGCTAGTGTAAATAGTCTGTTATCATCGTCCAAAGAATTGAACCTTATCTGTTTAAGGCCGTTGAACTCATAAATTGTCATGAGCTCGCCGTAGGCAGCAAAAAACACTTGGAAGGTGACAATTGTGCCCAACTTCCGGGTCTTACGGCGACGTAAATGTGGCAGAGAGCGCAACAGGTGGCGTCCTGCTTCCACGTCTAGGCTTATAGGCTCTAAGTCAGTAGTAGATTGCGGGAGAAGATGCGCGATATGCCTGAAATACATATATCCGCAGAAGGGCGGTCCGCCCGTAAGTGGTCGGCGGGAGATCGCGGGCGCAGAGCGTGCCGCCGCGCGCGTTTCCCCCACCACACGCACCCCCCTATTCTCTGTTAGCAGGTTAGTTTCATTAAGCTTTACTGGAAGTTCCATTAAGCTTTGTCGTCGGTGCCACAAGCCCCCAAAGTGGGACACCACTATGGGGGCTTTCTGGAAAGAGACATCTTTCCAGTTTTGCTAGTGCGATCGAACAGTAGCCAGCCCACATAAGCAGCACTTTGAGCACCTAGACCGGTGAAGTAAAAAACAGGTCTCAATAAAAACACGCCCCGAATATAGTAAGTAAGTGAGGTATCCTACAAGAACGATAATCCGAGGATATAACATAGGAATTAAAGGATTTACACAGATAAAGATATTTATTATAAAATGTTCACAGAGATCACTCTTTTCTTCATTATTTGATCCGGCGTCATGAGATACTAATTACTTTATAACTGGATTATATAACCATTAGTTTTCTTTATTTAATGGGTTTAAAAACATCCCTGTTGCAATTTCTTAACCTGCCCCTCCTAACATGCAACAAGAATTCCTTTGTGAAGGAACAAAGCAAGTGTTGTTTAGCAAGTACTACAATGCAGGGAACTATCTACGATTGATTTGCAGTAGGCTGTTCACTCGGTGGGAGCTCGATAGACAATGTCCGAGGACTTGGACTCGATCAGCGAGGAAGAACGAAGCTTGTTCCGACCTTTTACACGCGAGTCACTTGCCGCTATCGAAGCCCGCATAGCTGAGGAGCATGCTAAGCAAAAGGAACTCGAGAAGAAGCGAGCGGAAGGCGAGGTGAGCCAACACAAGCTACAAAAACACATACACGCAAATGGTCGTGCTCTCTTTCACTCTTTTAACAACGTGTAACCTTGAACTGTTCCATACCATAACGATGACGATAGTTTGTCGTTTCTTAACCGTTAACAACAACCTAATAACGACATCAGACCTACAACTCAACTCACTGAAACCAAGACGGAGGTCTACCTAAAGTTCTGACAAATAATTTTTAAATTATTCCAGAACGATTTGGGGCGGACGAAAAAGAAAAAAGAAGTAAGATCGCTTGCTTGCCCCTTTTACCTTTTTACAGCTCGTTTTTATTAGAAGAATATTTTACAGCAAGTTATCGCTTGTTAAGCAAAATTTACTAAAACTAAAAACAACGTCAACGCTAATGACATTGGTATAACACTTACTTTTGCGATAACTTGCAATTGCATTTCGATTTGTCCGCATTAATTGCATTTAATGCATTATTACTGAACACATCGCTTTGTTCGCAAAGTTATGAGCAAGATCTTTCCTTACCGTAGTTTATTAAAGGAAGCTTGTCATATTGTTTTGCATAATAATTACAATACTTTCATCTAACAGCCATGTATAAAAATGAAAATAACTACATAATTATATAAGAGCAATGTCCTATACAATAAATATGTTCCAAAGAATTTATAATATCTCGAATATTCGCCTATTAAAGTCATATCAAAAACAAATGATATTTATCTCATCTAAGTGAAACCAGTTTGGTATAAGTTATTCGTAATTTTATTCCAATGTTAATTTTCAATACGCACATTTAAACCTCTGGGTGTTTGTGTACAACATAATCAAGCAAAACTGAACAATAAGCAAATAAACACAAATCTCAGGGAGCACACAATCATCATGCATTGCACATGACTGGCCGGTATCCGCCACCCCATCATGGCTGTTTCATTCTGGCATGGTGATATCACCTAGCTATTTTAGTGCGTATAAATTAACGATACGAACTCCTATTTTGGGAGCCTATGTCGAATTTGTTGCGCCGTTGATATTTTCACGGCGTCGCCAAATTCGAAATGGCGGCAAACTAGCGAGATACGTTCGAGCAGTGCGCTTTTAGTTTGCCAAATGCATCATGGTAACACAGGCGGCACTTGAACTAGATATCAAATAGCTTCAAATGCGTACTCACATGCTGTACTCACACCATATCGAGAACACTCAACGATTGGAATCAAATGTTAGTCATTGCTAATACGTACAACCCTCATCAACAACCCAAGCTTACCGTAGTGGTGTTCAATGAACAAGACATGTAAAGATGATATACGAACATACGCATAATGAAAAGCCAACGAAAATACACTTCAATCATTCTGTTCTATAGTCACACAATTCACAATATTGTAGTGAAGGCGGTCATAACGTTCATGCATTTTTAATCGCAAATGTTTTCAAATGCTCGGATGTGGCAGGTGCGTTATGATGACGAGGACGAGGATGAAGGTCCTCAGCCAGACGCCACCCTGGAGCAGGGCCTCCCACTGCCGGTGCGAATGCAGGGTTCCTTTCCTCTGGAGCTCGCTTCGACACCACTCGAGGACATCGATCCTTTCTACCACAACCAGACAGTGAGTATCATAATATACGTAATAAAGTATGGTTCTTTGCGCTCTGTTGTTCTCCACACCACGACATGTGTGTCAAAAAACTCGTTGATCATAGTTCTTCCTGTCATAATAAGATGTTTTCTTGTACAAACATATATTTAACTATAACTATATTAACTTTTTCGATACTCATTAAGGCGGTCTATGAATACTATTGGATTTTTTTCTTTAACTGATAGTTGCTAATAGTTTCTTATCAATGATATTTAGTATAGTGACACGATACAAATAAAAAGAAATTGTAACATGGCATCAATTTGTGTTGTATAACCGAAGATATTATCAAAAAAATATATATTTTTAGTCATCTTAGCTGTATCATCTTAAATTTTTAAGCGATATCAATCAAATAAAGTACGGTTGTCAGATTAAATTATAACTGCAGATATTGATAAGATTTTTTTGTTACAGACATTCGTAGTGATAAGCAAGGGCAAAGATATCTTCAGATTTTCGGCAACCGACGCTTTATGGATACTGGATCCTTTTAACCCCATAAGAAGAGTGGCAATATACATATTGGTTCACCCGCTATTCTCTCTGTTCATTATAACAACGATATTAGTCAACTGTATATTAATGATAATGCCTACCACGCCCACAGTCGAAAGTACTGAGTGAGTGTCAATTTCAACAGAATATTTAATTATCATTCCGACTAACGAAATAACAAATTTCATATAATCATTTGTAGAATGCACGCTAGTTTCAAAATTGTTAGTTTCAAGCTAGTTTTCCAGTTATTGATAGGTGTTTAGATATTATTAAGCATTTTTAGAAAAATATATGCATAGTTTTGTAAAGATATCGAAACTTGTTAATAAAATGTTCAGATGCAAGGTTACATTTAGATAACCTTAGTCTTTTTCAATTTATAAAGTTTATTATATTATGTATAAGAAATTAATTCGATAAAGTTTTACTACTTACTATATTAATAAATTAAAATAAATCATTTTTTAGATATTTTATGTTCAAGCAAACTGAGTTTTTCAACAGCCCACATTTTCGAAGTACGGTAAAATTACATTTGAAACACACTTATACAATTTTTGTTATTTATAGTATTCATCTAATACCTATATAATAAAGAATGGTCAGATTACCAGATTTTTGATTTGTAAATATTGTACTGTTACTTCAAGATCATTTAGACATAGTTGACATAGCATCTTCCTTTATTGTATCGTTAATGGATATTTAATTCTCTTACGATCTTATTTAATACTCGTTATATGCGTTACTGACATTAGAGGTTGACATTTTACTTATTATTTCACTCAGAACTTTGTATATGTATTGTTGAGCGGCGTTCCACAATGGAGGTGAATTTTTACAGAGTTATCTTTACCGGGATCTACACGTTTGAATCGGCGGTGAAAGTAATGGCCAGGGGTTTTATACTACAGCCATTCACATACCTTAGAGATGCATGGAATTGGCTTGACTTCGTAGTTATAGCTTTAGCGTGAGTAGTAGACAATTTATTATGATTATGTAGTCAATTGATATAACCGTTCAACAGTAGATTTTTGTCGTTATCTATTACTAAATGTCTTTTTCAAATAGCTGTATTATAGAGAAAACAATTACCGCCGGTTTTAGAGATTACAAACTGGAATCAGGAACACTACAAATTTATGTTTTACCGCTGCGGATAAAGTTCGCCTGCAAGCGACAATATTTCTTCATAAAAAGGGATAGAACAAAGTGGTCTTTCTTAGAGTAATAATAGAGTAGTAGTTATAGATATTAATATAGATGTTGTGGTTATGGGTATGTTTACAGTTATGTGACGATGGGCATAGATCTCGGCAACTTGGCCGCGCTCAGAACGTTCAGAGTTTTGCGAGCGTTGAAGACTGTGGCCATCGTACCGGGTAAATTTATTTGTATATTTAAACTTACGTAGCACACGATTTAAATTATGATGTACACGCTTCTGTGTTAGAAATGCTTAGTAAACGGTTAAAAGGCTTCAGCAGTATAGATGTAAACGGTTGAAGGTTCTAAACAGCGTGTGACGATATCCAAAGTTTGTACTACTAGTTTACGACACGAGTGTGGTTTTGCAATTGTTTTCAAGGTTTTGTAATTTGAAAGATAGCATTACATGGCACGAGAAAATAATTATACTAATCGCTCGCATTTATCAGGATTGAAGACTATCGTGGGAGCGGTAATAGAGTCGGTGAAAAATCTGCGCGACGTGATCATATTGACTATGTTCTCGCTATCTGTATTTGCGCTAATGGGTCTGCAAATATACATGGGGGTATTGACACAGAAATGCATCAAAGTATTCCCGGAGGACGGCAGCTGGGGCAACCTTACCGATGAGAACTGGGAGAGATTCTGTCAGAACGAAAGTAAGACGTTATAAAAGAATTAATTGAAGGAAGTGATTTCTCGTTTATAAACTCAACTATAACGTTTCAATTCCAGCGAACTGGTACGAAGAAGGTGGGGAATATCCGTTGTGTGGAAATTCATCAGGGGCAGGGTACGTATGTTAATTGGTATTCTAGCTCAATTTACTAATTGATTTATTTAACATAAACCTTCATTTCCACAGACAATGTGAGCCTGGTTACGTGTGTCTGCAAGGATATGGTCCAAATCCCAACTACGGCTACACAAGTTTCGACACCTTTGGTTGGGCTTTCTTGTCCGCTTTCCGGCTCATGACTCAGGACTACTGGGAGAATCTGTATCAATTGGTAAATTTTCAACTTGTTGCTAACAAATACCCATGAAATATCCATTATTCTTCATGGCAACATTTTTTTAATTGCTTTACATGTGTTTGTTTTTACCCACATGCTTAAGCATAATTTATCCTTCAGGTTTTACGGTCAGCCGGCTCTTGGCACGTTTTGTTCTTCGTAGTTATCATCTTCTTGGGCTCATTCTATCTCGTCAACCTGATCTTGGCCATCGTCGCCATGTCGTACGATGAGTTACAGAAAAAAGCGGAGGAAGAAGAGCAGGCCGAAGAAGAAGCGCTCAGAGTAAGAGAATTTGTGCTAATATTGGCTAAATGCCAAGTATATTTTTGCTGACGTATAATATTATTGAAAAGGTCTTATGACAGACGTATGGCTGTAATTTTTAGTTAAATGAATGTTGTTTACATAAAGGGATAGGTTCCGAATTATACACACAATTAATTTCTATTCTTTATGGACTCTGTACGGAATATATTTTCTCCTTAATTTTTTACGTCATAAATTAAATTTGAACTGCACATGGCATAAATCAATACGTGATGAGTATTGGATATTGAAATAGCATTACTTCATGTCGCAGAAGTTTTACAATTTTGTTCAATTATAAAGTGAGAGGAAAAAGAAAAATGAGCCATTACAGTTCATATGTAAAATAGTCACTCGTGTTATTTTAAAAACACATAGCCAAAAAGCGTAGACCTGCACGTGGTTGATACGTGGACGCCGTAAATCCCCGCTTACTGTGAAGGAAGCCGAGCAAAAGGCAGCGGCGAGGGCGGACAAGCAGGAGGCGAGGGAGGCGCACGCTCGGGAGCAGGCCGCGGCGGCGGAGGCGGCCGCGTACGCTGAGGCGCACCCCGCCAAGTCGCCCAGCGACTTCTCCTGCCAAAGCTACGAGCTGTTCGTGAACCAGGAGCGCGGGAACCAGGACGACAATACGCGCGAGCGCATGTCCCTCCGTAGCGACCCCTTCCAGGACTCGGTGAGCACTCAGCCCGCGCACAAGCCCACCGCCGAACCGCACCACGAACCGGCACGCCGCCAGAGGAAGGTCAGCATGGTGAGTATGCCCACACACACACGCAACACGCGGCCGGACATGATTCAAACTGCGCGTTCGCTATTGACTACCCACATGAACGGGACCAGTGGATAAATTTAATTCCAATACGTTTCAAATATATACAGCGTGTCGTTACCATCGCGACAATAAATAAACACACGTCTAACGCTACTTGCCAATAATCATAAAAAAATATTAACGTTAAACAAAATGCATAATTAAAAAAATATATTTTTCAAACAAACTAATTAAGTAAAAAAAGAAATAAAATTTGTAACATCCTATACAGCTCTCGCATTACAAGCTTCTCCTTCTAACAGTATGTTTTGTCACTTTTAAATTCATTCAACCCATTCACTTTGTGACCTTTACAAATGAACTTTACGTTACGCTTTTATAGGTAAGGGTGTTATAAAATTCTTTGTTTTTGGAAATTTTAATAACTCTGTAAATATTGTTGTTTAAAGAATTTAAATGTTTAATACAACTTTAAAAAGTTATCCCCTATATGTGTTATTCATTGTCGCGATGGTAACGACACGCTGTATACGAGTATATATAGGAGGATAAATCACAAAACTTTTATTCTAACTACGTTAACAATTTACATTAGCAATTATTTAATCTTTGTTTTTTTTTACTGTTAATTATAATTTTAAAAGTCTTGACTGCAATAGTAACTTGATGAAATTTGCAAGTGAATGTGCCTTAAAGATCTCTTCAAGCCAAAGAATATTTGAAAAGGATTCAAGCACTTAGACAGACTCTCAAGGCAGACTCAGTACCATGTAATGCAAAACCAATGTGGGTAGTTAAAGTTAGTTTTCATTTAATACCCATAACCATATATAATTTAAATTATTAAATTATATAATACATACATAATTTAAAATTTTACGCAATTCTAAATGCAATATACTGTTAAGTAATCATTTTTGAATCATTGTCGGCCGAGCGTTACCTTTTCAACTTGATAATCATGCTATTTCTTTTGAATATTTTATGTTTGTGCAAATTGAGAAAATCATGTTATTGAAACTAAACGTACGCTTTAAAGCGAAGATGCTGATACTACTTGGCAATATACTTAAGATTCAAGTTGAAAAGAAACCTAATCAATGTCTGTTGCTGAAAGCTTACCTAAGTCTTCACGTGTTTCCACTCCTTAAATTAAATTCTAAATTTTTAACAGCAAATATACAGATCGTATTATTATCACATTACTTTCCTGTTTAAATTTGCATTGAACATTATTTTATAAATATCTGAATATTTGCACAACGTTATTGATAACCTCTTGAATAATTACTTCATTTATCATTTCTGTGCAATACTTACTGCAGCTTCGAGGCATGCATGAAATTTTTTTATTAGAATTACCTCATGGATCAAACTTTCTCTCATCTATGATTTGTTATGTTCAATTTATCTCGCCTGCAATTCTCTCCATTCGACGTTTTCTTCATTCATTGTGCCTATTTAATTTATACATAAACACCCTATAATTAAATTGATTTCATTCAATTTTCTATAATTTTATTCCTCATTTGCTTAGCAATAATTCAGAATAGAGAATCAATTAATTTAGTTCCTTTTTTATAGAATGCCGATTTATCCATAATAGCATGGTAATTGACCATTAATTATTTTCGCCAGTACTTTGGAATGTTGCCTTACAGTCAGGCATTGTAGTTGTGACTCTCATTCCTATAGATTACCTCGGGCTCCAATAGTATTTTAAACTTATGGTGTAAACACCTAAGCGGTTAGTGTTACAAAAATGATATTATCGAAGGCGGCTCATGATTATAATGCTTTCAATTTAAAAGGAACCGTAAATACTATTGGAGGTATTGAGTCTATTGTCATGTTAGATTGTTTCTTTCGTAATGTGAACGTCCACGAACGGGCCGAGCTGAAACTGAACATAGCATCGATGAAGAGGTAGGTTCGGTCAACATAATTAATTTAATATAGCAGCCAATAAAGCAATTATAACTTTCACATTAATTCCTCAATTTCGATGAGTGATATGCGGAGGCTTCGCAAGTTGAACACGAAAAAAGAACAGTCGTCATGACCATAGATGTAGTCAAAAATCCGTTTTGTTATGATTAATGATGTTAGAAGTAATACAATCAATATGCATGTAGTTCAACACTATTACTTCATGTGTTTATAAACAAAGTTACCTGACTAACCGTCGCTTTCATTCATTATCATCGCTTGATTCTGTATTTGGTATTGATTCTGCAACTTGCAATAAGAGTTTTACGGCGATGTTCCAGCCTTAGCGCCGTCCAGAAAAATTCTTGTTGTAATCGAAATTGACGTTTGATCTAGAATTTACGTAGATATGGCGCTATTGAAAGATCACATTTTAATTTCTCTCACAATTTGCTTTGAAGCTGCAATATCACTCCTATCTTCCTTTTCTTTTGCCTGCTCTGAATCCTTTTCCTAATCAGTCTATGTTTATTTATCTGCATATAACATTAAGAGGGAAATGAAAATTAAACAAGTTTTTTCGTGTATTTAAGGTTCCCCACCCTGAACGCATAAATAAATACGGGCAGTTACCGTATGGGCCACTGCGGGAGGGCTCACAGGTTTGTCCAACAATCCTCATTGGTGTTTGTGTGCCCCAACCTCTTCCTTTTTAATCTAGAACCTAAAGGTTTCTTTTTACTTTCTTCTTTAGTCTTCTTATTCCTAATTACAGTTCAGTTAAGATTTTCTTGACAGTCCAATTGCAGCAATTCATGTATTAATAATTAAAGTATTATTTTAAAGAAGACTTTTGAGCTTACATTTGACTTTGAACTTTACGCTATCATCGTGCATTGATGCAATAAGACATTTGATTTTATCGTTTTCTGTGAACTATCCTTTTCCTTGCTGGTCTCTTTGATTTGTCATTTGTTTATTAGCACATGAAAGTATAACAACACCGTTCTCTGAAAACTTGTAAATTACGTATTCTAACTTTAGGTAAAGCCTCTGCAACCTACTCCCTTTAATCAGTACGTAATCCATTTCATTCAAAACTCGATCTTAATTGAGGAACCATTGTACTTTGAATATTGATTATATCACAATAAAACTGTTTATTACTTATCCGAACCGATGATGAAGAAGAACAAAATAGGGAGAATTTGCCTTGGTGTGTGAGATTTGTAAGAATGCTAATACAATTAAAGTTTGACTACCATGGCAGGCATCATTATCTCTACCCGGATCGCCGTTCAATTTGCGTCGGGGCTCACGGGGCTCGCACCAGATGGCACTTAGGCCGAATGGAAGGTCCCGCTACCCACCTGGGGCCGATCGGAAACCTCTCGTGCTATCAACGTATCTCGACGCACAGGAGCACCTTCCGTACGCCGACGACTCCAACGCTGTTACACCTATGTCCGAGGAAAATGGTGCTATTATAATACCAGTTTATTACGCTAATTTAGGTATGTATAAATTAAATAAACAATTCAGTGAGTTAAGTACTCATATATTTATATATCTACATATACTCATAAATGTATATATCTTCATTTCTCATAATCATGTTGTTAACGGTATTTGGATAAGTTGTCTACGACCGTCCATTTGACGTCCCCCCTTGGAAATAAACACCCAGATTCGGAACAATTATCTTTGGGTCACACATATCTTGGTTAAAAATGATGGTTAAAGCATCTATCTGGGTACGAATCCGAAAGACGTAGGTTCAATTCCCACAGCGGCGAAAAACTTCGTCCATTTTTTCTACAAATTGTAATAATTTCAACTAAGTACCTACAGAGATTAGCGTTATAAAAGATTTAAAGATGATAATTATGTACTAATATATATCTAAAATGAACAATAATATTCAAGTATCAACTCATAAAAACAAATTGTAAGAGTTATATAAAATCATTAGTTTTAGCAGTCCACTCCAGAAGAACGTCTTGAATTTGTGATTACTTCACGTACCAACAATTCGAGATAATGACTTTTTATATTTTAATACCAGTGTTCATTCTGGTACCTTCTTACAACCTTCTCATTGAGGGAAATATTTTGCTGTTTCCATTACGCTCTAATGCAAAAAAAAATTATACAGTAGTTTTCTTGAGACGTTTTGAAAAGCTTTCTTAACAATGATTGCAGATTAGCGAACTTAAAAAAAATAATTTACATTACTATTTTACGCAACTTCCCAGGCTCAAGGCATTCCTCGTATACATCACATCAGTCAAGACTGTCTTACACGTCCCACGGTGATTTGCTCGGGGGTAAGGCCCAGACTAAAGAGGCTCGTCTCAGGAACCGATCGGCGTCCAGGAATCACAGCGTCACGTCTCAGCCGCACGCCTACGCTTTACCACGGCCTGATTCCTCGATCGCTTCACGGCCAGTTAGAGAATATGTAAGTATAATAATATAATAATCATTTATAATTTAATATAATAATGAAAAATTAGTAGAATAGAATTCTTACGAAACCTCCCTTTACCACGTCTTCACAGTTGTCCTCTCAAAATAAAGTAGTAAACATGATGAGGACAAGTTGTGTTAATACAACGTGCTAGCCACCTCTGTTAAAACCAATTCTGGTGATGTAACACGATAAAGAGAGAACGAAAGGACGTGCCAATGCATTCATAATATTCCCACCACATATAAACATATGGACGTCTAATTGTTAAAAGTAAAATTGTGCGCCAGGAGATACAGGAGAACATGTCGAAGAAATATGTTTTCGATCAATCTCTATAGTATTATATTGAACTACAGATATATATATATATATATATATTGCCAACATAATTTTATTTACTACTAGCTGTTATCCGCGGCTTCACCCGCGCGGCCAAACAATAAACTTTTTATTATACACTGCTTAGTTGACACTTATTATTACGTATATTTTGTACAATTCACACAATATCTTTATATATTATAGCCTATGTGTTATTCCGATGTATAAGCTTAATTATTGCACATTAAAATCTATTCAGTAGTTTTTGTGTGAAAGTATAACAAACATCCATCCATACATACAAACTTTCGCCTTTATGACATTAGTAAGGATGTATGTTTGAATTCGTGACTTGTATACATTGAGTAGCTATAATTTTATAATTGATTAAGTTTTTAAAATAAACGTTATTTATAACTATAAGTGGGTATAAATAAACTCAGACATAATTTCGATTGTTTGTTATTTTGTAGGACATGAGCACAACAGAGAGCACCGATGAAGCGGGAAAAGTGTTGAAGCAATCTAACGACAATCCATTCATTGAATCGTCACAGCAGCCCAACGTTGTTGATATGAGAGGTAATATTTTTAATCCGCCGCTTAAATAACGCTTTTATCTTTTATGATAAACTCTTTTTCGACACATTAAAGTAAGTTACAACTAACGGAACAGCTGGATGGAAAATCAATAAGATATTAGTCCGATACATTTAATGGTTTTTCTTCACAACTCTATAATATCTGAGGCTCCATGATATCTTTGAACACTGTAACGATAGCAGTTTTGTCCATTAACAGTGAGCGAGTAACCCGGAAATGAGCTTGGCTCATAAATCTCATTGTGCGTCAAGATAGCATAATTGGCAAAGTTGTTCGGTCATGTGTAGGCGTAAACCACAGTGAAATACTTTCACTCTACTCAATTTACTCGTCATGCTTATGTAACGATAACTGAACTTATTTAGCGTACAGTAGAGTTAATGTAGAAAAGCTTTGTTGCAATTTGCAGCTAATAAAAACAACATATTTCAAAAATTTCGGTTGTCGTTTGACTTGTGTTGCACTTCATTGCCTAGCACATAGTATTTATGGTCAATATAGATAAATCACAACATAGTCGGTCTCATTGGAACCTGATGAAGGCATTGCGTAGACCAAACGTGCAAATAAATGACAGCCTACAGTGCAACACAAATATGAATATTGATCTTTGTAATTATGTACTATTGGCACCGACATGTTTTTTTTACTCTAAAATAACTTAAAAATTTGACTGTCTTAAACATCTCGGTCCAATGGTAGTAGGAAATAATGAGCGAATACTAACAAATTTATTTGTCTCCCTCTCTTCCACACACACACACGTTCGGTAAACGGGACGCAACAGTGTCAGTGTACTACTTCCCAACAGCGGAAGACGATGAGGATGGGCCTACATTTAAAGAGAGACTCCTCGAGTGCCTTATGAAAGGGATAGACTTCTTCTGCGTGTGGGACTGCTGTTGGTTGTGGCTCGAGTTTCAGAAGTACGTCGCTCTGTTGGTATTTGATCCCTTCGTCGAGCTGTTTATCACTCTTTGCATCGTCGTTAACACGCTGTTTATGGCACTCGACCATCATGATATGGACAAGGACATGGAAAAAGCCCTTAAGAGCGGAAATTATGTGAGTATTCTGTAATTTGTGTTCATTATATATCAACCTATTTGAAGTTGTCAACGAAAATAATATGGAGAGTTCATTGAACCAACAACGTTTTTCAAACAAGATTTCAACATTTTATTCGCATTTTATATTGTTTTTAAATTTCCGCAATTTCGAACATTTAACACATTTCATCGTCAAATGGAGTTTGAAAATACGTCAATATCCAAAACTAATTTAATTTTTAAATGTGTAGTTTTCACATAAATAAATGGATGAAATCATTAGGATTTCAACAATGAATACTTTACATATGAAAAATAAGCATGATTAAATGATTGTAGGGAAGGACGAGAAGATTCTTTTACATATTTACAGTGCCACTAATAAAATTTTCAAGACAAGACAGGTATTCCTCGACGATCACTGTGGCACAGCCATCTGAGCTTGTAAACTTAAAAAAAAAAACGCTATATCCTTAACTATTATAAAAAGAATCATTCAATTCCAGACAATTAGAAAATTTCTTAATTTCCTCAAATCCGTTTTCAGTTCTTCACTGCAACATTCGGAATAGAAGCCATGTTAAAACTAATAGCCATGAGCCCAAAGTACTATTTTCAAGAAGGATGGAACATTTTTGACTTTATCATCGTGGCCTTGTCATTACTTGAATTGGGACTGGAAGGTGTTCAGGGTTTGTCTGTTTTGCGTTCATTTCGATTGGTAAGTTTTCTTTTTTTTCTTTTTTAACAATGTCTACTAAAGATGAGTTATTGCAGTAATAATTAATGAATAATAATAAATGAAATTTTATTTAGATTATAAAAACTATAAGACGTAATTTTATGTCACTAATTTTAATATCCAGAATTTTAGGGATAAAGTCCATAACATGGAACTATACCCAATATTTCTGTCAAGGTAGTAACAGTATTTGGTTAATATCTAGATTAAGTTTGTTTACACATAAACTCACTTAGCACTAATGAATTTATGTAAATGTATGCAATAATGTATTTTCAGCTGCGTGTATTTAAACTGGCTAAGTCTTGGCCGGCGCTAAACCTTATAATATCCATAATGGGTAGGACCGTGGGCGCTTTAGGGAACTTGACCTTTGTACTTTGCATCATTATATTCATATTCGCGGTGATGGGGATGCAGTTATTTGGGAAGAACTATACAGGTTCAATTTGAAAGAAAATTTAGCATCTCTAATTACAGACCTCAGCTTCATTATCGATTATTAAGCTTCACACTCCCTAATGATTTACACAGGGCTTTGGTTAACCATTAATTCATGAAGGACGAGAGGCTCGCGCTGTGGCTTTATAATAACCTAACGTGGCTCCATTAAAACATGGGCCCGGAGCTATACACGTTATAAAGCTATACCACGCAGCTTAAGGTCATGAGTTGAGCTTTGCATCAAGTATTTTAGATTTGACATGCAGCTTTGCTTACCGAGGGTATTTTGATCGGGTCGTCCGCTGATGGGATCTATGTGTGTATCCAATTCAATAACATAACAGTGATAATATCGATCAAAAGACGACGGAACATAAATCCCAATCATATTAATAAAGAATGCACACTTCGATAGGTTACTCCAGCACACATTTGCATATTTTACATCCGATTCAGAATCACTTACACTGCCCTCGGGGTAGATGGAAACAGTTTGAACAAAAGCCCGGTGAGTGATTCGGGGTCCACGGAACCGACAGCAGTAGCATAGGTGAAGCGCCGGTAAGCGAGCTTGTGTGACGCCTTGTTTCACAATTTGTAATTGCAGCTTCGAGTATTCAAATTGGCAAAGTCATGGCCGACACTTAATTTACTCATCTCTATAATGGGTAGGACGATGGGTGCCTTGGGCAACCTGACCTTCGTATTGTGCATCATTATTTTCATATTTGCGGTGATGGGTATGCAACTGTTCGGGAAAAATTACGTGGGTAAGTGACATTGGTGGGATGTTGCATGTTCGTTGGTGTTTGGACTTGGCGGCGCGGGCCCGCCGAGCTGCTAGTGAATGTATTTCATATGAAACACTGCGGGAAATCTCAGTTCGATTTAAACTGCTCATCTCATTTCGAATTTCATACGATCCCATTTCGTCCTTTCGTTTTTGAGGGAGCCCGAAGTTAAAGTAATTATTAAGGAGATATGCTCCATTGGTCTTGTTGTATCATTGTTATATCATGAAATACATTCACTGAATACAAATAAAGTGTGGACACTAATTCGGAATATCCAAGAGACAATTTTGACAATTTATTCACACCGTCCGTTCCACGCTTTAAAACTGGGCCACCGCCATGTTTCAATAGTACTTATAATGTGTTGATGTGCGTCACACTGTTATGCTCAGTTTCCTGTTAGAAGATTGGCAAGAATCAATGTGGCCCTTCCAAGTGAGACTTCACTCTTATGTGTCTGTATATAAATTTTAATAAAGTTTAACAACAGTTATATATGCCCCACAAAAGGCGCCTCACTTGTGAAACGTAAATGCTAACTACAGCTTCTTTCATCTTTATTATCCTTTGTTGAGCACAAACCATTGTCGTTCACCTTTGATTTATCATTTCTCTTTTCTTCTTTAAGCGCTTTTAACTCTTTCTTGCAATGAGATGTAATGTAAGTGTTTTATATATATTATGCATGCGTTAAATATACTTGTTTATAAAATGTTATTTGAAATATTTGTATGTTATATAAAAGCACGGTATAATAAACAATTGAATGCTTTACGGCTTACATTAAATGAATAGAAGGGATTTCGTAGTTATATATTTAAAACATTGGTTTTAAATATCGCTGTTCTAACAAAAATGTAATTACATTATTCCATTTTATTGAATGAGCTTAGGCTAGCTTAGGGATCTCCAAATCATTGCAGGTTGTAAAAACTAAAGCCAAACTGCTTTATTTCAAGTTAATTAACCAATATTTAAATAGTCGATACCACATATAAAAATATGAAAGCAATATGCGATAGACTCAAACACGAATATCCTTTTACATCTGTCAATAATCTCTCTCATAATTTAGAATGAAAAACTTCATATTATTTATAATTATTCATGTATATTGTTATGCTATTATTTTTTATACGATATATGATGACGAAATCACGAAATCCTTGCTATATGTCTGACATGTGCCAATTTTATCAATGACGCTTTTATTAATATTTATTTTATTACTCAATGACATATTGGTACAATAAATCAGCAAAATATCCTTATGTACGTACGTAGTATTTTTAGATTTACGATATCCTTAAATTAAAAAAAAAACATATTTAAATTAATAAAAAAATACATCTGTATTTTGAAATACATTTTTGTATAATTTTTATATAAAATTTAATTTTTCATTACATTTTATTAAAATTATATCTCAATCAAAATTTAATTATTTTCTCACAAAATATCTGAATAAAGAAAAGAAAATTAACTACCTGGTAAGCCTCAATTAAATAGAAGCTACTCTGTAAAAATGGTTTGTTAGATAATGTGTTATTTAGTAAGTAGTTGATATATTATAAACAATTTTGATGCATTTTACCATTATGCGTAAATTATATATGTAAAAAGTATTGTGCTTTACACGTTATGCTAATACGCATCTATATATTGCTTAAATGCTTACTGTTTTATACACTTGTGATGTCTTTAAAATACAGCTTAAGACCCCAAAAGATTACATGAGAATAATTAACATTTCTCTTTAAATTGTGCGATTTTATACTTTACAGTTAAATACAAATTAATATAGAGTCGCAGTCCATTAATTAAGGCACCCAAAAATTATGTTTCTCTACAGTCCAACAAATTGCTTAACACGGCAAATCTCCTCTAACACGTGTCATACTTGATTATCACTATATTACATATACGATTTTCTTAATATCTAAGCCCAAACGCAATAAAAATATCTTTTAAAATGTTTACCATTCAGCAAATTGGAGTCCATAATGAGCTAGAAATTGCCATTTCAAAAAGTATTAATTGCAACAACTGGTATTCAGATTACGTGGACCGTTTCCCCGACGGTGACCTTCCCCGATGGAATTTTACGGACTTCATGCACAGTTTCATGATTGTGTTCCGCGTACTGTGCGGGGAGTGGATTGAAAGTATGTGGGACTGCATGTTGGTAGGTGACGTCTCATGCATTCCCTTCTTCTTGGCGACTGTTGTCATCGGCAACCTTGTGGTTAGTATATTATATAGATTTTGGCGTTTTGTCTATTATGACGACCCAATTGTTAGTATTGCTTGTTAGTAGTGAAAGTCTCAAAACGCGTGTGTTGTTCGATTCTCACTGCTTGTGTGATGAACGTAGTGTTTTTCTTGTGTTTAGCGTTTATTATCACTGTGATTTTATTTTTTATGTTAGAAGATGGCAAGCGAGCTTGCGGTTCACCTGATGTTAAGTTATAACCGCCGCCCATGAACATTTGCAACTCCCGTAATGGTGCAAATGTGTTGCCACCTTTTAATTAAGTGGGGGCTCACTTAATTAAAAGGTGGCAACACATTACCTCACTCACTAGACGAAACGCGAAGGCATAGCAAACCTCTGCGTGGTTCTACCATAGAAGATTGAATAACCTTCAAAGGACTGGCAAGTTGAAAGCCATTTTCATCATATATAGATATATAGAGATCTCCTGTTATTTCTAAACTTAGTGCTTAGGTACTTATGGTAAAGCATGAATTGCGTATTGAACTACTTCACAGTATGTCGATATTCTAAAATAACATTTAACAATGAATATTCGAATAATTTACATGAAAATTAATGACGTTTAGTGCTTACATTAAATTTAATTTTGGACAATTTATCTGTCTAAACAAACTGTTCCTCTTGTATCTTTTTAAACAGAGAAATTGTCGCATATAAATAAATAAACACGCGTATAAATTTCTCCTTAAGTTCAGACTAGCATTAAAAAAATAGATTAAAATTATTGTAAAAATACTGCATGTAATTAAGACTGTATTCACATGCAATAAAAAGTCTTAAAATGGTGTATATATTGAAACCTAATTGGGAACAACACTATAATTTCAGGTACTCAACCTTTTCTTGGCCCTGTTACTGTCCAATTTTGGCTCTTCGAGTCTGTCCACGCCTACTGCCGACCAGGACACGAACAAGATCGCGGAAGCCTTCAACAGGATATCGAGATTCATAGACTGGGTTAAACGCACTGTTGCCGATATTCTTAAGCTCCTGAAGAACAAGCTCACAAACCAAATAGCCATACACGCGCCCGGTAAGATGTGTGAAGTTGCGTTGTCGATGTAGCATGAATTGTTTATATGTTGTACGCTAATCGTAGACTTTTTTATCCAGTCGCGTCTATGGCCGGAAAGCCTATAGTATGTGTATGGAATGTGTATGCCCCTGTATCTTATTAGAAATGTTTTATTTCTTCATGAAACTACTCACGAAGAGAAAACGTTTCTAACGATACATATAAAGGCTCGGATATCTATTCTAATAAAGACAGTTAAAATTTTATAAAACTTAAAACGAAAAGGTTGTATTAATGTATCCTTGTTGTCTCATTTGAAATTCAATTAATACAAAACAAATTAATAGTTGTTTTTCGTAGCCATTCTAAATAAATAAAAAGAGAAATGGTATGAAACCAACTGTTTTTTTATACATTGAATATAACTGTTTTTTATACTTTGAGTAATTAAATATGACGCAGTCACACAAACAATCTCTACTATTGCTTGTGTTGCTATAACTTTTAAGCGATTATAGAAAAACTGGCCATTTATATGTGGGTTAAGCATGATATTACAAAGATAACGAAAACATTATATTTTCAATACCTTGCGTATTAAGAAAGCTTTTGTTACCTGATATTTGTGGTTTAGCATGTGTTAAGTTATTCAATGTCACTTGGGTAGTTAAACTGTAAAGCATTGTAGGCACATATTCTTACGACGCATCTTACAGATGTTTAAATTAAACGTCATCATTATGGATAATTTAATTGAACAGTTATTAATACGATTTTTAGCTGCCCAATTGACCACCTTGTTTGAAAACTGTGACATGTATAGTGCAGTAATTCGCGTAAACCGTTGTGCGTTGCCTGTGCCCCCGCAGTCAAGTGTAGACTCCTCAGACCTCTTGATTTCTATAATTCCTTGTCGATAACCGTTTTTCAAGTTTGAATCTAGTATTTCACTCCGAATAAGTAAGAGGCATTAAAATATCCTCTATTATGTGGATAAACCGTTTTATAGACACACTGCGCTAGTATATCTCATACTGCTGCATACGCTATATTTGTACATGGCACTTGGTGAAGAATGTTCCCTTTCAGTTGCTTTTCTCCTTCACACTTTGGTTAATTTCATACTTTACTTGTCGTGACATTTTGAGCAGTTTTCGTTGTTTGTTGTGTGTTTTGTACAGTAGTACTATTTTTTGCGAGTGATTTATAGTTAGGCGGTTTGAATTATGTTACAGGGCGATAAAGGTGTGGTCGTTAAATATTTGTGCTATGATTTCCGTGACAATCTAACATATTGAGTAACTTTTCAATTTTTTCCCTGATTTTTTACTCAAATTTTATCAAACCCTTTAAGGTCCGTCAGGGAAAACTAATAAACGTACGTACGATCGTTAAGAAACGTACATATACGATCTTTTGATTAATAGTCATTCCGAAATTATTTATAAAAAATATTAAATTTGTAAAAGACTCTGATTGTTTTTCAATCTATAAGCTAAATTTCGCGTTTTACATGCACCATTTTTTTAACGTATGAAGAGAGCAGTAAATTTGTTTTTTGAATAAAACCTTAGTAATTCGTAACTGCAAAATTGAGATAAAATAAATGAAACAAAGAAATAATATACTCATAGGGTTATTCATATACGAATAATTATATTCTTTCACACCACTATTTCTATAGCATAATGCTGATAACGTTTGAGTGTAAGTAAGGAATCGACATCGCTTTGAATGTATGTGATGCAGTTAATGCATGCGTGTGTCTATTGTGTGTATTCAATCAGTATATTTTCAGTAAATAACAATGAGTGTTATCAGGAATTTATTTTGATTGTAAAGTATGTCAGTTTATACGCAATTAATTTTAACATTGAGATCATTTAAATCTATAATCGCCTCGTTTCCTTCAATAACGAAAACTTCATATCTATTTAGGTTTCCAGGTTGGGCGATATAGCATATTGAAGAAAATTATTTAATAATGTTCATTTCCTTATATTCCACTCATTCTTTATATTATCATGATGCATCTCAATTTCGAAATAGTATTTTTGGTACTTTAGGTTTAGAGCCTGGAGTCAGATTACCTTCACCAATCACGATACAGCTCCTAATTCGAATAGTTACAATGTAAAAAAGAATACCTATGTAAGCATATTTTAAATAAATGTAAATAAATGTTTTTGCTGACCTTGGGCTTAAAGTATTATTTACTGCTAACAAATATTTGACTATGATCAATTATTTGTTAAGAGTGCATTTTAAAATAGAAATTAAGTAACTTCATAAAACCGTCGACTATGTTTTACTACTGCAATTACTTTTAACAGTGATAAATGGTTCATAATTTCTTTCTTTTTACTCGCCGACACTATGTACCATTTCGCATAAAAATTGAATTAGAAATAACTATTATTCAGTCTAGATGTCCATTTAGTGCTATATAGGTACATTGTAAATAGTTTTATTCGGCTTTGATTTCGACCTGTTTTAGGGATTTTTGTTGATCTAGGACTTTATGAGTTAAGGAGTTTTATTGTCTGGAATACATATTGTAAATTATTTCGTACTGGTCTGATTTCTATGCTTGGATGCTGGCGGCGTTGACGTACGGTGGATTGACGCGAAAATTAGGCTTAAAGGCGGCTTTATGTGGCCGCTGTGTCTCCTCAGAGCGGGTCGACAACGAATTGGAATTAGGTGCCGACATTGAAGACGGCGTCTTATACAAGGACAAGAAATTGAAGGATCAAGTCGAAGTAGCAATCGGCGATGGAATGGAGTTTACCATACCAGGTGCTTATTTATAATGCCTATCCATACACAAATCTATCACCTACATACCGAAGCTCAACTAAGGTCAACATTTTTCGCAGGTGACAACAAATATAAGAAAGGAAAGATATTAATCAATAATATTAATGCGATAACAGACAATCATACAGATAATCGTATCAATTGTGAGCTGAACCATCATGGATACCCAATACAGGTAACAAAAACGTTATCTATTCATATATTTTTTTTAATAATGGATTCAAAATATTATGTGCCTACATACTAATCTAATGGTTATCACTGATTAAAATGATTCAGTAAAAATAACATTTTAAACAGGATGATGACACGATTAGTCAAAAATCCTATGGGAGTCATAAGATAAGATCTTTCAAGGATGAAAGCCATAAAGGATCAGCGGACACGATAGACGGAGAGGAGAAAAAAGACGCGAGCAAAGAGGAGCTAGGTTTGGAAGAAGGTTTGTATATTGAAAATATCAAATATGGAAAAAAAAATTAACTGAATTACGTCAAAATACCCTCTGTAGGAGGCCTTTGCCAAACAGTGGAAAACGTAGACTGTTACTAATATTTATATTTAGCGTTTTTATATTATTAATATTTTTTATACATTCTTTTAAAATCAATGTGAAACATATTGACAGAAATGGTGGAAGAGGAAGAGGATGGCAAATTAGACGGCCTTGGGAAACATGACATTATAGTGGCTGCTGATGAAGACGTCGTTGACGACACTCCAGCCGACTGCTGTCCTGAGCCATGCTATCAGCGTTTCCCTTTCTTGGCTGGTGACGACGAATCGCCTTTTTGGCAGGGTTGGGCAATGCTCCGCTTAAAGACATTCAGACTTATAGAAAATACGTATTTTGAAACCGCTGTCATAACAATGATCTTATTGAGCAGCTTAGCTTTGGTGAGTCTATTTTTAAATATTATTTTTGCGAAAACTTTGCAAGCGTGCAAGCGATCAGGTGGTTTTTCACATGATGGTAAGTGAGTACCGACGCCCATGGACATTTAAAACACCAGAGGGGATGCGGTCGCTATGGTCATTAAGTGGTTCTGGTTACCTCACTCGCCATCCTATTCGTGCAATAGCAGTTACCACTGAACATATAAACTTCAATTAGCTTATGAAATGTATAACAAATAAGCTGCAATGAATAAAGTAAATACATCTGTGAAAATCGAATTGATAACTGTTATAAAACTTAAGGTTACCAATTAGAAAATTGTTTTTATCTTATACAAATTTACTTACGAATGAATACAAATGAATTACAAGGTTCGTAAAATACAAAAATACTAAATATTGTAAAACTTTATCATTAACTCTTTCAGGCTTTGGAAGACGTCCATCTACCACACCGACCCATTCTTCAAGATATCCTGTACTACATGGACCGTATATTCACTGTCATATTCTTTATTGAAATGTTGATAAAGTGGCTTGCGCTTGGTTTCCAGAAATATTTTACTAATGCTTGGTGCTGGCTTGATTTCATCATCGTTATGGTAAGTAATAAAATTTTCTGCTATTTCCAGATTGTAAACACGATTACTCTTATATTAACAAGTACAACGTCATTCTGAACATGATTCTTTCTTATAAGTATATATCTTGCAATTAATTAAATAAACAACTAAATATAATAATAAATTACATTCATTTATTACTTTTATACGCTTGGAAATAGGCAATTTAATAGCTCCTGATATTTTTTGTAATACGCGCATAACAACTCTGGCAATGTCTAGTTCTCTGATGTATTCTAGGATATTAAACAAATGATATATTCATTAAATGTTTTCCCAAATATTTTACTTATCATTTTATTGTTCGCTTTGCGGTGATCAAACCTTTGAGTTAACCGTGCCTTTGACACTGAGGTGACTTCCAAAGTTAGGCTACCACGATAGAGAACAACAAAGAGATTCGTAATGTGAATGACGACTATGTCGCGTTAGTTGTCGCTCATAAACCACGGGGCCGTGATGGCGGGGGCGGACGACATCCCGGCGTTTCGCTCCATGCGAACTTTGCGTGCGCTACGTCCCCTTCGCGCCGTCTCCAGATGGGAGGGGATGCGCGTGAGTACGCGCTGTGGACAGAACGTTTGCCTACTCCATTGGGCCTTAGAACGCTGCCCATTGGTACAAAACATCCTCACCTCGGTCTCATTGAATTTTATTGTTGCCAACTACTCATTTAAAACATTATGATTGAACCGCATCAATGTGCAGCGTGGCTCAGAAGCGCAAGCTTTAATTGTTCGATGTTATTAACAGTGGAGACTCAGTTCCCGTTGACACGAGCTCTCGATGTCTCATTTATTGTATGTGGTTAAACGTTTGCTTCTATTTTCTGATACTCTGGATATTTCTTCGCTAGAAATAACATTATTTATAACGCATTGCTGTTATAAAACCCGAGATTGTCCGAATGCATGCGTTTTGTTGACAAATATAACGGTTGTAAAACAGACTGTGTTATGTCTGCTCTGAATGCTATTGGTGTTATGTTTTGATGTAAATAATTTATTTATCGTGTGTATTTTCAGTGTCAACCTTGAGATATCAGAGAAACATTTCATACTTGGGTATTGTTTCTCTGGCATCTTAAAATGTGTGTCTGAATGTACCTCTGTATGTATATAACTGTGCTTTCCCAGCTTTCTTACTAATCCCTGGCCTATGTCTAGAACATAATATTTAGACGTGATCACTTTTGGTAATTCGATGGTCTTCTGCATTCGGCTTTTCCTCAAACATAGTGTATTGTCAGTGTCTTCATCCCATAATGGATTCTCTGAGATTCAGGTGTTTTTCAGGTCATTTTATTCTACGTACGTAGGAGGCGTTATAAGTCATATCGGATGGGGGCTTTTATACACCCTTAAATGATTATAATGTATCTTTCCGTGTGTTCTCAAACAGCATGTTGATTTCATCAGGTCTCGCTTATAAACTTCGTAGCGGCGCTTTGTGGCGCCGGTGGCATTCAGGCGTTCAAAACGATGCGAACGCTTCGCGCGCTACGTCCGCTCAGGGCAATGAGCCGCATGCAGGGCATGAGGGTATGTAAGCCTGCGTGGGCTCGCAACACGTAACCGATCTCACTACACTGACAACTACGGAACGTCGCACCGTCGACGCTTAACTTACTACACACATTACTACATCTACACGTTTACTCTTGTCGTCGCTAATGAATATCACACACCTCAAAACACCCGCGCAATTCGAAACTATTACATTCATTACATAGAAGGAACTATCATAACACAAGAGATTCTGAAATCATCAGAGTTTTCGACCTGGTAAAAATGTTTTATTCGTTTTTAAAGCTAATGTGATGTTCCAAGACCTCTTATAATATTTTCGTAAACTCAAGGTTAACAAGAAAGAATGCAGTCAATATTATTAACGAATAAAACACACACATGCATTTACGAACACACATGCAAACACTTTTCACATTTAACGAACGTCCCATTTTTGAATCATTTTATCAGTAATTGGATATCATGTTTTGTAGCTGTTTCTTTTCCAAAGTTGTACCGAACTCATGGCAGTAGTCGATTCGATTCTCAGCAATTAGCGAATCATATTGACAACGCCGGTGGCACCCTGGAATGGCTTAGTATCACATCGATTCGTCTCATCCTCTTTAAAACAACTCAATAGGTTTCATGTCGTCAGATAAAATTCATATACATCCTTTGGACCATTTGTTCTCTTGAATTCTGTAACCAAATAGTTTGAATGTTTATTTTCCTAGATTTACGTATACTAGATTGTGCACCTTAGATTTCTTCTTGCAAGAACTTCAAGATCAGTTCTAATTCGCATGCATTAGTACGTATGATTTTAGGCAAACAGTTGATCCCTCATGAGGAGGTAAGTACTTCCTATCAAAGGCCAAATTGCATGCGTTTTGCTTTTATGTGTTTATGCAAATGTAACGTTTATGCAATTATATGTAGCATTATGACTACAGGGACAAACTCACCTTTAACTTTAATAACTGCAGATCTGTTGAAAAAATTGATTAAGTAAATGAGTGATTTATTCTGATTGAATAAGTTTGTGTGTGAGTTTGTTTATTTTTATGTTGCATATGTAAAATTTTTGTAACGTCATAACATTTTCCATATAACATGCAATATTAAATATACAATACTATAATATTTAATAAACATTTGTATGATACAACAGCATTATATTAATTATTGAGCGCCATTAATAATTGCAGTAATAGAATTATATTGAATATACCACACGAGTAAATTCATCTTATTACAAACTTTGCTGAGTCAACTTATAATTTGCCGCTAGATATCACTGAATTCGTTTAACTATATCTGTCTAAAATGCACCATCTATATGTCCGTATTTCGTGCGCAGGTGGTAGTGAACGCGCTAGTGCAGGCTATACCATCCATCTTCAACGTGCTACTTGTGTGTCTGATATTCTGGCTAATCTTTGCGATAATGGGCGTACAACTTTTCGCTGGCAAATATTTTAAGGTTTGTATCTTATTTCTGTTCATTTTTGGCATGCTTAATGCAGAAGCTTTCTATAATAAGACGTAAGGAATGAAAGCTTCTCGATAATTCTTGAGAACAGGTAAATTTATTACAATGGACTAATGAAATCTTATTTTTATTTTTGTGAAATTGCAGTGCGTGGACCTAAACCATACGACTTTGAGTCACGAGATTATACCGGATAGGAACGCGTGCATACTAGAGAATTACACTTGGGAAAATTCCCCTATGAACTTCGATCACGTTGGCAAGGCATATCTGTGCCTATTCCAAGTGGCCACTTTCAAAGGATGGATACAGATTATGAACGACGCAATAGACTCCCGAGAGGTAACCTTTTGAAGTCACCGGATAACTTCCACGTTCAAAAGATTTATCTTATATCTTTCTTTTTCTATAGAATATTCGCATAGGTTCATGTTTCTTAATTTCTTTTTCCTTTTAGGTGGGCCGACAACCGATTAGAGAAACCAACATTTACATGTATTTGTATTTCGTTTTCTTCATTATATTTGGCTCATTCTTCACTCTGAATCTGTTCATCGGTGTGATCATCGACAACTTTAATGAGCAGAAGAAGAAAGCTGGTGGTAGCTTGGAGATGTTCATGACTGAGGACCAGAAGAAATATTACAATGCCATGAAAAAGATGGGCTCGAAGAAACCATTGAAAGCGATTCCGAGACCAAAGGTGCTTATAGTAAAAAAATATTGTAAAACACTTGTTGACATATTTGATTAAATATAATTTACTGAATATTTAGTCAATAACTTGCTCTGATATATTAGTCTAACGGCTGCACTCGGGGCCTAAGATCTAGTTTCATCTATTATCATTACCTAGTTTTATGCAAATTAAGTACAAATAGAAATCTACAAATCAGATTTATTTATAGTTATTACATCGGATAGAAGCTCCTAGTAAGAGTTCTTATCATATATTGAAAGTAGTCGCAGGCCCTACTCCTTCCCAGCACAATTCGTAAGATATAAAGCTCATTCTTTCAGATTTTTATATGATCATTTATATTTTAGTGGAGACCGCAAGCGATCGTGTTCGAGATAGTGACGGATAAGAAGTTCGACATGATTATTATGTTATTTATCGGTCTTAATATGCTGACTATGACCCTGGACCATTATCAGCAGTCGGACACTTTCAGTGCCGTCCTCGACTACCTGAATATGATTTTCATTGTCATATTCAGCTCCGAGTGCCTTTTGAAGATATTCGCCTTGCGCTACCATTACTTCGTTGAACCTTGGAACCTCTTTGACTTCGTCGTTGTCATGTTCTCAATTTTAAGTGAGTATATTTATGAGTATATGTGCATTTAAACATATTTTAAAGGTTTTCCATTATTATCAATGAATCCATGAATATCTAATGTGAATTTACCTTCAATTACAGGTTTGGTTCTGAGTGATATTATAGAGAAATACTTTGTATCCCCTACTCTTTTGAGAGTTGTAAGGGTAGCGAAGGTTGGTCGAGTGCTGCGACTTGTGAAGGGAGCCAAGGGTATCCGGACGCTGCTATTTGCCTTGGCTATGTCCCTACCAGCTTTGTTCAACATATGTCTGCTCCTCTTTCTGGTCATGTTCATTTTTGCAATATTTGGAATGTCATTCTTCATGCATGTTAAAAACAAAGGTGGCCTTGACGATGTTTACAACTTCAAGACTTTCGTGCAGAGTATGATCCTACTATTTCAGGTAAACTATCGTATTAAGAAACCTAAGTTATTAAACAAAGACAAAATATACAATATAAATATAATACATACAAATTGGATGTCAAATTTTCAGATGTCAACATCCGCCGGCTGGGACGGTGTACTAGATGGTATCATCAATGAGGAAGAGTGCGATTTACCAGACAATGAACGTGGCTCTCCTGGAAACTGTGGTTCAGCCACAATAGGCATCACCTATTTGCTGTCCTATTTAGTAATTTCTTTCCTCATTGTCATCAACATGTACATCGCCGTTATCCTCGAAAATTATTCACAGGTGAGCAGATCTATACTATTATAATAAAGCGTTTGTTTGTTTGTTTGTTTGAACGCGCTTATTTTAGGAACTAGTCGGATTTGTTTGTGTTCGTATTTGCTCAATTCTTGAGGAAGGTTATAGAGTATTTAACATCATGCTACGACCTACATGAATCTTTTATTTACAGGCGACAGAGGATGTTCAAGAGGGCCTCACTGACGACGACTACGACATGTACTACGAGATATGGCAGCGGTTCGATCCCGATGGTACTCAATATATCCGATACGACCAACTGTCAGATTTCTTGGATGTTCTCGAGCCGCCGTTGCAGATTCACAAGCCGAATAAGTACAAAATAATATCCATGGACATACCAATATGTCGGGGCGACATGATGTTCTGCGTGGACATTCTGGACGCTCTGACAAAGGACTTCTTCGCAAGAAAGGGCAATCCAATCGAGGAGACGGGAGACTTGGAGGTCGGGCGGCCGGATGAAGCTGGATACGAGCCGGTATCGTCCACGTTGTGGCGGCAACGCGAGGAGTACTGCGCGAGGCTGATTCAGCACGCGTGGCGCAGGCACCGGCGAGCGCACGACGAGCCGGAGATCGGGGGCGATGGGAGCGTGGGCGGCGCGGGCAGCGACGGCGGCGCGGGGGGAGACGGTAGCGTGGGGGGCGAGGGTGCCCCTACGGCGGTGCTGTTGGACGGCGTGACTGGCAACGGGCACCGCGTGGTGCTGCAGGCGGGCGGTGCGGCACCGCGACCGCCGGAGCCCGCGCCGCCGCCCGCGCCCGTCTGACCCGCGCTGGCGCTCGCGCTGCTGCCCGCGCTAGTGGACGCCGCTCCGCTCCCAGCGCCGCTGCCTGACCTGCTCAGTCCACCGCGACGCACCTAGCTCCCGCAGCGCCCAGCGCCCAGCGCACACACACCCATGAACTCTCAACGTACCGAGCTCGCAGCTTACCGGAGCGCTTGTTACGCGACCGATGTACGCGTGTGCCGTCGTATTCTGTTTGTGTTCTCGCGTCGAACCCTCCCCGGGCGTGACGTGACCGTTCAAGAGGATAGTTTGGGAAGCGCGACGTCTGCTCCCCGGTCTAGTTGTTTAAGGCATCGGATAAAACTGAGAACTCTAAAGCTTATTTTTGTATTCGATAACAGTCTTTGTGTGAAGTTTAAATCCAGCAGCGAAAATGGTTACTCGTAAACTGTCAGATATCATTTATCTTCCCCAAAATGGTGTCGCACAGTGAGAAAGTTTCAGTGCTGTCGAGAACGGGAGATCGACGCGGAGATATTAGCTTTGTTGAGTTTCGCTTGACGCTACGCCGCAGGCCGCTTTGCAGCCGATATTAACGCAGCGCTCAAACTTATGCCAATTGTTTAAACTTTATTCGCAAAAAATAAATATCTCGTCACTATATAAACGTGTACAATTCATGAGTCATTTTTCAACTCGTCCATCGCGTTTTGACATTATTGTTATCGTATGTAATAACCTTAAAGCTTCAGGAAAGCAATGACTACGTCGTATCATATCAATTTTGTCCGTAATAGTTTTTAATAGTTCCAATTTTTAAGCTTCTTACCGTACCGAAACGAGGCAACGCTATCTTTCTGATAGAGGTCGGTCGCCTCGGATAAAAGAGTTTAGATGAATTTTTGCAAAGTTATCTGTGTAAGCTTAGCCAATCAGCAGTGAAGTCGGTACCAGAATTCACTTCCGTCCTAATTCAGTACGCGTCATAAGAATCGAGCCATTTTACGTAACGCGCAACTCCACGTAGTTAATGTAATTTCCTTCCCCTAAATTACATTAGCTGGGGCGAGAGCTCGTGCCCGCTGCGAGCGGCCGACGCACTCTCGCGCGATCTCGCTCGTTCTCGCGCGACCTCGCTCATTCTCGCGACGCCCGCAACGGTTCGTGACGACACACCGCTACCCACTACATCACCCCTGTTAGCAATAAGATTATGGATAATACCTAAGAGATCGAACGTCCCTTACCGAGTAAGGTAGATATTATTGAGAAGTTTTTATTTTTCGATTGACATCACTCTAGATGATAATAACTGTAGACGCGAGTCCGGACGGCCCCGGTGGAAGGCGGGTGTCTCGTTGAAAATTGTGTTTTCTCATAATAGCCTTTTCTTGCACAATAATAATGATCAGTCATTTAATTAGAATTTTGTAAATGAACTTTGGAAGTGGTCAATTTTCTACTATTGTGTAAATATTTGAGAGCTTAGCGCCGTTCACGCACATCGCCACACTTCGATTGCCTTGGATGTAAGTAAGGGCACCGCGCGCTTCGAGTCGCGACGGAGTGTCGAGCTTGAGGCAGATTAGCGTGCGTTCGCAAAGTTTCGCTTACGTCATCAAACATGTCACCAAATAGTTGTGTGTCGGTTGTTTTTGATTCGTTTTAAATGTGTGAAAGCGGAGATTTTTCCTGAAGCGCGAGGCGATCTAAATGTTGCAAAAGTTTAAAGGAGTCAGTGTATTGTAAACTAAAATGAGACGCTTGAAATTTTGCACATATTTTGCAATAACGATTACGGTTACATATAATAAATTATGTAGATAGTTTTCCGTGAGAGGGGTCATTGTGTGGGGAGTGCGCCGGCGATTTTCCCCATCTCTGGTGCACTCTCTGCTGCCAATCCTCGTAACGAATCCCTTAATTTCGGCAATCGCAGCAGGTTCAACCGGCAACTCGTCGCCTAGCCGACGGGATGACCGATACGGGCGGACAATTTCAAACAATGGCATTACGAACTATTTGAACCAAGTTAGCCATTCGTCAAATAACTCATCGTACGCGCAACTATAGTACGTATGAACATCATTTTACGTTTAATGTCAATTTTGCGGACGAATCGGCCCGTCGCGTATCGTTCATAAAGCTTCGTTCAGTCAGCATATCCGGATGTTAAAGTTGTGTTGGTTTAACCAAACATTTTATCTACTATTAGGCATATTGGCACAAAAAAGTTGTGTTTAGTTAAGTTTAGACAATAAGTTGTAATATCATTAAATTTATTTGAATTATGACAAAAAGTGAGTTCAGTTTGCTGAATGATAGAATTTTAATTGAGTATTTATTATATATATATATATAAATAAATATATATTGTTGAGATTTGTACAAAATACAATTAAGTAAACAATAAATTATAGAACTTGACTGCTTTAATTTGTTGTTTGATTTTAAAATATACTATAAACTATTTAAAATATACTATATATACTATAAAATATACTATAAAATATACTATTTTCGTCGTAATTTATATATTGCTTTGATTGATTTTGTATATGTGAAGTCAACATTTGTATATCGGATGCATGTGTAAAATAAACTAGTTGAAATTCATAATTACCGGAAAGTCCATTGCTGGTTTAAAAACGGATAGTTTATCCTGATTTTCTATTAAACTATGTAATTATGATAAACTAAGTTGTCAGTAATTTGTGATTTGTAATTACATTATTCGAAGACAGGGCGAACGTGAGTTCTAGTCTTCGATCCTATTGCCAGTGTTGCCATAGACAAAAATGATACAATTAACTCCATAGCGTAGATTACTAACATGACGGTTCATTGTGGTAGGACCAGCAGTAGCCCCTTTGTTACGCGAACCACGACCACCACGATCTCATACTTATCCGTTCTGTTTGATGAATAAGATCACTGGGCCACTACTAAACATTGACTTTTATAAACAATTAAGTGGTGGCTAATATCAGGTTAAGCACAAACTCGTTTATCATCTTATCGCATTAAAAATTGTCAAAACATTGCTGTGACCATAACCTCATTCGTGTTGAAAATAGGGTATCTATTGATGATACAACAAAAAAAATATAAAAATTAGATTAGAGATAAGCATATTTTACAGATAACAGTTATTTCTTATCAGGCTGCTGATAATAATTATAATAATATACTTTATTCTATACCAATATATATATATATATATATATATATGTCAATCGTAGAGGTTGTAGCGATGGTATTTAGCAGTTTGACAAGATGAAGGGTGGGAAAATTAAGTAGCAGGTAATAATCCGAATATATTAAAACACGATGTGATGAATGCAATAAGAAATGCAAAGGGATAAAATCAACTCTTTGCAAGGCCAAAGGGTAGAGACTCAATGATGTTTTAATAAAGATGACGCATGTCCATACTGCGCGTCGTTTAAAAATTGTTCTACTTTACATTATATGACGTTTTTAAAGAAAATAATGTAAAATAATGTAACAGATGATAATGAATTTTATGATACGGAGAGAGATATCAATCTGTGGAATTACAATCTAATTTCACCGATTGGCGTAATTTCATAATGCGTAGTGTCATATCTATCTCGTATTTGTATATAATATCATTGGTCGAGACTATTCGAGAAGATCCACGTTGAATGCGGTCAAATGGAAGGAGTTAATATTAAGGCGCCCCAGCCCAGAGGTGAGAAAATACTTGCCTTGCTCTACCCGTGACACCAAGATTTTTAGAAGCTTGGCTTTTCCAGATGATATGTCGATACCGAGAATTCCAAACAAGTCTTTCAACAAGGAAATTGCCCACAAACTAAGTATACACGCAAAGGGTTTATTCTCTGCGCAAACTTGTGTCTTCTTAGGTTTAAATTGGACAATTTAGTCGGTCTCGATGCGTGATCAAACAGATCGAATGCTTTCCCTACGTCCCAACTAAGCGCTAATGCTTCCCCTTAATCACAACTGCCTCCGCCCATTAATGAGTTAAGTATTCTGCAGGTACATGCATTCTCCTAAATCTGAAGTCGCGGCGCTGGAATCTAGACGCATATATGATAAACTTAGAAATATTGGTTTGACTAGAGTTATGTTAAAAAAAATTCAAATTACATGACTTAAGTGCACCTTTTTATTCGATATTCTAATTTTTTATGATATTTTTAAGAAATAAGGCAAATTAAGAGCCTCTTACCCACATCTGCTATAGCCGCGTCCTGGCTTTAACCGGCTGTGAGACAAGAACGTGTAAAAAACCTTCGTAAATTCTGTAAAATCTCTACTGTTTCACCTTAAGTGCAGAGATTAGCACAATAAAAACTTATTTATTTCTTTGTGTCCATATCTTTATATTCAGTTCTAAATTAATAAAACAGATTCAACAAGAAGTGTTGATTGATATCAACACTTCTTGTTGAATCTGTTTTATATTACACACATAATAAATAAAAATAAATATTCTAACCAGACTGAGTTTTAAAATCTTTAATTTTAAACTTCTTACTGCTATTCAAGAAGTAAAACTGACATTATATTAAGGCTACTTGCATTTTTTTCTACAGACTCATAATTTACATTATCTATACACAGCTCTTACTAAATACCGTTCTGTTTTCATTTCATCTTACCCGTTGATAGCAACAAAAAGAAAAGGTTATGTGTACATAACCCTAAAAGAGACGGAGCCGTGATAGTTCAGTGTCCGAGCGCTCGCTTTTAATTCAATGTACTCGATCAACCTCAGTTCAATTCCTGGTGCCGGCACCAATGAAATTGTTATTTACAATTTTAAGTGCTGCATAGTTTTGAAATAATAACAAAAACATATTTCGAAGTTATGTGAAGTCTACCAATCCGCATTTTCGACTATGCCCTTTATACAACGGAGGGCTTCAATCAACACATACATACATCACTTTAACACAACATACATAATGTTGAGGCAGAATATCCAAAGCACCGGAAAATTTCACTTCGTTACTAACGTCGAACGAATCTAAACTTAGTTTAGCTTTAAATACTTAGTGTTATATTAGTATTGTAACTTTTTTTATAACGAAATTCTATAAATACTTAGTTGTGTTTATCAAATATGATAAGAGTACAGCAATATTTATACATGAGAGTAAATACTCGTGATACAATGCAGTACCTTAATAAAGCTCGACAACAGAATACGAAATGTTTTTCATCGTGGCGTTAGTGACCTTGTTAGCTCTTGTGTATTGCTACTTTACCAGAACATTTAACTATTGGAAAGATAGAAATATAACTGGGCCTAAGCCTACGTTTCTGTTTGGCAACATAAAAGACTCTGTACTCCGTAGATCGCATTCGGCCATGTTATGGAAACAAATTTACGATCAATATCCTGATGAAAAGATAGTTGGAGTGTACAGAATGACAACACCGTGTTTGTTGTTACGGGATTTGGACGTGATAAAGCAGGTCATGATCAAGGATTTCAATTTGTTCTACGACAGAGGAATAGAATTCAGTGATAAGGGGTTGGGAGTTAATTTATTCCACGCTGATGGTGTTAGATGGAGGGTCCTGAGAAACCGTTTCACACCCGTATTTACGACTGGAAAACTCAAGAATATGTTATACTTAATAACGGAGCGTGGAAACAAGTTCGTTGAATATGTTAACCAGCTTTGTGAAAAACAAACAGAACAAATAATACATACTCTAGTTCAAAAGTATACTATGGCCACTATTGCAGCCTGTGCTTTCGGTGTAGACCTCAATGAAAATATGTCTCAAGCGCTGGAAAAAATTGACAAAATGGTTATCTCCGCCAATTATAGCCACGAGCTTGATATGATGTTTCCGGGAATCCTTAAAAAATTTAATGGTTCTTTATTTCCAAGGCAGGTAAACGATTTTTTTTATAAACTTACCAAAACTGTTATAGATGAGAGGGGAGGAAAACCAACCAACAGAAAAGACTTTATGGACCTGATTTTGGAGTTAAGGCAAAAAGGAAATATTGAAGGAAAAAACTTTGGCGATGATAAGTTGAATTCAGTTGAGCTGACTGAAAGTGTAATTGCGGCTCAGTCGTTTGTATTCTACGTGGGTGGCTATGGAACTAGTGCAACCACAATTACCTACATGCTATATGAGCTTGCAAAAAATCCACATATTCAAGACAGAGTTGTAGCGGAAATCGATGAAGTTTTGGCACGATACAATGGTGAAATAAGCTATGAAGCTTTAAGTGAACTAACTTACATGGACCAAACGTTCAGTGAAACTCTTCGAAAATACCCGATTATAGATCCTCTACAACGAAACGCACAGAGTGACCTTAAGCTCCCAGGCACTAATGTTACTATTAGAAAGGGTCAAACTGTGCTTGTGCCACTGTGGGCGATCCACCGTGATCCCAAATACTATCCCAATCCAGAAAAATTCGATCCCGAAAGGTTTTTGCCCGAAAATGAACAAAACAGGCATCCCTGCGCTTATATGCCCTTTGGTACCGGACCCAGAAAGTGTATTGGTGAGTTTAAGGCTCTTTGAATTGATTTTGTGACCAATTATACTTTTATCTTATCCGTTAAACGAGCAATACTTCTATATATATATATATATATATATATATATATATAGTCCTTTTCCATAACTTGTTTGATCCAGCAAAATTAAAATAGTACTTTGTTGATCCACCTTTCTGTCCAAATTTACTTACTCTTAACCTTTATTTTAAACATATTTCTAAATTCAGCAATATACTCTAACCGTTGTTTTATACTTTTCCAAAGTATTTGTGACTCCGCGTAACGGTTTTTTCTCAGGCACTTTTTAAACATTTCTTGATCCCTGTGAGCGCGCATACGCAGCTCGACGTCAGTGTTCGTAAAATTAATTCCACAGTGTTTGTAATAAGAACTGAATTTCCATGTACATTTTCTATTGAGTAAACTATTACTATATGTCGAATATAATAACCCAGATAAATATAATTGACAAAGAGATGGTTATACCCTATTTCTTATTAATAAGTTTACCATAGGATGCTAGTGAATAAATAATTTAATATTGTAGATATTATCGCATGATATTAATGAATCCTTGGGATATTAAATACCTACTTACTATAAAGTGTATAGCTTTGTTGTTATGCTTGTTAGCTGATGCAGCCTGTATTAATTCGATTGAGGTGAAGCTCAAAATGCTGTACTCCTAAGTAGGCATCCAAATATTATCCCGAGTTGATTTAAGCAACTGGAGCAGCGGCGAACTATGAACTCAAAGAATATCATACATTTAATACAAATTTAACTGATTGTTGTTTGTACATAGAAGATATTTGAGAAAAACCATTATTAGGGTCCTTTATCAACGCAGTAGAACCCAAAATAATCATAGTTAAAATTATTGTCTGTTTATCTGTTTGTCTGTGTGCGCTAACTTGGCTAATACGGCCTTTCCGATTTCAGTAGTAGTAAGCTACTCTTAACATTTATTGTTAGTTCTATTTAAGTCGGATGATAAATAAAATAGTTATATAAACTTAAAGAACCACATTGTAGATTTGTGCGATGAAACTATAGTTAACTATGGTCTGTAAAATGATGGTTTATATAAAGTTAAAAAAAATCGCCCAAGTGCGAGTTGGAGTTGCGCACGAAGGATTCCATAGGTATTTTTAAGCACGATGTAATGTGCGGGCGAAGTCGCGGGCGCAAGCTAGTTGTACAATATATTGCTACTATTGCACTAGGAAACGGATCAACAACGGTCGCAATGTAATGCGACAAATGATGTAGTGTGAAAATTTCTTTAAAGAAACGAGGATGACAATGTTTTAGTTTAATTTTAACTGTTAAATTTGTTTACAAGTCATTGCTCAACTCATTATCAAATATGAGTTTGGTTACAAGACAGTAAATTATTATTATTTATTATGTAATCAATAGTGTTATTTAAGCTAGTGCTATTCAGTGGGTTAAAGTTAGATTAGTTAAGAGATAATGTGCGATTTATCGTACAAATCTTTACATCAAAAGGGACTCTAAAAGATTATTTTAACCAAATAAAATAGAATATTAAGGAATAAAAAAATATAGTTCTTTCTAGACACATGAATAAATAATAAGAGGACGAAAAAAAAATATAGATTATTTCTATGTAGTCTAACCCAGAATATTTTTGTCACTTCTTGAAAGAGTTTAGAAAAGATTGCCAAAAAAAATTCTAATTTTTCATTGTTTTATTACCAATTTAAGGCATTGAAATATGAAAAACGTTAATAAATCAATCAAGATTTTTTTAAAATTTTTGATTATTCTGTTCCTTAAAAAAAATTACTTGAATTGTAATTATTATATCATTATGGAACGATTTTAATTAAATCATAATTTATCACGTTGTAACACATTAAAAAAAATATAATTTAATTCATTTTTTATTGGTTTTGTGAACAGACGCTTGTTTATAAACAAAAAAATTACGAAAAATTTTGTTTATTATTTTTCTGTTTTTTATATAATTTTAAAAATTATTGTACACTTGGACTTGTTGTTACCTATCAGGTATTCTCCATTGCTATTAAAACTACTTATAAACTATTGAAGATACGACTAGAACAATCCAAGTCTTATTTATTCTTCAACATTATTTTTTAAATATTGAAGTAGAAGTACATTCATTTTATACGTGAATTAAATAATTAACAGTTGAGTATTGATACCAATATTTTTTTATTAATTATGACATGTAAATTCTTAAATAATCTACCACGCGCGCAACGAATTTACATTAAAATATAATGGTTGTGTTGCAGGTGAATCTGAAAACCGCGCGAGCGCTAGATATTGATGGCCCTTTAAAGCATGTATTTCAACAAATATCACATTCACGAGATACAGTAATTCTTCATAATAAGTAGGCACTGACGTAAAGTGATGATTTCAACCAATGAATGCTGCTGTGATCTGTGATTCGTCTGTTTGAATTGGATCAAATAAGTACGGAGTGGATTTGTATAAATTGTAGCTACTTTCAAAAAGATATTGACGAGAATTTGTTGATCCAAATGGAGCCACTAAATCACATACATATGGTATTGAATCAACAAATCGGGTATGGATCAACAAATTTGAGCGGATCAACAAAAAACTAATTATACGTAACGCTGGATCAAACAACTCCTAGAATGGATAACTATATATATATATATATATATATATATATATATATATATATATATATATATATATATACCTATATATATAAACGGCTCCAGCGATTTTCATGAAATTTAGTATGTGCGTAGATTGGGGGGCGAAAAATCGATCTAGCTAGGTTTCATTTTAAGAAAATGTCCTTTTATCCCTGTTTTCAGGGAATGAAAAATATCATTCAAATATGACAGTATGTTTTTTTCCAAAATACATGATTTACCAAAAAAAAAACGGTCCTCCAGGTACTAAGACTAAAATACCATATCCGTAATTTTAAAATTAGTTACATTAGTCAATTCCTTCATAACTTAAATTTCAGGAACGCGATTTGCCAAAGTCCAATCCAAGGTGTGCATCACGAAGCTATTGTCAAAATTTCGAGTGGAGCCATCCAAGAACACATTGATTAAAATGAACTACGATCCAATGCGTTTAATAATTAGTCCCGCTGGAGGAATTCCGTTAAATATTGTACGACGCAAATAATATCATGGCCATAGATAGACCGAAAAGTACTAACAAATCAGCAACATTTAAAATTAACTAATAAATAATGCTGTCACCAAAATTATAGTGGTTTACAATTATAACGATTATTATTCTACAGTCGTTTTATTTCTTTTAATTTTGCAGCTTTTTATATTCCTAGTGCTATAATCACTGGATCAGATATTTGCGACAAAGAGTTTTTAATGAGATTTTATTATGGTTATGAACAACCCTTTTTGCTTTACTCTGATTTCACTAGCAGGTGTACAATTAGCAAAGTAGCCTTAATTTTTTTTGCTATGGCAAAAAAAATCTGCTGCTTTTGCCATTAATTAAAAAAAAACTTTAATCAGTTTTCAGCAGGAAGGAGATAAAAATGGGGATAAATGTAATGGGAAAAAGTCTGGAAAACGAAATGCAATGGTGCTAACAAAGAAAGCATTCCGGTACCAAACCGGTTTAAATTATTTAATTATTTCGGTAAGTAAAAGTAAAGTAACAGCCTATAAACGTCTCACAGCTGGGCAAAGGCCTCCTCTGTACAGAAGGTATTAGGACATAGTCTACCACGCGTCCCTATTGCAAATTTTCAGATTTCTCCGATGAAAATGGATGTCCCACAAGGATCAATCTTGGGCCCATTATTATTTTTAGTATTTATTAATGATCTCCCCTTTTATACCAATGGGTTGTGTGATGTTGCACTGTTTGCTGATGATACATCGCTAATTTTTAAAGTTGACCGAAACGTATTAAATTATGACGACGTGAATAGTGCACTTTCACATATCCTCCACTGGTTTACTATTAATAATATGGTATTAAATACCAAAAAAACGAGATGTATTCTTTTTACCCTTCCCAGTATAAGAAGGAAAAATTTTAGTTTAATATTAAATAACGTACCCATTAATCCAGTTGAGTCTGCTGTATTTCTGGGAATTACAGTAGATTCAAAGCTCCAGTGGAGTCCCCATATATCATCTCTTGCGAATAGGCTGAGCTCCGCTGTTTTTGCGATTAGAAGGGTTAGGCAGCTAACAGACATCGACACTGCCAGACTTGTTTACTTTAGTTATTTTCACAGCATCTTGTCGTACGGCATTTTTTTGTGTGGTAGTGCATCAGACATAAATTCTATATTTATTCTTCAAAAAAGAGCTGTCCGAGCAATCTACAATATCGGAGCCCGGAATTCACTCAGAGATCTTTTCAAAGAGGTTACTCATACTCACTGTTGCTTCTCAATACATTTATTGTAATATTTTGTATATACGTCTTAACCTTAATTATTACCTGAAGAATAGTGACAGACATAAGACTTACTACGCCTATGTTTCGTCTACAAAAAGTTGACCAATTTAAATGTAAAATTAAAAATCAACTAATGATTAAAGCATATTATACCATTTCGGAATATCTCGACGACGCCAATGTGTGGAGTTAATACAGTTGATACTCACGGAGGCTCGAATAAGACTATCATACCTATATATTATATTGTACCCTGATCTTTTTGAAAAAGAGCAACTGTTGAGTTTCTTGCCGGTCTCTTCTCAACAGAAACTGCTTTCCGAACCGGTGGTACTTACGAACCGATATACATAATATTTGATGTAAAATTTAACGATTCATAAGAGCGTGCAAGCATCTATTTGAATAAATATGTTTTTTATTTTGATTTTTGATTTTGATGCTGGAGTAGGTATAACTGAATTAACATAGATAGATTCGTTATTATTTCGAAACCATTTTGAATATTTTTTTAAAAAACAACAATAAACATCAATTACCGTACTATTACCGTGGAGTTATAAAATGCATAAAAAAAAAAGGTCATCACGTGTTTTGGACAAACTCCGGCGATTTTATAAAACATAATATTCAGCATTCTTATATAGTTTCTGAGATAAAAAAGAGGTGCAATGTAGCGGTGGTTTCGCAGATTAACTTGTTGTTTCATATTGTACAGAATTATGAACGAAAGACCAGATAAAGCTTTCTTTGTAAACATGTTATGACGGACTTTGTTTGTAAAGGAAAGGAACTCTTCGATTACTTGTCATTCTTAATTATTATTTAGCATCACGATCATTCTTCTGCCCTTATCTCACCTAGGCGGGGTCGGCAAAACAAGTGAATCATGTTGTAAGAGGTTTTGGCTATATTTTTTACGCACGCCCGCGGACTGACAGCAACCCTCCTTGGGTAAAAATAAATTATTTAGCGATGATTGTAAACAACTTTTAAAGGATTTACTGATATAATTTTTTATAAAGGCTTATAAAACTTCTTGAGTTTTCCCTCTTACCCTTTAGACCCAAATAAAACATCGCTATTCAAACATGAAACATTTTATTTAAGTAAAGACTTGACTAAGGCTAACTACGTAGTAAAAGTGAGCGTTCAAATCGGCGAACTCGTTTCAAAAACCAGAGGACTAAATTGATAATAAAATGCGGAATGACATGGTGGAGTGAACTATTATGGAGTCATTAGGACATTATTTATTTACTTCAATGCATAATTATCCATAATGATAATATTTCCACGGCCATTAATGGAAAGATCAAGCATTAATATTTAACCTTTTTATCGCTATGATTAAATGACTTCCGTCATGAAGCCATACCACTTGAAAGGAACAAAAACATTCTAGACTTCTTTATAACTAATACAAACATTTACAGACTACGCAATCTCCGCCTTTTTCGTTCATTTTCAGACATTCACGAATGAACAATATCAAAATACAATTCAGGAAACATTGTACCTCACTTAGTTTTTTGTTATTGCCGTTTCCTCCAACGATATAAAACTACTGATAAAATATTAGTACATATTATAAAACATACTCATCGTCGTCTCCACCTACTTATCACCGGAATTATTTCCTTTCAGGTTACGTAAAATTTTAGACGGGAGGTAGGTATGTTGTGGTATTTCTCAATCAAATATCTTTTATAGATTTATAACCAGAACTTGATCTTTCGTTCGGGTGCCTTTGAAAGTAAATTCTAGAAAAACTGGAGTATTTTTTTACTAGGGTAGAGACGAAAAATAGTGATAAACATTTCGTATTACAGATGTGTGTATATTTCTTCCTGGTTATCGCGTGGATTGCTCTACGGCAACTATGCTATACTCAATCTGCGGCCCTGGATCAAGGCAACACGTCAATTAACTGTTTTCGTAAATATGACAAATCAAGTGTTTTGATTAGGAATGATTTTGAAAAGGTGTTTTTCGTTCCATATCGAGCGAACCAGATCGCAGAAATCTCCTTCCCTCGGCTTCCATATTTCCATGTAGGTTTTTTTAGAAGGTTATATAAGCATTTTAATAAATACTTTGGTTATTTTTTTTTATTTAACTTATTTTGACAACCAGTTATGGAAAAAGTTACAAGGTAACTAGCTAACGCAAATAACTTCAAAATAATAAGATAGTACCTATTTTTCTACATATTTTCATTTTCATAATAAGAGACTTTTAAAAGAGCGGGGGAAACAGCATCTAAAATCACAGCCAATTTATTAACATTGGTAAAAAGGCTTTTAAATACGACGCGAAAGAAAACTAAGCGAAAGAAGCTATAGAGCCACGATATGTGTCGTACAAATAATAATAATAAGAAAAATATTTTAGGACACATTTTTACACAACGTTCTCTAGTCCCAACCTAAGCAACGCTTGTACTTTGGGTACCAGATAACTAATAAACATACTTTTCTTTTGTAAATAAATACATATTATACATATATAAACACGCAGACACTAGAAAAACACTATGTTCATCACACAATATTTTTCCAGTAGTGGGGATCGAACCCACACTACGCCATTAGGATTTAAGGCGCTGTATGCAGTGAATTTTTAACTATTTGGGTGGTGAAGTATGAGGAAGCGGAGGAAGGGTAACGCCGCTTAGCGGCGCGCAGCGCGCGAGTTTCGTCGACGCGCCGCTAGACCAAGTCATTCTTTGCCTAGTGTGTGTGTAGTGATGGGCTGTAGGATACTATCGATAGTATCATGGAAGGCTTTCGAAAATGTACACAGATGATCCCTATAATATCTTTTATAGACCATGATTGTATTTTACTTTTATATTATAATAGGGAATAATAATAAACAAACAAATATAAAGTATGAGACAGCAATCAACAATTTTAGAAAATTTTCTTCCTGTTTTTATTATTTTTTTAATTAAATGAAATGGCTCATAAAATTTTTGCAGAAATTACGAATACAAATTTATATATTACATTTTTTTTATATATTAGGAATTTTAATTTATCCTTCAAATGTTCAAGACTTACTTATATTACTTTCTCAACTAAAATGAAATTAAAAAAACTATCGATAAGAACCTTATTTGTCCTTATAAACGACAGCATATTATAACTAGAATCGAAATTTTGTCACTTTCCATAGAACTCGCGTAGCCTGTTGGTCCGAGCGTCGTACACAACGGTAAACTATTGCTGTAGTCCCAAGTTCAAACACACATCGAGTGGAGTTGTATTTTTTATATTATTTTCTCTTCTTTCAGAATATTATTATTGTTGGCCAATAAGGATTCTGACACCGCTAGTGATATGAGGATAAAGCAATGAGGGACATTAATAACTATTGTAAAACCTCATTACAAACTTTTGGTCGAAAATGGAATAAACTGAAAAATGGAATAAATAGATACTTTTTTTTAAAAGTTGTATTTATAATAAATTACACTTTTGACTATAATATTGTTTATTAGCAAAAATTTCGGTTAGTGCCATAAATTTTCCGTCTAAAGCCTAATATTATTTGCGTCGTATAATATTTAACGGAATTCCTCCAGCGGGACTAACAACTAAACGCCTTGGATCGAACTTCATTGTGGGCAATGTGTTCTTCGACGGCTCCACTCGGAACTTCGACAGTAGCTTTGCGATGCACACCTTGGATTGGACTTTGGCAAATCGCATTCCTGGAAGATAGGTTAAAGCAATAGATTATTTATTAATTTTTATATAACGTATACTCCTTTAAAAAAGAATGTTTTATAAAAATGGATTCAAAGAGCTTAAACTCACCAATACAGTTTCTGGGTCCGGTACCAAATGGCATATAAGCGCAAGGATGCCTGTTTTGCTCATTTTCGCGAGTGAAGCGTTCGGGGTCAAATTGGTCTGGATTGGGATAGTATTTGGGGTCACGATGGATTCCCCACACCGGCACAAGCACAGTTAGACCCTTTCTAACCGTAACATTAGTGCCTGGGATCTTGAGGTCATTCTGTGCGTTACGTTGCAGAGGATCTACAATAGGGTACATACGAAGAGTTTCACTAAACGTTTGGTCCATATAAGTCAGATCACTTAAAGCTTCATAGCTTATTTCACCATTGTGCCGTGCCAAAACTTCATCGATTTCCGATATAACTTTGTCTTGAATATCTGGATTTTTTGCAAGTTCATAAAGCATGTATGCCATTGTTGTCGCACTAGTTTCGTAGCCGGCCACGTAGAATACAAAGGTCTGGGCTGAAATTACACTTTCAGTCAGCTCGACCGAATTCAACTTATCATCGCCAAAGTTTTTTCCTTCAATATTTCCTTTTTGCCTTAACTCCAGAATCAGATCCATAAAATCTCTTCTGTTTGTTGGTTTTCCTCCCCTCTCCTTAATGACAGTTTTGGTAAGATTATCAAAAAATTCGTTGACCTGCCTTGGAAATAGAGAACCATTAAATGTTTTTAGGATTCCCGGAAACATCATATCAAGCTCATGACTATAATTTGCGGTGAAAACCATTTTGTCAATTTTTTCCAACGTGTGTGACATATCCTCGTTGAGGTCTACACCGAAAGCACAAGCTGCAATAGTGGCCATAGTATACTTTTGAACTAGAGTATGTATTATTTGTTCTGTTTGTTTTTCACAAAGTTGGTCAACATATTGAACGAACTTGTTTCCACGCTCCGTTATTAGGTATAACATATTCTTGAGTTTTCCAGTCGTAAATACGGGTGTGAAACGGTTTCTCAGGACCCTCCATCTGTCACCATCAGCGTGGAACAAATTAACTCCCAGCCCCTTATCACTGAATTCTATTCCTCTGTCGGTAAACGAATTGAAATCTTTTATCATGACCTGCTTAATCACGTCCAAATCCCGTAGCAACAAACAAGGAGTTGTCATTCTATAGACTCCGACTACCTTTTCATCAGGATACTGGTCGTAAATTTGTTTCATTAATAGTGCAGAATGCGATCTACGGAGTACAGAATCTTTTATATTGCCAAACAGAAACTCGGGCATCGGCCCAGCTACATTTCTATCTTTCCAGTAGCTAAATGTTCTGGTAAAGTAGTAATACATAAGTCCTAACAAGGTCACTAATGCCACGAGTAATAACATTTTGTATTCTTACGTCTAACTTTATTAAGTCACTGAATTTTATCACGAGCATTTGCTCTGTTTTATATATTACCGTAATCTTATCATCTTTGATACACACATATAAAAACAAAGTGCTGCAAATATTATTCGCTGACATAACTTAGATTTATACACGTGCCTACATATTATTTCTTTATTATTCTTTTTAACCCCAGACGTACGAATAAGAGGGGTGTGGTAAGGTTGACATGTCTGTGTGATATCGTAGCTTCTATACGAATACGACTAGACGAATAGACCGACTAGGATGCTGTTTTTTTTTTGTTTAAAAGCCGACATGATCAGGATGGTTCTTAGCTATAGTATGAGTTCATTTTTTGTGTCATGGGATTTCTTAGAATTAAGTTAAGTCTAGTTACTTAAAAACTTAAAATTAATGGCGTTATGTTATTTTAAACTACATTACAGATTGGCAGCAAGTGTTAGCAACACATCTGCAGTCTCAATTGCTTTACACCAGGTGAACCATCTGTTTTCTTGCCAACTTTTAAATAAAAAAAAATCATTTTGATTTTTTTACGTTTTAACAGATTCGCTACGACTTAAAAATATAAGTTCAACCATGAAGTCAGATACGACTCTAGTTTAGTGGACTCAGTGGCGGACTAGCCCTGCAGAGGCACAAAGCGGCAAACCTGAATGAGGCCCCTAGTTTAGGAAACTGACCTAATTTTAAAAGCTTTTTATTCACTCCACAATTGCACATAATATTTATAATATCCGTTTAGTTAAAATCTTAAAAGCGAAAATTCGACTTAAATAAACATACATAGAATCCATATTTGATGAATAAAATAAAATGCGACTCGATCGGCAAAAATAAATTAATTGGTAATTTTTATTTCCAGTAAATTTTTTCACTGGTTAATGAGTTCAGTAAAATGAAGGCCTTTTTTAGGATTCCATACCACAGAAGGTAAAAAAAGGAACCCTTATAAGATTTTCTTGCCCATCTGTCTGTCAGTGTGTCTCCATCGATTTTATCAGGAACGAGTGTATAAAAATCAAGGCCCTGTCTGTACGGTCAACACGATAAAAAGATATGGGCAAATTTAAATTTTTGCGAAAACTTGTAAGTACCAAAATTTAACTTAATTTTCAACTTTTTTATTTTTCAGAATTTTCCCTTTACTTGTGCTGCAAGGACCCTGCTTTTAACCAAAATTCATAATTCTAAGTCAACCGGAAGCACTCTATAGGTTTTGGGTCGAAAACCTGTATGGTAGTCCCCGTTGACCTAGAATCACGAAATTGGGCAAGAAGCAAGGCAGCACAAATAAAGGAAAAATTCCAAAAAATTAAAAAAGTTGAAAATTTAAGGGTGTCCCCATACATACGTAGTTGAAGCCAATTAGGAATCCTCTGAGTTGTGTAGGCGCTCATGCAAATACAATTACATACTAGATAAATGGTACGGAACCCTTCGTGCGCGAGTCCAACTCGCACTTGGCTGGTTTTTTCCTTCAATTCTTCCCTCTTATTGCCTTCTTTAAATTGCGTAGACGTTTAGTAGGATGCAGCAGTATTCGGAATGCTAAACGGTCATTGAGTTACAGCCCAAGCCGAGCTCCCCTCTCGGGGGCCCTTACGCCTAGTTACTCCATGGAGCGGCCACCGAAGCCACCTAGACCCGAAGAGTTTGGCGTCCTCCCAATCTGGTATAAAAACTAATAGATTGAAGAGCAGAGGCTCCCGAGGAAGCATCGAGCTTAGTCACTCATGAGCGAGGTACAGGCTAGGCGCCTTCAGCGCCCGGTCACCTCATTCCCGGTGGATCTATAAAGGCCTCTTAAGTGCCAACAGTTAAAGATCCAAGTTAAAGACATGATTCGAAATACCTTCCGAAACATAAGAAGATGAAACATCGCCCTTGGAAGAAAGAAGAGTCACTGCTCTTGCCTCCAATAAGTGTTTCTTTAAAGACGTCACGGCATATCCGGCTTTACGCGAGCAAAGTCAAAGTCAAATATCATTATTCAATATAGAAGCTATACACTTACTTATTGATTGTCAAAAAACCACTGCTCGCGGCGTAAAGCCGGATATTAAGGCACTCCTTAACAAACATGAAGAGCTAAAATTTTATTAGGCAAGTTTTTCATTTAAACATTAGGCCTGGTTCCGAATTTTTTTAGTCATATCCCAATTTTATAAATAATCGTAAAATAAACGTCATTATCTATTTTTATTTTTCTTTTTAATCTTTTTTATAAAGTTGCCTATAGTTACATGTTTTAATTACAGTTAAATTCAATAACGATTATTAAATGAATCAGTATTTATATACGTGTCTCCAAATCACTTGTATGATTTTTTCATTGTATAATTCCAAGGCAGTGATAGCAACGTCCTGTAATAAAAAAGCGGATACGTTTATTTTTGTCGTCACGGAATAACTAACAAGAAGTTTCAATGTGAGAAGGTGGCAAACGAGCTGGCGGTTCACCCGATGTTAAGTGATAACTGCCGCCCATTGACATTTGCAACGTCCGTGGGAATGCATATGCATTGCCACCTTTAAAGTGAGCCCCGGCTAACTCACTCACCAGACGAAACGCAGAAGTATGACACTTCCACTATACGCCGGTCTTTTCTGAGGTCGTGGTACTTACCCGGACGGACCTGCTCATTCGTGGCGCTACAACAGTTGGCATCAATCACGGTATTAGAATATTAATCTATTTAAACAAAAAAATTATACTTATAGATTATGTATGAATTCTAAGTTTCCACCATAATTATGTAATTATAAACAGATTCAATAACAAATCTATATGTATCTATTTAAAGACACAAGAAGAGATGGAAAATATATGTTAAATGTAACTAGAGTTAATTTCAACCAATTTCCGCGTGTGTATAATCATTTGAATTATTTGTTCAGGATAATTAGAAACTATTTGCACACGCTACAATGGTTTTAAATGGCTCATTTTTATTAGATTTTTTTAAATGTTTTAACCTGCTGGACTTACTTATCTATATTATATAGAACATACCTTCCGGTTATATAGAACATACCTTCCTTACATAAAAAAAATAGTGTTGAAGATAAACTACTCTCATATACAGGGAGGCTTTTCTAAGTTTATTCAATTTTTTAAATTAAATTGTAGATATAAATAATGTTATATAAAAAAAGATAAATATTTAAAATCACTCTTAATTAATCAATTACATTCATTTTAACTTATCTTTAAAAGTGTGTGATTTATGGGCAACTCATTTATTTCACTAGCGATCATTCATAACTAACACGCACACAAGTTCGTTTCAAATGCGTCGTATACTACGCATTTATGAATGACTACCGCATTGTCAACAAGTTCTGTTTTTTATGGAATAGAATTGCAATATTTTTTGAAAAAAAAAAAGTTTGTTTTTATTTCAATAAACGATTATACTACCGAGTTGAAACTCCTGTGTGAATTTGAGCACCTTTAGAAAAGCCACCCTGTATAAAACTTCTTTAATAAGCGACACTGAAAGGCAAAGCGATAACTAATGTGCGTTTGATATTACATTATAACTGGACTCCAGTTCAAAACGATCAAAATAATCTATCTCTATAACTCACCGTTTTTAACCTTAACAAGTGACCGCTTAAGCTTTGCCGGATCTTGTTGGGGAAGGAGCCAAAGCATCCCTGTGACAAGAATGCTAATAAATAAAAATTAATTTTCACAGTTTCCATCATAATCATACATACATAACAGTCACTGTAGAATGTATTCAATGGTATGTTTTTCGGCTAGATTTATTCATAGTATTGATCTTGCGAAACTGTTACATTCAGTCAGTTAAATTGAAAAGATATTGTGTCTTTAGTAGTATAACATTATTCTAAATTTATAGACATTTTAAAAAGATGCCCTGAACGATATGAAAGAAATAAGTATATAATGCAACAACTTAAGATTATCTTCAGCTCAAATTGGGCGCTAACATTTCGACATTAATCAACGTTTACTCAGACTGCATCATAATTGTAGCTAATTCTTCGCAATAATTAACTGCATTAATAAATAAATATAATGAGGAGATATGTGTGGGGAAAACTAGGAGAGGATCATCAGTGATTTAGAGAAACAAAGCAAACAACTCTCTGATGTTACTATTTTTATTTCCGTCTTACTCATTAAGACAAGTGTCCTTATCAGAGACACACACACAGGACGCGTCGGGTGCAGTTCGGAAACGGTGGCGCTCATAATTAAGACAACACAGATTATACAGATCGTTTTCAATTTGACATTTGACATTGATTTCGGTCTGACATTTATTATTTACCTCTCTTAATTTTAGCGCGCACGCCTCCGCGGTCCGACACTGCACCGGCGCAAGATGCTCGCCAATATCATAAGACTCGTGAATACGTTAAACATATACATATTTATACAGCATCTATATGTACAGTTGTGTATGTGTTTATTAGAAAAGCAAGCCGAACGCGCGCGACGGCTTCACCGCTGTCGCCGCCAGGTGGCGCTGGTGTCCACTATGTGAACAGCGCCGAGCAAGCGTCGCTTAATTAGATTATACCATAGTGGCAGTGCAAACGACTTATGCACGATCCTTATCTATCAAATTTATTACACGTCGCCAATGACACGGGAGACGTGTTGCAGCGCGAGAAATATAATACAATAAAGCGTAGTTGGAAGTGTTTACGGTATCAGAATGGGCACCCGGTGTGCTACGGGCTTCATACTTTATTAGTTTTGTTGTAGAACCGTCGGGACAGGAGTGTTATGCCCGTCTCGATCAGATCGTATGTTAACGTTTTAAAAGCAATTAGCGCTATACTGACGCAAGCAAACTTCCAAAAACTAAGTCCATACAGAGTTCAATTTTTGATATTGTACAATAAAAACTATAAGCATTTTCGCGCCTTCGAGGCGTCAAATCATAAGTCGATCACAGAATAAAAAAAAACACTATCTCAGAACTAGCTTATTGTTTACATTTAAACAGTAGACTAATAACAAAATAGGGTTTTTTTGGTAAAAAATATTTTCTCGTCTTAACCGGTAGGTACTCACTTTGTCCTCTCTTAATGTATTGTGCTTAAAAACCTCTATCCGAAATACCAGTTCAATTGAAATGAGAAAGCCACGCTAAGCTAAAAATAACTTACAACAACTTATGTTACATTAATACGAGGTTGCCCGATGCGTCGATTCATAGTTCAGCATCCTTGAATGGTTTTATATGTTTTCTTCTCTACAACAAGCGACAAACTCGTCATTGGATTTGAATTAAACGTGACAGGTAAAAAAATAAAATTACATAACCACATCTGCAGTACTACCAACACTACACGGATTACATTGTCTGTGAATTTATAGTCTTTGCCATAATGTGCCTTTGCATTTATGGTGCATTTCACGATTAGCGAGGTAATAGTCGGTACATCGATAATTCCAAACAATATGAAAATAACAACGATCTAATTGCCAAAATTTGACTACATATACAACAATGTCATATCGTGTACCATCCGTACACGATATGACATTGTTGTTTGCCTCCGTTATGTTTTTTTACGAGTTGATCGTTCTATGATAAAAACTAGCACTTAATCTTGTGTGCAATGATGACAAAATATTTTCGGAAATAATTTCATGACAATCAAATGCCTGTTGAAAGATTTTGCTTTATGTTATGTAGTAGTACTTAAATAGCAAATAGAAAACATTATTATTTTGACCTGCTTAATGTATGCTCAAAGCAACGTATTAGACACAGTTAAATATCTACGTCGAGAGACAAAGGGAAAACTGTCGCTATTTCGGTCATAACCGGCTGTTACAAAAGCTGGTGCTTTTTGGTTAACTTAAACAAGCTACGAATGTAATTCAGTCTCATACGACGGATGATAAGAAATTATTTATTATACTAAAACTATTCACCGTTTCTAAAAACTCACGTTAATTACAATCCTAACCGAGTAAAAACAATAATTTAATTCCTTAAAAAGACCTACGCAATTTCGGAGTATTTTAAATTGGAAGGAGCGTAAAGAAATGGGTTGTGATGCGATTGATAAAAATTATATAACGACTCTTCCATGAATAAACGGTGACCTGTTGATTGTTTTTCGTTAGAAACGTCCTTTATCCATCATAATTCAAAGTAACCGACTCAAGACTTGACGCATATGTTCAGTGACAATTTTGTACTTCCAATTAGTAACACTACGTAAACCTTCCCGAATTCAAATCCATAGGAATAATTTCGCTTCCAATGCAGCTGACCAATATCTAGAAGACCTTAAGACCTTAGACCGAGAAATCAGTATCACCACATATTTAACAACATGAAGATATCGATAAGCTCTTGAACAACAGACCTAAAGATTTCAACACGCTCTTGAACTATCCCTCCTATACCTTCATACGCTGCGGAGGATTGACAAATTCCACAATTACTAATTCCGGACTGTGTTAAATTTAACATAATAAACACATTCGAAATGTTCCTAAACCCCATTCTAGGCCATTTCCCGAATATAGTATTTTGCTTTATTGAAGGGTAATTTTTGGTTAAAATCTAAAACCCCTTTTAAGATGAGTCAGCACGCAGCAAATGAATAATTAGAAAGTACAAACAAAACATATTTCTTTTGAATTGCACAATATTAATCACACACTTGTCCAGTTATATGAGACTATAGAAATGTGCACTTATCGGCCGTATAGTATTCCAATGTAGAGTATTTATTGAAAATTTTAAATCGCAATTCGAGCGGTTTTCACACGTAGGTCTCAAGCTGAAATAGATTGAATGTAAGGTACTACGGCTGTAGAGTTTATTAATCGTAACGGTCCTTACGTAATTTTCGTACAATCGTAAAAATCGTAATTCCCTTTCTTTAAGTTTAAGTGTCGAGGACACGCTAGTAGAGAGATAAAACTACTGATTTATAGAGAGGTTTACTCTGTGTAGTCCCAGCAGTCCTTTTCGTAGCCTTCTTGGACGTGCTCAAGGAGAACCTTTCGCCGACTATCGCAATATCTGGAAAAATTAATATTCGGTTATAAAACCCTATAAATAATTTACATATATTTTTCTTTTTTTATTCTTTTGTTCTTTTTTGTGCACAAAATGCAATCGAAAACAAAGTTAAGATTCAAGAAAAAAATATAATTTTAGTATTTTTAATACTTATAATAAGGACTATAATAGATAAGATGTCGAAAAGTTTTTAGCGCTACTAGATTTCGAACGTTCGTCTTCTGGGTAAGGCACCGACACGCTCTAGCCAACTGAGCTAAGCGGCCGATAACCTCAACATGCGAATATCTTCACAGAAAAGTAGACTTTACTTTTGTTGTTGTAACAATAACAGCCTATCTATATCCCACTGCTGATTAAAGGCCGAGGGTGATAGGGCATAGTCCACCACGTGACCCCACTGCGGATTGGCGGACTGCATATATTTTCGAAACATTAAAAAAAACCTCAATATACTCCAGCGACCTGAGTTCAAATCCGATGATGCCGGCACCTACTATTTTGCTCTTTTATCAACTAGTGACCTACTTTACATTATGCAGACACTCTGAAATATCTTCAGTTATATAAAAAACTGTTCTACAATCGATTGCTTATAAAACAAAAGCAAAGGTAAAATGCTGCCCACCTATATTTGTCCTGGACTTTCTGTTTGATGTAGGCCAGATTTTCGCTGGTGATGTCCCTCTCGAGGTACTCTGAGAGCGTCTCGGTGGCTGACTCCAGGTCGCGCTGGTTGTCCTCGAAGATCACCGACTGGTTGTTCTTGCGGAGGTAATACGCGAACACGTACGTGTACATGAGGGTTTGCCGGCACTGGCAGAGTATGTCCACGGCTTTCTTCAGGAACTGAACCTGTTTAAATAACAAAAAAAAGTAAAGTTACACATATAACACCTTATACATGTCCCACTGCTGGACATTGGCCACCTCTGTATAGAGGTTATATAGTTTTTTTTGTTATTATTTCGAAAATATGCTAGGTTTCCTCACTATGTTTTCCTTCACCACTGAGCAGGTGGTAAGTCAGCATGTAAAGTAACAATTTCAAAGATCACCGGGGATCGAACTCGGGCTGCTCGAGTAAATTGAATTAAAGGCGAACGCTCTAACACCGAGCTATCGCGGCACTTTATAAATTTAGGATAAATTTTTGGTGCTAATCCGCCTAGAGGGGCAACGACCTCGATCCAGCTCATGTTGTGCTGCTGCATCTCCTCCATCTTCTCCTTGACGGAGGCGTACAGCTTGGACTCGAAGCGCAGCGACTGCATGTGGTTCATGTAGCGGTTGCAGTAGAAGAGGTACCGCTGCAGCGCCGAGCGGGACCTCTCCTGCGCGTCGCGCGCCGCCTTAGCCTCGTCCTCGTCGTATCTGCAACGGATTTTAAACTTATTACACTACCTTTGGCGCGATTGGTGCGTGGCAGCGTCGAAAATTACTGACTTAATAATTGACTATGTAGGCAAACGATAACTTCTTGATATTTACCTATAAGTTCCAGTTGTTTAATTATACGGATATCGACTCTTGCATATTAAAGTCGGGGGTACGGGAAAAAAGTTTTTTGATAAATTTTAGATAAGAAAGCGCCGAACGCACCTGTTGCAGCTGTACCAGCTGCTGCCGTGAGGCTCCCAGGGCCCGAGGCACACCCAACAGAAGTCGGCCTTGCAGTTCTGGTTCTTGCACACCATGTGGTTGCAGCCGCCGTCCTTCTCTATCGTCACGTTGCACTTGGGGCACTCCTTGGTGTTCGCCGCGATCCAGTTCGACGTCTCGGAGTCGTCGTCGCACTTCTGCAATATATCACGAGACGTGTTTTCGTTTTCGTATCGGGTGGCGTTTCATGTTAGAACATTCTCGTCGATCGAACGCGGGAAGGGAAAAGTTTCCGCGTTGTGACGTGAACCACGACGCGGAGACCTTAGATAGTTATTTTGATCTTTGATCTTATTTTTTCAAATGTCCGGTGAGTGCAAACTGGTGACCTAACTCCCCAGACGGGAACGAAACGAAAGGAGACTGAATGAAACGCAAAAGTACAACACTTGCACTTTACGTGGATCTTTTGTGAGGTTTCGGTATTTCCCCGGACGGACCTGCCCATTCGTGCAAAGGTAAAAACCGTTGCATGGGCTCACTTATTTAACCACAAAATGGAAACCCCAACGTAGCCATGTCCATGGGCGGTGGTAATCACAACATCACGCCGCTACAAGCATCAGCACTTTCCACCGCAAAAAGAAGACGAGAAGACTGGGCCCTAAGTGGGGATGCACCCTCCCCGACCGGGTGGTTCCCGCCCTGTCGTGGCCGAGGGGCTTAGTAGCCGTGGCTTGGTCACCCACGAGGAACCCACATTGGGCTGGGCTGTAGTGTAAGGCCGCTCCAAACGGGCTCACTGAGCCCACTTTAGATGCGAGCGAGAAGGGTGCGGGGTAAGGTCGAGGGTAGTAGAGGTTTAGCCACTCTCCGTGTCCTCTGCGACCGAGGTAGACGCAGAGCTGTGTACCACATGTCCCCGTGTCCCCCAGTCGATGCAATAGTCAAGAAACAAGAAACGGGGGGGGGGGGGGGGGGCGTACCTTTATCCACTTCTTGAGCAGGCAGCAGCGCACGGGGTCGTGCCAGTTCTCGCCGCACGCGAAGCAGAACGTGTGCCCGCAGCGGCACGTCACCGGCGCGGGCTCCACGTAGGCGACCTTGATCGCGTTGCTGCAGTCGGGCGAGGGGCACCAGCGCAGCAGCCGGTTGCACTGCGCAAAGATAACACGCGTTATCATAGGCCGCATCGATGAATGCCTTCGCCTTGAACTATATATACTATATAGCTTGCACCGCGCAAACAACACAAATAGCACTCTAGGCCGCATCCTTAGAAACCTTTGCTTCATGATATACATGTTGGAACAATGAGTGATGTAGACAGCAGCCTGTTGCAATGCGCACACAATGCCCGTCACCTTAGAACGCATCGATTAAAGCTTTAGCCTCGAATTATAGCTTGCGCCGCGCAAACAATACCTACAACACTCTAGGCCGCATCCCCAGCAACCTTTGCTTCATAATCTACATGTTGCAACAATGTGTGATATATTCAGCTGCCTGTTGCAATGCGCACACAATGCCCGTCACCTTAAGCTGCATCGATAAAAGCCTTTGCCTCGAACTTGCACTTTCACATTCTTGGCAAGGCTCAAACTTTAATAAAAATGACTATTCTTACAATCAAGCGGCTCCAACGTTTCGAGTTTCCAAGTCAGTAATTTTTCGTATTGTGAAACGATACCGGCCGACTGAAGAGTACACGGAACACAAAGAGCAAGGTCACACTGAAGTGACTACAATAAGAATAGAAGCCATAACGCTAAGAATTCGCACTTTTACTTCTACTCAGATGTGAAAAAAAAATTGTACTTCCTCGTCATTAATTGCGTGGTTATTAAAATTAGTGAACTGCTTTAAATTTGATATCGATTGTAATTTCAAAAGAATCTGTATCGATACTTCTTACGGCTGTTGTTACGTGGGATTTTTTTTTACAAACATTGCCCTTGTAGAATAAAATGATCCTGTGCTGTATGGACGTTTTACATACATTAATTTCACGTGGACAAACAACCAGATACGAAACAATTATCAATGGTTCACACAAATAGATGTCCCGTGTGGGATCGAACCCCCTGGCACCGAAGCCAATACACCTTGACAGTAACGCTACGGAGTCATCGTTTTTTTTGGTTCGCATGCCTAGAAAAGTTAAAAAAAAGAACGGAACCTAATAAACGAGTGAAGGCGAAAGCACGATATGTGTGAATGAAAAGATAGAACGAGAACGACAAATCGATATAGGTGGATAGTGTAAGTTGAGACGCTTTTACGCACACCCACGCACGCGCACGCACACACACAAAAATATACATATAATACTACCTCATGTTAAATATCGTTCATAGTTTAAAGTAGCGCTTTTCTTATTTTTCATAGTAGATACCGACATATTTTTGATTCGAAAAGTAGATTTTAAATTGTGAACTTTTTAATAATATTTATTAAAACAAAAAGGAGCCAGATAGACATGATTATGTCGCACATAAGGTGGACAAACGGACGGCCATAGTCACCTCCACGAAGCTGTTGGTGATGATGTGCTGGTACTTGAGCTTGACGCGCGGATCCCGGACCAGCCGCATCACCGTCGCGTCGTCCACCAAAATGTCGCACGCGTGAGCCGCACACGCAATCGTTTGACCCTTTGCAAGGATAAAACTACATTATACAGAAAGGAAAAGAATACTTTTAAAAGTAAAACTCATATTATTATTTTTAATCGGAAAAAATACTTGATTAATTTCATTGGTTCTTCGAAGTTATATTTCCGAGACTCTGATCTAAAAAAAATATGATGTCTCCATGTAATGTTAATAAAATTTTAAGAAACATCTATTTTTATTAGCACTTAATGCTCGGTTAAGTATTTTCTTGCCGTGGAGAAGTGGAACTTGAATTTTAACAATGTATCAAGTTTATATTTGATTATATGTATTTCTATGAAATAACTAAATGTTTCAAAGTTTTTTATAGTGCTAATCTCTGCACTTAAGATTGAATATTAAAAAAAGACTGTCGCCGTTGTGTGGGAATCGAACCCACGTCTTCGGCATTCGCGGCCTGACGCTCTAGCCACTGAGCTAAATGGCTGATAGCCACAAGGATTACTAAAGGATTCACAGAACACCCTTTGGAAAACATTGTAAATTCAGATATGTCATCTATTTATCAAATATCACTAAATAGAAACTAACCACTAATACTTACTAATCCTTCTTCCATAATTTTGGTTGTTAAATACTCGCACCAACATTGTGTACAAAATCTGTGTCCGCATTCCAAGCCTGTCATCATCTAAAATTAAATTACAAAAATAAAAATATATACAGAATAGGCCGATATTGTCTGGCTATCGTAATGCTTTTTTTCATATACCGTAACCATGAACTGATAAGCGTTTTTAAACTTTCCCCTGAAAGGATAGTAACAAACTTTAAGTACAGGAAAAATATTTAAATGAGAAATTATTATATAAACATATAAAATCAAACAATGAAATATAACATACTATAACATACCGAAGAATAACATACAATAACATATAATATAACATACCGAAGTTGGTAAGATTGAGAAGCATATTTCACATTCCTCAGTCCCTGACATTGATATCCGTCTGGGTAACTGTAAAAGGAACATCAATATTTTGATTAATAAACATGAAGAACTTAAACACACATAATACTAAGTAAAGTTTCTCAAAAAGATTTAGTTTTTCAAAAAGTACTTCTCCCCTCCAGATCCCAATATTGACCCCAATAATGAAAATTTTGTTGTTTAGTATGTTCACAGCAGTTCACCTAATTTTAGGTGATTACTGCCTCATTGATACAGGTAAAATATACAGTAGCATTGCAGACCTTTTATTTCAAGGTATGGATACTTGTACTTAACATAGGTCTTTTATGAACTTGTGGAACTTCCTCAGACAAGGCTGTCCATTTGTTTGTGAGCAAAAAGTGCTTCTTGGTTATACTACAGCAGCAAATTACACTTAGCATCTACACATTTCTTTTTGAAAAGGAAAAATGATGCTTAACATGCAAAAAAGCATAATGTCCAACAATTTTTATAGATAAATTTAGTATTATACAGCGTGTCCTTACCATCGCGACAATAAATGAACACAGATCTAACGCTACTTGCCAATAATCATAAAAAAATATTAACGTTAAACAAAATCCATAATTAAAAAAATGTTTTTCAAACAAACTAATTAAGTAAAAAAGAAACAAAATTTGTAACATCCTATACAACTCGCGCCACAGCGTCGCGTTACAAGCCTCTCCTTCTAACAGTATGTTTTGTCTCTTTTAAAATCATTCAACCCATTCATATGCTCTGTGACCTTTACAAATGAACTTTACGTTACAGTGTTATACGTAAGGATGTTCTAAAATTCTTTGTTTTGGAAAATTTTATAACTCTGTAAATAGTGATGTTTAAAGAATGTTAATGTTTAATACAATTTTAAAAAATTATCCCCTATATGTGTGTTCATTTATTGTCGCGATGTTGTGAAAGACATGCTGTATAAATAAAATTATAGATGTCAGCCATTGTGCGAGCATCACGGAAAAAAACTACTGGGTTGATTTTAATTTATTCTTCTAATTTTTATTTATTAGACATTTAGCCCTTATCTATAAAAAATATTGTGGTATCCATGTTATTCAAGTTTTAAGAAACAATGTTTTTTTACCATGTGTGTGTTCGCTTGTTGGAAACTGGGCAGTGGTGAAGTTGTTAAATGTGTAAGTTAATGAAAAAGCAGGTCAAGTCATTCATAACTAAGTCAAGTAATTTCATGTTAAAGAATAATAGTTGATGGTTTGTACATAGAGACAATATAGTATGCCTAGAGTTATAAATAGTACTAGTAAATGCAGGTATAAATAGTTCTTACATATGTGCTCAGTATGTATGTTTACAAAGGCTCATGTTTTTCCTATCATGCTTTTGGAAATGTGAATAATTATTTATAAATACACTAAAACTTAATGGATTTAATAAGTTATTTAAAGACATAAGATACAAATTATGTAGATAGCTTATGTAAAACTTCACACTAATAAAAAAAAACATTTTAATATAGGCAACATACCTTGGGCCTCTGTATAACTGGCTTCCTAAATGGATTAATAACTCTTGCTTCAGAGAATAATTGATCCTGGTCCCCATCATAAAATCGTTCCATCAACTTCTCTTTGTCCCATTTAAAATGATTTAATAGTATCCTGGTTGTTGTGGCTGGTATCTATAAAAGGGTTTGTCAATAATTACCATGGTCAGGTTGATTTCTGCGAACTTCAATTTACAAATCATAATATATTCCCCATACATCCTTGCTTGCATGCTTTTTTTTCCTGGCATATTAATAATATTCTACAACAATCTAGGGCACATAAAATAACTCAAGTTAATTTGCTATATTTCTGTGTGAAAGAAGAAGAAACCTACAATTACACATAGTATAGTAGTACTTTATTAGGAAACATATATTACAATAGTAGGCAACAAAAACTTAAAACAAAATGTGTGACCAATACAGTTTTTAATGATTCAAATTAAACCATCATACAAGTATGATGGTTTAACTTAACATTATTCCTTCTATCATAAAATGGGTTATGAACTTATCAACTCAATTGATGAATTATGATTGTACATGAAAATATGTAGTAATAAGAGAAAAGAGCTCTAGAAAATTATCAAATTTGAACAATCTTAAATAATCAAACAGTAGTAGCCAATGGCTTCATAACATAAATCATAGCATTATAAGAAAATAGGTGGTTAAATTGTAAATATGCAACTAGCCTTAAATGAAAAACAAATTTTAATACTATTCAATAAATAGAAAAAGAGAAAAAAAGAAAAAGGTCAATATTTCGCCATTTCATTATTTGCAAATAGGAATACAATGCAAATTTGGTTTTCTTATGTACTACTAATTTTAAAACATATTCATTTCTCAACAAAGATTAAAATGAAATCTTTAAACTACAGTAAACTTGTGCTACATTTCAATAGACCAGTAAACTAATTTACGAGCAACCCCATTCAGGCACTCCATTGTTTACTAGTAACATACTGACCTCAACTACTGTATTCACTTCTTTGATACAATCCACCATATGCTGAACAATTTCCTCCGTAGATAAGACTTCATAAGGATACTCTTCTAGCTCCGTTTGTCTTTCCCTTGTACTATGTGTCTCGTCCATGACAAAGTCGACATCGTCTCCGCTAGACTCATTACCAGAATCCACATCATCCTTTGTATCGTCTTCGGAGTCCATCGTCAAAAGCACACAATTTTAATATATAATATATAAAAAGAATACAGCCAAACACTTCTAATGATGAAATAATTACACCTAAGATTTAGGAAAGGTCAACAATGAAGAAAATAGTTCACCCACGGGCTGCCAAAACCTCTGACGTATTTGTAGGCAGTGTCTATGACGTCACTCTCTATTTCAAAGTATTGTCTATAGTCCAACAAAGGGTATATTTCGAAAGCTAAATGTATATCTAAATTTCTAATTAGAACTTTAATTTGTTGAATAACACATTATTACAGTTTTTATTATTAGACATCCTTAAGGTATATTAACAATGCATTTAAAAGTTAATTTGGGAGACTACAGTAAAGTACCAAACGTTAGATCATACAATTTGAAATGTTTGCATCAAGATGTATTAATTTTTCTTCCCCAACTCTGTGTTTAAAAATCCATAATAAAAATAGATATCATAAATAGAATAATTCAATATTACTTTATTATACTTATTAATATTACTTTTTTATAATATTAGATTATTATTGTCATGTGGCACTTGCTCTTAGCCCGACGACCTTGTTAGCTTCGTCAGAGGAGGTCCACAGGCAGACAATCCACCACCTACCTACCTACTCGTAACAACACAACACTCGTTTGTGCAACGTACGGATACAAATTACAAAACAACCTAGTGCATCACAACGGTACGATGACACCTACCTCTTTGTTGCATCTCCACGACCTCTGTTAACGAAAGAAGGAAAATTTTGAATTTAATTAACACAAAAGGGGGAGGGGGGGGGGGGGATTTGGTTTTTGGATATTTTTTTATATATGAAACTGACTAGCGCTTGACTGCCATCCCACCTGATTGTACTGTTAATATTAATATTGTATGTAATGTAATTGGTCCAGAAAAAGTAACAAACGCGACCTTGCGATTTATTCACGACAACTACGTAGAACGATGATGGTTTATGCAAAAAAAACATTAATTAATTAATCGCAGAGTCAATGCCAAGTAATGTTTGTGGCGTGTACTTGGGTACACACGCATACGCCACATATTGGACTTAGTTGCTAATTAGATTTTTTTAAAAATAAAATCTAAATAATCTTCGTTTGATAATTATGTCATTTTGGGCAAGAGAAAAAACTTCTAAAACAAGCAAAATTCCGTTAAAGTAGACCTTGTTAATGAAAAGATTTGCAAGATACCTATTGAATGTGACTTTTTTAGTTTTCAACATAGCTTCTGAAAGATGTGTTAGAAGAAAAGTTGCATAAAGATTTGTATACCACATCTCCCCCTCCATTCAAATCTCAATTGACAACCATGGCTAATTAGTTTGGTGGTGGGCGATTCATGCTTTTATGTACAAATTTCATTAAATTCGACCCAAGTGCACCAATTTATTTATTAATATATAATAGTCGATAAGTACAAATATGAAATATTGTGAAAATTTTTGACTCCCAAAAATAGCATTTGGTTCAGAACTTAGTTTATCAAAATCAAAAATGAGAAAGAATGTACAATAGGTTCATTTTCAATTAAATAAAACTGTAACATATTTTATTGATATCTCCAAGAAGGCACAATTACTAAAATCACATTGAATACTATAAAACTACATTATCTAATTCATTCTGAATTGATTCAAGCTGGATGAACACTGTATAAAGATCAGAATGGGTTAACTCCATCTCCTGTTCCAAGTTATTATCAGATATTAATAAATAAGCTTTTGGAACTTTACTTCTCTTATGAATATCTGAACTTAGTTCTGTATTCAGTTTCCAAGAAAAATTTTGGTTGTTATCGCATTTGTCATTTGCTTTTGAAACTAAGTCATTTAATGTGGAACTTATTTCTAACGACCACACTTTAACAATAAACTCTGCTTTTTCTTTTTTGAATCCAATATCTAGCAGGTCCTTCTGTAAATCAATAGGCATGAATAAAAATTTTGAAATCCTTTTGTATAAGTACATCATTGTTTTGATTGCGATCAACAAAATTTCTTCATTAACTTTAAATACAACTTGAAGTTTATTTCTTTCACCCTCTGTGAACACCTCTGACTCCTGCAATCTTAATTTAGTTGCAATCCTCCTTAAAAATGGTTCAAATTTTATATCCTCGAGTTGATTTATGATCTGAATACCTTTTTGAACACTAAAACAATAACAAATATGCTTATCAATAATATTTTTCCATATAACTTTTATATTCATTACATAGGTGAAAATACAAGTTAGTTAAGCCATAATTTTTATAAAGAGGTGTTATTTTATATTATACGGTAACTATTATAATTGTTTTTATTACGAACTTTTGTGTCACTTTGAGCCATTTACCGTTCATATTTATTTAAATTTCAGTTAAATGCCTACTGACAACTTTTATAAATGTTACAAAATAGTGATATGTTACTTAATTAATTATTATCATGAAAATAAATATTTATGTACACTTTCAATTCTTTAGTCCTAATCAACAATTTGGTATAAATTTAAATAAAATAAAATAATTATAAATTTTACTTTTGACATCAATCAAATCAAAATGACAACCGTCAACAGTTGATATTTACACAGATGATGTATTTCTGTTGCCTCCTTATCAACAAATACTAAAAAACAAAAAAAAAATATTTAAATGGCGGCTCCCAAACAAGAGACATGATTTTTATGCCATTTTTATAGATGCGAGTCGGACTCTTGCACCAAGGATTCCATACCCTTGGTGCGTGAGTCCGACTCGCACTTTGCTGGTTTTTTTGTACGAGGCAAGATTATTGCCTATAAGAAAAAGAAAATGGTATCAGTCCTATTGCTATTGGTTCTAACTTTCTACGTTTAACTTAAAAATTAGCATGTAGACACATAACATCTAGTCTTAAGACAAAAGCCCAACAAGATAAAATTTGGGGGCAAATTCCACCCCACATGTAGTACTGTTCTCACCTCTGGGTCCCGCCCAGATTATCTCGCTCCCTATTATCAGCTTCTTCCATTTGAAGGCATCCAACGTAGGGCAGCTAGGGTTATCGACGATCAAAATCTTTCCGATTAGCTTGATCCTTTGGCTCTGCGTGGAGATGTTGGATCACTCTGCATCTTCTACCGCATCTATCACGGGGAATGTTCCGAGGAATTGTTTGGATTGTTACCGGCCGTTAAATTTCACCATCAGACATCGCGCAAAACAAAAAAATTTCATCCACACCTACATCCACATAAAAGGCCGGCAACGCATTTCTAAGCCCTCTGGTGTTGCAGTTGTCCATGGGCGGCGGTGATCACTTACCATCAGGTGAGCCTCCTGCTCGTTTGCCGCTTTTTACCCATAAAAGAATAATAAATTAATAAATACGTTTTGGGACTGGTTTGACATAACAACAATACTTTTGGGAACGAAGTAAATAGTCTTGCTTTTAATGTTTGTATTAAAAAAAATCAAACTTTTTTCATCGGAAAAGTTACAGTCTGCACAAGTTCACAATTCTATTAAGTTATTTTTATCGATTAACCGTGATGGGTTATATAATTGACAACAATTAGAAAGAACATAATGAATCATGACAACGAAATGAACATTTATTACTTTGGCTTATACACAGAGAAGATGTTCATGGACATTCAGGAAAATCTCTGCTTTGGCTATGGCTATGAGGCTTACATACCGCCAACGAACGAGGAATTCTGGCCAACCGACCACAGGCCTAGTAAATAAATCTCATAATTAAGAAACTTTTATTTCCGAAAATTTATTCTTCCGACAATGATATTTATTTATTTTATTTATTTATGCTTTATTACAAAACCTTAAAAAAAGGATTACAAAGGGCGGACTTAATGCTATTTGGGCATTCTCTCCCAGTCAACCCGGGGCGTGGAGAGAGATATTATAATATCCAATACAATTTATCATTATTGTTTTCCGCGAACTCATGACATTTTGTAAATGATAGGACGTCTTGTTAAATAAACTGTTTTCGTGATTTAACTTATCGTTTCCAATTATTCGACGTTGATTTTAATTAAATCCTAAAAATTATTCGTGATTAAATCGCAATATCACTACATAGTTTAAAACAAAGTCGTCCCGCTGTCTGGGACATAAGGACAGACCCTATGTATGCTTTAATCTTTAAAACTACGCAACAGATCTTGATGCGTTTTTTTTACTAGATAGAGTGATTCAAGAGGAAGGTTTATATGTATAATACATTGCGATGATCATTTACGATTTATATGTATAATCGTGCGAAGCCGGGGCGGTTCGCTAGTTACTTCATAAAATAACAACCAAAATACAAATTTAATTTTATATAGTGCTAATCTCTGCACTTAAGATTAAAATTTGTGGAAAAAGTACGAAAAGATTGTCGCCGCTGTGTATTTTTCTATAAATTTTAATGTTTAATCTTAAGTGCAGAGATTACCGCTATAAGAAATTAAATTGCTAAAAAGCAATGGCGACATCTCTCGTTCGAATTATCATTGTAAAACGATATTCGAAATTGTTTATATGCAGGAAAGGATATAACAATCGATGCGCCAAGCTTTGCTTCAAAAGCTAAAAAACAATGTAGTTAGAGGACGTTAAAATTGTCGTCGGTGTGGCAATCAGCCGTTTAGCTTAGTGGCTAAAGCGTCAGCCCTCTCTATAGAGGTTATTATATTCTTTGGTCAGGCCGCGAACGCTCAAGACGTGGGTTCGATTCCCACAGTGGAGACAATCTTTTCGTACTTTTTCTTCAAATTTTAACCCGAATACATCTTATATCGGTTTTTTCGTGTACCTTCCAAAATATAATCATATCTTCAATTTCTTCCAGATTTTTTTACACAAGTATTGACATTCTTAATCGTAAATAAATACTTTTATTTAATAAAATTCTTTTTTATTTGTGAAATGAGATATGCTTACACTACCTGTGTGACGTTGTCAGTCATTGTACAAATGTATGACAGAGATAGCGCTCTATGAAGCCAAAATAAGCCGATTTTTTCTTTCCAAAGATTAATATGCAGTATTTATCACGGAGAACTTAAATAACAATTAGCCTTGTCAACCATAAATCACAAAAAGTCCTCAATTTAAAATTGTAATTGATGAATGTACATCCACGTATGTCTACATGCGACGATCTGTCACTTGTTATGTCAATCTACAAATGTCAATATATTCCTTTAATTGGCATGTGAACATCTGTTCGGCTAATTCTTGGAAGATTAAAGCTTAATGTTGAAGCGGTAACTCATTATGTCGCTGAAAATAATCAGAGTCCCGGAAAGTATAGACTTTCCAAAAGAGGAAGAAAAGATTTTAAAGTTTTGGAAAGACATCGATGCATTCCAGAGCTGCCTAAAACAATCTAAAAATAAGCCCAGGTAAAATTTTAATTCTAACCTCTTCTCAAAAGTATTTCAGATATAGATTTTAAATTGTTAGATATTGCAGAACATTATATAGTTGATGTAGTAATTAAATTATGTATAAATTTTCGCTAACATTTATACAAATACTGTCTTCTGTCGGTGAAGAAGATTTACACCATAATATGTGGGATTTCAATATTAATTTAGGTAAATGTAAATAACTTTAACTCCGGCGTAATTCAATTAAAATAAATTTTAAACGATAGAGATAAATCTCTAATGAATTAGTCAACAAGCAGAATTCGGCGGTCGCTTATAGTTTTCGAGAAAAAAAATATTTAAAACTTGTTTTTTGTACTAAGAAATCCACCAATTTATTTGTTTGACTTCAAAAACTCAATACACAGTTGCCAACATGATAAATATAGGAAGCGGGCGACATCATACACATATCGATATTCCTATTTTTTTAATTTAATGAATCACAGAACCGACACATAGCAAATCCGACTCGGATAGATTAGGTTAGAAGGTTCACCTTCGATGTTAGGTTTTTTTTTATGACCACCAAGAAATATGAGCTGAATTGACATATTGACAACAAAAAAATGGCGGCTTTCTATAGTAAAAATCACACTATTTCGTTATTTATTTTTTTGATAACTATAAGCGACCGCCGAATTCTGCTTGTTGATTAATTCATATGTGATTTTTCTCTATCGTTTAAAATTTATTTGATTTGAATTACGCCGGAGTTAAAGTTATTTACATTTACCTTAATTTAATACAAGAAATATAAAATTAAGTAGATTGAGAATGTTTCATTAATATTATTATACCAATAACTAGGATTATAAACCATACTCTTTAAATCATTATGACTAATCCCTCCAAAGCACCACTTGTAATAATATAAAATTTCAATAATAATGTTTTATTGCTGGCATTGTACACCTATAAATCAACACATAATTCCATTCAAATAAATAAGCTTCACATGTACCTAATTTTATATGTAAAGGCAATATGCAATTTGTTCTCTATTAATAATAGAGAACAAATTTGCTGTAACAAACCATAGGCAGCTGATGGATGCCTGTGATTTTTTAGATATTTTAGTCTCAAAATAGATACAGAAATCCCTCTGAATCAGCAACCCTATTTTTTCTGATTAGAAGGGGACCCCCCCCCCCCCCCCCAAGTTCCCCTTATTTTTTACTATTACACCTTTTTACTATTACATTTAATCCATAAAAAACATCTTCATAACTCAAATATTTATTCAAGTATTATGGAGAAAATTACAAATAATTGATGAATGAAATTACAATGAATTGATGAACTTATTAGATTGTGTATATAGAAATGTAAAGTCAAATAAGCAAATTAAAGGCTGTGCCTGCTGTGCAGATGCTAAGCAATTGGCTTCAGTGCCAAGGGTTATAGATTAGACTTCTGTGCTGACTTCACTTGGGTGGGATAAGGGCAGGAGGCCATATTTAACAGATAAAATAATATGTCTATGTCTAACAATATTATTGGAGAAGGACTTTTTGCTGATATTAATCTGAACAAAAAGCTGAATTATTTATTCCATATTTAACTTTAGAATTTAATTTTAAGGTACTCATTCTATGATGGTCCTCCTTTCGCTACTGGACTACCGCACTATGGTCACATTTTGGCTGGTACTATTAAGGATGTAGTAACTAGATATGCCCACCAAAAGGTATGACACAATTATTATTTTTCTCCAATTAATAAGAGAGTTATTTATTATTTCAGTGTTAGTTAAAATATTTTATTTAATACATTTCTAGGGATATCATGTAGAAAGGCGATTTGGTTGGGACTGCCATGGCCTTCCCGTTGAATTTGAAATTGATAAGACATTGGGTGTTAAAGGTCCAGAAGATGTGGAGAAAATGGGTATAGATAAGTACAATGCAGAATGTAGAAAGATAGTAATGAAATATGCAACTGAATGGGAAACAATCATTACTAGAATGGGAAGATGGATTGGTATTAATTTTTTTTACATTTTTATGTTCTCTAAAAAGTAAATAGATTATATAGTTCCATAGGCTTGATAAATTTCTTTATCAAAAGCTCATAAAAATAAACAAGAAAAATATTGGTGATGTTAGTGTCATAAATTTATATTATTGACATAAAAAAGCTATAACTTCACATTTAATACAATAATTAATTTAATACAATACATATCAACATAATCCTAACGGCTTTAACTCTTCAGTTTTAGGACGTTTCATTATGGTTGTATGGTCCCAATGAAAACATGTTTCACAGAATGTCTTTACATAAATCTAATGCAAATTTCTTTTAATTTTCTATCCCTTATAATTTGTAAATTGTTATTTCATATTGTTTTAGATTTCAAAAATGACTACAAGACACTTTACCCATGGTTTATGGAGTCAATTTGGTGGGTCTTTAAAGAACTGTACAATAAGGGTTTAGTTTATCAGGGAGTTAAAGTCATGCCATACTCTACAGCCTGCTCCACTCCACTGTCAAATTTTGAGTCAGGTCAAAATTACAAGGATGTTGTAGACCCTGCTGTGGTTGTTTCATTTCCTACTGATAAGGGGTTCTCACTTCTTGCTTGGACTACTACACCATGGACTCTACCTAGTAATCTAGCTCTCTGTGTCAATCCAAAATTGGTGTATTTGAAGGTTCAAGAAAAATCAACAGGCAATACATATGTTCTTCAAGAAACAAGATTCCCTGTTATTTTTAAAAATATAGAAGAGTTTGTTGTACTTGAAAAATTCCCAGGAAGTAATTTAGCAGGGACAAAATACACACCAATTTTTGATTACTTTGTGGGAAATGTCCCAAAGCTTATCAGGTTTTGACTGATGGTTATGTAACTGATGATTCAGGAACGGGTGTTGTACATCAGGCTCCTTATTTTGGTGAAGATGATTTTCGAGTTTGTTTAGCTGCTGGTATTATAACGAAAGACCAGGAAATCATTTGCCCTGTTGATGCTAGTGGCAGATTCATGGAATCTGTCAAAGATTTTAAAGGACAACATGTTAAAGATGCAGATAAGAATATAATAGCGAACCTTAAGATTCGTGGTAGATTAGTACAGGTTGGTCAGGTGAAACATAGTTACCCATTTTGCTGGCGCTCAGAGACGCCTTTGATTTACAAAGCCGTACCTTCATGGTTCGTAAGAGTAGAACAAATGAGCAAAGACCTTTTAAAATCAAGCGAAGCTACTTATTGGGTGCCAGAGTATGTGAAAGAAAAACGATTTGGAAATTGGCTTAAAGAAGCTCGCGATTGGGCAATAAGTCGTAATAGATATTGGGGTACACCAATACCGTTGTGGATGTCAAGTGATAAACAAGAGGTGGTTTGCGTTGGGAGTATTGCAGAGTTGTCCGCCTTAACTGGAAAAGAAATTACTGATCTGCACAGAGAAAATATAGATCACTTAGAAATTCCATCCTCAAGGCCTGGCCAACCACCATTGAAACGTGTCACTGAAGTTTTCGACTGTTGGTTTGAATCAGGGTCTATGCCATATGCTCAGTGTCACTATCCTTTTGAAAACAAGAAAGAGTTTGAAGACATATTTCCAGCTAATTTCATTGCAGAGGGAATAGATCAGACCAGGGGCTGGTTTTATACACTAATAGTTTTATCGACGGCTTTATTCAACAAACCTCCATTTCAAAATTTAATAGCTAACGGCTTAATTCTAGCTGGCGATGGGCAAAAAATGTCCAAACGAAAAAAGAACTATCCCGATCCTCTTGAAGTTGTTTGCAAATATGGTGCAGATGCATTGCGTTTATACCTCGTCAATTCTCCTGTAGTTAAGGCAGAAAATTTGAGATTTAAAGAAGAAGGTGTGAGAGACGTTATAAAGGATGTTTTTCTGCCCTGGTATAACGCGTTTAGGTTTTTAATGCAAAATGTTGAAAGGATTGTGCAGGAGGATAAAATTGATTACAAATATAACGAGAACAATGTAATGGAAAATGTGATGGACAAATGGATAACATCATTTTCACAGTCTTTGATTCAGTTTGTTAAAAAAGAAATGGCTGCTTACCGGCTATATACAGTGGTACCTAGGCTGACGAAATTCATCGATCAGTTAACAAATTGGTACGTACGAATGAACCGTAGGAGGCTAAAGGGAGAAAATGGTTCAAAGGACTGTAAAGTTGCTTTAGATACGCTTTTTTGCGTCTTGTTTGATATGGTTCGTGTAATGGCCCCATTTACGCCTTTCCTAACAGAATTAATGTACAAGACTTTAAGACAACTTCTGCCCGGTGATTCTCTAGAAAGTGTTCACTTCAACATGATACCAGAACCGAAACAGAATTTAGTGGACACCAACATTGAAAGAGCCGTACAAAGAATGCAAACAGTAATCGAGCTAGGTAGAGTTCTAAGGGATAGAAAAACCATACCAATAAAGTATCCTCTACCAGAAATGATCGTTATTCATCGCGATGAAACGTATTTGAATGATGTTAATTCCTTATTAACGTATGTTTTGGAGGAAATGAATGTGAAGAAAATTCAACTGACAAGTGATAAAGAAAAGTATGGTATCACTCTACGTGTTGAACCGGACCACAAAATTCTAGGAGTCCGATTGAAGGGAGATTTTAAAGCAGTTACTCAAGCATTGAAAAATCTAAACAATGAGCAATGTGAAAAGTTAATTGCTGATGGATATGTGGAACTTGTTGGGCAAAGAATTGATGTGTCCGAAGTAAGATTTATATTCCAGGCTACTGGTAATGAACAATATGAGGCACACAGCGACAATGATGTGCTAATATTACTTAATGTTACTCCTGACCAAGACATGCTTGATGAAGGTTTCGCTAGAGAAATCATTAATAGAGTACAGAAGCTAAGAAAAAAAGCGCATTTGGTACCTACTGATGAGGTCGATGTCTTCTTTTCAACGAGTAAAACGGGAGACATACTTCGCATAATCAATTTATACCGTGAACTAATAGAAACTACTGTTAAAGCACCTTTAAAGCTCGCCGAGTCGCTTTCACCGTCGAAACCAATAATAATTCAAGAGGTACAAGAATTGAAAGGCGCGGAACTGAAATTAATAATAACGTGGAGAAAAGATGTAGAACTGCCCGCAAGTCCGTGGGCGAATGTTATCCTTCAAAAGTTGACTCCAAGATTCGGCGCGACAGCTAATCACGGAAATATAATTCTTTCTGATAAAGATAAGAATCTTTTAACAGTCGAGAGTCTTTATAAAGAAATTACAGTGCTATTTGGCCTCTATGGCATTAAGTTTACACTTTGGTGTGACGGTGCCGAAGTTAAAAACGTGGATAATTTAAACGGAAAAACCATTATTGTTTCACCGACAGTGCCGGAAGTATTTGAAAATAGAACTAATCCTTTCTGTAAGTTCATTAACTTTATTAATGGAAGTAAGACTGCGACGCTATTTTTAGAAAATCCCCAGGGAACATTACTGTGGAACAAGGAGAAAGCCTCAAAATTCGCATCTAATCATTTCGGCATACAGGTTTAAGAAGTAAAAGCATTTTTTAGTTTAAATTTCAGGTATAATGCAGGTTATTTCATGTCAGATCTCTTCATTAATGCCGTTAATGTCTGTAATCCATATGAGCTATATGTTGCGATTTAATGAGTTAATTTATATAATTATTAAATTGTTCTTTTAATAATGTATTTTTAATGTACTTTCAGTCACAAACTTAAGAAGAGAACACGAAATGTTATAAATAAATAGAGATAAAAAACTAAATATCATACGCTTTTAAGCTTTCTCTCCTTTAATGATCAGGCTTTCAGGCCGTAAATAATATACTAATAATCTACTGATCGTGTGAAATATTTATTATTATAACAATAATGGAATATTTACTCTAATTTAGAATCCGGTGTTCTTACCAACAATGTCGGTACTTGATAGAGAGCCAGCCTAATTTTCACGGTATTTCTTCAAGATTGGCAACAAATGTTATTTACAGTTTTTATTTTACATTGTAGTAAGACAACGCTAATGCCCAGTTTCCGAAAGGCCAATCAAAGCAGCAATCACATAACACTATGTCAAAAATGATCAGATGTTAATCTCGTGTTAAACTGCCTTGGGTTTCTTTAAGGTTTGTTCAAGAAAAATTAGCTAATCACTGTATAGCCAATGATAATGAATGAAATGAATGATTTACTTCTACTAACTCTTTCTATTGTATAGCTGTCCCTTTTTAAACAAAACTTAAATTAACGTCACTATCCAGTCCTGTCACCGTGTGATTGCCAACGTAAAAATCCGAGCTATAATAAAATTTAATTTATATAAATACATGCAAAATGTCAAAAAAAACTTTACAGAACGTGAAAAAAATGAACTTTTATCCATAATAAACAAGTAAGTATTATGAAAACAAAGAATCCATATTATTTATTAAGTTTTGAATTGCATTTTGTATTTTTTCTAATCACATGATATGTTCGCATAATAATAAATAGGTAATAGAACACATGAATGTCCTAACAACGTATTAGGGAATTATGTTTATTTTTAATAAAAACTAAGATTTTTGATAAATAACATTTTTAACCAACGATTGATCGTCCAAATTGACAGATTACTTATAAAACTTTTGACAGCTCGTTGACCACCGAAAAACGCTTTCAGAAACTCGATTTTCTGTTGATTGTCCGTTAATCAGTGATTAATTACAAATCAAAATCAATGTCGTTTAAGACGTTCTAGCAACTCAGATCATGTTAAACAACGATTGACAAGAGATTTATCGTAAATTAAAATTGATTACGCTTTCGGAAACTGGGTGTAAGTCTTTTGCTATAGGGCAGGATGGTTCAATCTGGTGAATGAGGTAATCGAGGCAAGTTTTGAAAAAAGTAAAGTGAAAGCATAAACTAAAGACCCGATTTTGTTGAAGAATAATATAAAATCCAGTGCTCAGCTTTACCTACGAGCAAAATTTTGAATCGGTGAAACTACTAAAAGTTTGAACGTCTGAAATCTATCCGTCTCAGCGAGCACATCTTGATCTACCACGACCTCCCCAAACACTTTACTACGGAAGCTCTCTTCTCAAATTTCGCAAAGCAAAAAAAAATCGACAGTCTGGCAAAACGACTTGCAAGCTGTTCGCACTCAACCTACCAGACAGATTCGTGCACACCATCTGAGACTTCATGTCGAAACGCTCCTTTTGTTATTGAGTAAAGAGCAAGTTTCAAAAGCTCTCACAGCAGACCATAGATGATACATATATACTGAAAATTAAATTTTACATCATTCCTCAATACTCCGGCCGTCCCCCTAAGCTAAACAAAACATCAGTTAAAGTAAATATAAGAGCAAATTTTATACACTTACGCCCGGTTTCTGAAACACTGATCATCGTAGAAGTCAACTAATCTGCTGTTAAATGGCTTTTCAATTGTTATTTGAGTTGCCTAAAGGATTATGAAACTCTGTGCATTGATCATTCTGATCAATTCAGAGAGTATAACAATCCTTTTGGCAACTCAAATAATATTTGAAAAGCCATTTGACAGCTGATTCTGACTTTGACGATGCTCACACCCGGTTTCTGAAACACTGTTAGCTAATCAGGGCTAAACCGGTTATTGACAAAACATTTATGAAAATTGTGCGACAGTAAGCCGGCTTGTCCACTGAAGCGGAGTATGGAAGAGCGGGCGACGCCGCATTTGTTCGAGACCTGTTCGCGGCATTACAGTTGCGCAATGTTCATAAATGTCGACAAATCGGCATTTAAGCTCTGGTCGCTGGAGAATTTTAAATGATTTTTTTTTTAAATAATTACAAATATACGACAAATGTAAGGGTAAGAAATTATAATACCTTCAAGATTTTCATACATTTTATTTGACTGTATTCCTAGCACATAAAAATTTTATAGAAAAACAGTACGTACTAAGGATAAGACGTTAAGGAGATTATTAAACAGTCACAAAATCTAATAAAATGCTAAAAACGATTGCTTTCTCAATTTATATAAATTAATATAATGTTTAAAATAAACATTAAAGGAAGTGAATATGTTTAAATGTAAAATTACTACAAAAATTAGAAATGTTTCTTTTGAATATGTCATTTGTAAAGTTATCAAATAAGAACATTTTTATATAGATTTAATGAATATTCGCATTGAAAAGATAAACAATTTCAAAAAATCACAAATTAAAGCAACTCATTTTATTTTAGTACTTACATTCACTGAAACGGGACAACTTAACGTCGAGAAGTCTAAGATAATTTGCTTAACGTTTAAATCTTAACTATTCAAAGTACGACGATGGATTTTCGTTGGTTGGATTATCAAATTTCGCAGTGAATGTTTTCCTTATAAAACGTATCAAAATATCAACAGTAATAAGTTCTATAGTATAATCTCTGAATTTCTCAGTATACAAAAGTTTTATCAAACGGGCCGAAATATTGCAAAATTTCTTTATCACTTTCTGTCACAATTTTGTTGAAAAAACTAATACGTATTTCTAACATGTCTAATAATAATAATTGGAGCGCGAGTCAGTCTAGACATTGTCCTATAGTAAGCTAACATACTAGATACAAAGAGGCTTCATACCCACTAGAGCTATAAGCTATCGCTAAATGAACGTGTTAATGCAATGACATTAATTCGTTACAAGGTATCTAATTTAAGTTACAAAGTTTTCTGGCAAAGGCGCACATCGAGGGTTCTACAGTGGTCTTAAAATAAGATTCTCAAGGCATACAATACGGAACTAATTTCGATCGATATTTAACAGACTTCAAAAAAGAAGGTTTTATTTTAATTTCATTTTTTTTAGGTGTGTTCGCGGATAACTTCATCATTTGTGAACCGATTTTAATGATTCTTTTTTTGTTGGAAAGGAGATATCTCAAGGGTGGTAAATACCATGATAAGGAAACTCGGACCTGAATTCGAGGGCAATCCTCAAATGTTATAAGGTGTTGACAATGTTTTTAATAGACTTCTTAGTTTGCTGATTGAATTACGTTTTTGTGTTCACAATTATTATTACAATACACTGTGGAAACATGATGCGATCCATAATTCGGATACTAATTTCATAATGTGCGCCTTCGCCTCAAGGCTTTTGTGATGTTTTTTTAAATATTGAGATGTTGGTATATACTAATTCATCTCAATAGTAATTCAGTCATACGTATTGTTAATAATTGTTACATATTTTCAGCAAAAAAATATGTATAAAATTATAAATTTTGAAACTGAAATTGGTATTTTTTCAACAGTTTAATTCGTTCACGGTTTAAAATAATATAAACAATTATAATATATTATATTGAGTCGTTGAATAGTAAAATAAGTAAATGCTATTATTGAATGTTCTTGTTCCATGTAATAAAGGTGTAATAAAGTCTTCAGTTATTACGCGCGAATCGAATAACTTATAAACGTGAAAACACAAATTTTAGAAATAAAAGTTGTATCAACATCATAGGAATAGCGAAAGATAATTTCGAAGGATTATATGGATTCCCATTATATAAAGTAAACGCGAGTATATTTCCATGTTAAATTAGAGAAGCACAGCTATAAACAATTAATATTTGTTACCAAACACTGGTTACCCAAAGTTTTCTATAGGAATTGACTAAATTGTTTAGATTTCGGTCCACTAGTGTCCATTTTTCTTTTTTGGACCTCCAATGGCCACGGTACAAATACACGGTATAATATTGGCAATAACTAGTTTGCATAAGCTGGTCCTAAAAATTGTTGATTCGTGAAATAAATCGATAGGAAATTTTTAAGATAAGTACGTAACAACGATATGGCACTAGAATTAAGAGCTATTGAGCAGGAAGATAACTTAAGTGATTTAATAAGGTGGGGTGGCTAACATAGAAACAATTTAAAAAAAAATCTTATCACAGAGAATTCGTATTGCGCAAATTTAAAAAAGACGTTAACGTTATCTAATTACGTGTTTAATGACATCAATAAAATTAAAAAAAATCATCACATTAAAATTTGTAATTACAGAATAAAAAATGAATATAAAATTTGTATCGAGCCGAGTTTTTGAATGATTCGGTTTAGTGTGGTTGGTATGTGTTAGATTAGATAGATTTTAAATCTTTACTAAATTTTATCTTTGTTTCTAATTAATTAGCGATCTTGTGAATTGGGAGCGAAGATTCCTCGTGACCTTACGAGGCTAAGTGGACTCAAAGGATCCCAAAAATTCTAAAATTTCTACCGATTATAAACGCAAAGTGAAAACATTTTTAGAAGCAGTGCCTGCAAAAATACCCCTAACTTGAATTAAGGAGTTATGTATGACATTACGGAAACCTTAGAGGGCGAAAAATAGTAGTAATATTGCATTCTGTTCCAAATTCTGTTCTATACGTTTATCTGTTAAAAATTAAATCCATAACACATGGATTTGAATATTGACACAATTACTTGGTTCCGTAATAAAGTTCTTAAGTTTTATTTATTTCTTACGTTTCATTTTAGACAATACAAAAACGGCTGCTTTGTGATGTTTGTCGAACGTTTGGTATTACAGTTGCATAGTTGACGAGATTACTTAAAACTATATGTAACTACATCTTAAGAAATACTCTATTTCATACCTTGACTAAATACCGTATCGCGTGAAGTCTAAAGTTGCATTTTTAACGGCATCATGGGGAAATAAATTCTACTAGTAAGTCAATAGTCGAGGTAGGTTTCCGACGGGCGAACTTTCGCTGAAAATATGAAAGGGTTTTATTAAAACTGGTCTTGTTGCGTGATAACCAAAAAATTTACGAATGCAAGCAATTGCGTGTACTTATCGTGAGAAATTGATAGCAAGTCTAAAGTTTACACTGGGGCCTGTATTATATTAGAAAAAAAAATGTACTTTAATTTACCTTAACACTTCAAAAGTACACCTATTTGTAATATCTGGTTTCTTAAATTGATGGAAAGTATTATAAAAGAATTTTCTACGAAATTATAATGCGTGAATAAGTTTCTGGCTTAAAGTAGGACACATACAAGAAATTCTTGAGCACATATGGGTGGAAGGTGAAATTTAATTAATTTTTGCTTCATAATATCAACAAAATTATAATATTCTAAACGCTATTACTTTATGTAAAATGTTATGATTGTGATTTAGTTTATTGGAAGCTGATGTGAAGAATCGTACGGATATTGACTGTCCTTAGTACCACACCTAAAATGAATATACTGTGTCAGGCAGCCTTATGTTGAGTTGACTCACTAATAGATTTTTCACATGAATGAAAATGCCTCAACAAAGAATTATCAGAAATTAGAAAATAATAATATAAAGAAAACTGAAGGCAGACACTGGATCCGACTATTACGTCTCTTCATCTCTTAAAATTTAAATTTTTCACTTAATCATAAGCCGCGAGGTCGGAATAATAATTCGAAAACCGGTCTCCTAAAGAATCTAGCAATAAATACGTCTTACAACACTAGAGAGCAATTATGATTTTATGCTTAACATATTTTTATAAGGCAGTCAAATAAACGATTAGAGTTCGCATCGCATCCTTTCATCAACAAGTGCAAACAAAAAAGAAACAAATCGACAGAGCCTTCAAACCGATCCTAGTTCGTATGTTGATAAAAAGTTGCGATGCAGAATAAAAAAGGATGGCCAGACATCCGGCACAGAATATAAATGAATATAAATACAGTCGAGTACAGATGAGTTTTGGCACGAGATAGCTCGGAGATGAGTTTCGCACGCGTCACAATAAAATAAGGTACGCTAAAGCTAGAATGACTACACGTGTGCGACTAAGGGTGGTGTCGCGAACTGCGCCTCTGCCTACTCGCTATTTCGCCTGTTACCCTGGAAAAAATTAACATCCTTAAGTAACAACACACGTAAAACAAAATTGAAAGTACAAAGAAAAGTAAGGCACACCTACAAACATCCGAGTATCATTTGAGACGGATCGAATGCAAATATAATGTTTTATCAGAACCAAATTCTAAAATGAAGTTGCTATTACAGCATGAATACAACGCTCTATAAAGCCGCGTTGGCGCCATCAGTTTTCTTTTCAATACAAATTCTACTTTTTTAGTCTAAAACGTAACTCTTTGGACAGATAATTCTTAAAAAATACCATACAAATAAACTGCGTAAGAAGTAGAAAAAAAAAAAACAATTTCCACGTTAACTAGGCGCCGTCATCCGTGTGCACTATAACCAGTGTTGCCAAGACCAATGGTTTCAAAGTAGCTGTGAAATATATTGTGTCAAACGAAACTTTAATTCTGTCAACGCGGCTAGCATTTAATTTTGGTAATTTCTTCTATTATAAATACTAGCTGAACCCAGCCATGCGTCGCTTGAGCAATTTTTTTAGTTTCCGATGGAACTTCGGAATAAAAAGTATATAAAAGCACTCTCCTGTTCAATAGCTATGTTGTGAACAAATATGAAAGACTCACTCGGCTATTTTTTACATCAAACATACGAAAACGGCTCTGTCCGGGTGAATACCACGACCTAACAGGAGACCGGCGTGAAGTGGAAGTGTTATACGTCTGGGTTTCGTCTTGTGAGGGAGGTAGCTGGGGCCCACTTTATTAAAGTGGCAAGGCATGTGCAACCCTAAGGGTGTTGCACATGTCAATGGGCGCAGGTTATTGCTTAACACACAGGAACCGCTAGCTCGTTTGCCTCCTTCTCACATAAAAAAAACCGGAACTAAATCTCTATATAAATGCTATAAACACTACTAGTGTAAACGCATCTTACCTGTGTTCAGAATAGGCTTATCCTATCTAATCATCTCCAGATACTTGTGCTTGTGTTTTGTGAGCATCTCAGTGACGGTCACCAACTTTTTGATGGCGGGCTGAGTCTTCGCCAGGGTTTGGAGCTCGCTTAGGTGCGACACGCAGATGTGGTGGAGGGTCGCCAGCTCTTTGGCTATATGAATAAATAATAAATAAAAATTTCGAGTTTTGGATATCTAAATTGTTTGAGTATGATAGCAATCGTACACTTGAATCGTTACATAGTATTAAATGAAGTCGCTCCCAATATTTGTACGCTTAGATCTTTTAGACTACACAAAGGATTTTAGTTCAGTTTTTAGCAGTCATTGAAGAGGATATTTTATATGTAGTATACATGCATGTTTTAATAGAGAGAAGTCGAAAAATTTAAAGACGTTTGTGTTATGTAGTAACATAATTTTGTGCGCTTACATTTATTACTTATCTGGTGGTTCTATTAATCGTATTTAGCACTCGGCGCACCAACTGCGCCTTACAGGCGGAGTCAACTTCATTCAAGCGCATTTATGTTTAGATGACTCCGTGGCGCAGTTGCCAAGGTATTGGCTTCAGCGTCGGGGGTCGTGGGTTCGATTCCCACACGGGACAACTATTTGTGCGACCCACAGATAGTTGTTTCGCATCTGGGTGTTTGTCCTCGTGTTATTTATGTTTGTAAAACGTCCTTACATCACAGGATAATGTTATCCTAAAGAAAGGGCAATCTTTTATAAAAAAAAAGAACAAAGTATGTTTTGAGCGGACTACAAATACAGGTTCGATTATACTAATTAGAATTACTTTAACGTTCAATTTACCGATGTCAAAATTGTTGTTAGTGGTCGGCGGGATAGTCCCGGGGTCCGGCACGGAGCTGAGCTGATCCAGGAACGCGATCATACGCTCCTTGTTCTTCAGGATAAAGGGATTCACGACCTCCATGTACGGTTCCTAAAGGAAAATCCATACTCATATTATAAATGGGAAAGTAACTCTGTCTGTCTGTCTCGCTTTCACGCCAAAACTACTGAAACAATTTAAATGAAATTTGGTACACAGATAGTCTAGAGTCTGAGAAAGGCTTTTTTTTATTGGAAAAAAGTTTTGTAAAGGGTTGAAAGGTTAAAGAAAGATATTTATTTAACGGCTTCAACGTGAGCGAAGCTGCGGGCGAAAAGCTAGTAATGAATATGTTAAGACAAGATAATCTACACAACATTACATTCAGTTGAAAAGATAAGATAATCGTGTTAACGATTTTTTTCAATTTCGTAAACATAGTTGGCGGGTATCACTTAACATTAGGTGAACCGCCAGCTCGCTTGCTACCTTCTCTGATTAAAAAAACCGGTCAAGTACAAGTAGAACTCGTTCGCCGAGGGTTCCGTATCTAGCCATTATACCAACGTAATAAAATTGGTAAATAATCACCACCGATTTTCTCAGGAACGGGTGGACCTAGCAAGTTTAAATATATACCAGATACTGAGATACTGATACATTTTTTGGGTCGAAAACCTTTATGGTAGTTCCCGTTGACCAAGACTCATGAAATTTGGCAAAAATTAAGGTCTTACATCACAAATACAGGAAAAATCCCGAGAAATAAAAAAACTTGTAATTTTCAAGTTTTTTTTACAAGTTTTCGCGGAATACAAAAATCTAGATTTACCCATATCTTTTATCGTGCTGACTCGGGAACTTCGTATAGAATAGGGACTATAGACTTCATCGTGTCTGGTGTAAATTTGAACTTGCTCGGTCCACATGTTCCTGCGAAAATCGGTGGTGACACACGGACAGGCAGACGGAAAAGGGAGCGATCTTATAGGGGTTCCTTTTTTACGTTCCAAAGTACGGAACTCTAAAAAGTAATCACTTAAAATCAGGCGAGTCTCTTGCTTGTCTATGGAGTTGGTGGCTCCATGGAAAGCTGTCACCTTGGCGCCGAACTCGACGAGGTTGGCGAGGTTCTGCAGGCACTTGGCCACCATGACGAGGGAGCGCTGCGCGTGCGGCGGCGGCGTGCTGCTCACCAGGCCCCAGGCGCGGGGCTCCACCAGCGCCGGGCAGATCAGGCGCAGGAAAATGAACCCTAAAACAAAGACGATAAGATCTATTGCTTAAAAATGTCTTGTATTTACGCGATTACACATTAATAATGCCCGGTTCCGGTTCCGGAGCCGCTCTGAACGCGGTCACTGTGGATGTAGTTTCGGTGGGTAAAAGCCTTACATGACTCAGGACAGGAGGAGGGGAAGGGTGGGGTTTGTCATTTGAAAACAACGGCGCTGTGAGACCAAAAGCTAACTCTTGGATATCTAGCTAAGTCCGACATGAGTCATGTCGGAATTTTCCCTGAGGACTGAGAACTGAGTCATGGAAGTCTTCCATGACTCAGTCCTTTACGACAGTGGCGGGGGGAGTGAGGGGGGTAGGTAGGAAGGGGGCTTGGAAGACATCGTCGGTGCGAGACCATTTTTTTTTACTAACGAAAAACAAAACCGCCTTCGAATATCTCGCTGTGTGTTCATTTTATTCGAAGCCCAATACCAATTAAAATATTAATATGGGAGACCACATGGGAAGCACCAGCTCTCGAATAAAAAGAGAACCATCGAAATTGCTTCACTCAGTCGAAGTACTGAGGTAACGAACATAAAAAAAATAAAGTCCAATTGAGAACCTCCTCTTTTCGAAGTCGATTGACAAGGCCGCCCCTTTTTTTTAACTGATGTCAACGCTTTCAGTCCTTAGACTATTAAAGCTTCATCGAACGCGGAACCCACGGGTTTGGGGCCCTCCACGGCTGGTTTGAGACCCACCTGACACGACCCTGGTGCGCACGAAGCGCTCGCTGGGCCACTTGGCGACGGCCGCGCGCTGCAGGCAGCCGCACACGTAGCGCACCGGCCGCGGGCACGCCTCGGGCGTCAGGAATATCGAGTGCGTGATCTGGGGGCATGGTTTGTTCGAGAGAAGAAAAAAAACGCGACACCATCTTGGTTGCGTTACCATGGCAACCGATGACAACTTCTTGACATTTATATCAATGCTATAAATGTTCTTTCATGACTTTTTGTCAGAACCAAAGAGTAATGGCATTTGGGATGAATTTTATTGTTATTAAAATTGCGAAAGATTTGAGGATAAACTTTTGATTCACATTAGAATGAAATAAATCCAGGACTTGTTCAGCATAAACTTTTTTAATGTCAGTTATAGTTAAAAAAAAGTTAAAATAAATATAATAAAGAGAAAAAAATTATGGGCGTAATGCTTACAACAGTTCCATTTTATTTTATGATTGTTATTTAACTTTATTCATCATTATTATCACGGAGAAAATGGAAAACGGAAATTATAAACAACACGCGCGCGCGCTCTAAAATTTAAGAACTGAAGTTTGTATACGGGTTTTTATCAGTGACAAAATCACCGAAACACATCAAGATTTTGTATTACGTTATGTTGGTTATAATATACCCGCTGGTCAATGCCACTAGTTACGACAGTGCCTATGTGGAGGCCTGAAAAGAAAATTTAGTAGTATAATAAATAAATAAAGAATATTCACCTGATCCAGAATTAATAGTAAGAATTCTGCATTATTACAAGCGTCTTCGGGTGAATCCATTTTTGTGGGGTTCAATTCAGCAGTTTGCTTGGAATCAATAAGCTTCTGAACTGTCTCGGCTATTGCTGCCTGTAATGTAATGTTTTTATCTTATATCACTATGCTGTTTATTTCTAAGTCTATGTTTATGGCCATAGCATATAAAATAATATTATATAACAAATAAAGGCGGAATATAACCTTCATCTTAAATTTATACAATGTTATATTGAAAAATATATATAAAAATAACAATCTTACACAACGAAATTTAGTCCGAAATTAAGGCATTTCCTACGGGTATTTTGTGAACTAATTTGAACATTTTCTTTCGTTCACCACAAAATGTTTTTGCGTTGGAATCGAACCCACTCTCTGAGGCGCAAGAGAAGTTCACTAATCACTACGCCAATCGGCTCTATTTTTATTGACTTTTTTATTATGTAAAAAGTTGTGAAGCAATCAAGCGGTTTATCAGAAGTTAAATGATTTGGTAAACACAACTTGAGTGCGCCAGGTTCCAATATTAACAAAACGAGGCGTTTTCCTTACGAACCGTTGCATTACCTACGGAAAGTGAGTTACTAGCGTTCTTTTAATCTACAAGTCGTTATAAAAGTAACGAAGCTATGCAACTAACGGCCGTTTGTTGAATATAGGAACCGGGCAATAACATGGATACGAGCGGACAACCGCCGGTAGACATTGGGCTCCGACTTACCAGACGAAACGCGAAAGTATTTGTAATACTTCCACTTTACGCCGGTTTGCTGCGAGGTCGTGGTACTTACCCGGACTAGCCTGGCCATTCGTGCAACAGCCGAGGCTGCTGTGTGGCCCTACCACCGTTAATAGTCCACGAAACCATGGACTTATCATATTTTGATTTCATTTTTATTATTTTTAAAACATGCAGGTTTCTTTTAAATGTTTTCCTGTAATACTGAGTACTTCATAAGTCAGTACAGACGTTAAAAACGTTATTACTTGAATAGTTTTACAGACTTACACAAAAAAAAATACTGTGGAATTATTCTTCACTAATCGCATATATCTTTTACGGAAAGGTAATAAAAAAAATTATCTACATATATTATCATTACGGCTTTTCATTACGGTGAAATTAAACCTTCTCGAAACAAAAAAAAGCCTTTGACCTGCAGGAAGGGCTTGCAGAGGGCGTGCATGTACTCGTCGATGACGGCGGTGGCGAGCGACGCGGCGCGGAAGAGGGCGCGGTGGTCGCCCTCGCGCGCCACCTCGGCGCCGGCCAGCTCGCGCGCCAGCTCCGCCCCGCGCCCGCACTCGGAGAACGCGTGCAGCACCGCTGCGGAACGAGCGGCCCTGTACTGCGCGCGGGTACACTCGCCGGCGGAGGAGTGACGAGACGGTCGGCGCGGTACAGTCGGCGGCGGCTTCGGGAGCGCGCTCGGTTGTGTCCCGGTCGACTTTGACCATCACGGGCCGCGAGCGGTGGACTTTTCGGAGGGTGCACTCGATGGCGCTGTGGTCTATTTTGACACTTACGGCCTGCTCGAGAAGAGATCGCGGCAATACACTGATTACATGAAGATTTCATTCGATGGTCGACTTTGGCCTTTAGGGGCCCCTGGAGGGGAACATTGAGCGCGCGGACCAAAGCGATGCAGCGGTACAGTGAACGGTGGCCATTTCGAAGAGTGCACTCGACGGCACAGTGGTCGACTTTGACACTTACGGGCTGCTCGAGAGGGAGACATGATTTCAGCAGTACACTGACCGGTGAACATATTGAAGATTGCCTTCGATGGTGCTGTGGTCGATTTTTAGATTTAGACGTCGCAGGAGGACCGCCCGGACAATCACTTATGTTGCATAGTAAACGGACTGGTGCAAACTTTTATTAAACTATTACGCCTTCCACTCGAATTGTTGCCGGGCCCTTTACACGGCTTATAGCTATCGGAGAGGCTATACGACAACGCGTGGATAATAATAATAAATATAATAGTTCGTGCAAGTGATTGCGCAGTACACTTCATTTGTATCATATTATATAATAAATGTGAATATATTTATAAATATGTAAAAACACTTAGTGATAGTGGATCTTTTATAAACTAGATAGTTGCAAGCGCATAGAACGCGGGGCCAACTTCACTCAGGCGCAATTGCGGCAATAAATTAAAAGACACTAACAATTCGCGTGCTTGGCACAGTTGGCAAGGGACCATGGAATTGATCTCACAGGAGACGACTGACAACCCACAGTTCATTATTCCCGAACTGAGTCGGTCTTTGAAAACCATGGTGTGATTTTAATATTTCCTACCAACGTCAAGAAACCTTTCTGCCGAAAAAACGATAATGTTAAACATACATGTTGCCAAAGGTTGCCTGTCGGTTCTGCAGAGCTCGGCTAAGGCCTTCACTGCCGGTATACCCGGCTCAAGCAGCAATTGACGCAGCGGGTTGTACTCCTCACGGGGCATTACCAACTCTTGCATGTACCTGTTGAAGTCAATTTACTTATTGAAACTTGAATTCAACAATATGTTTAACTATAGCTGTGATAATACTATGTATGATATTTGATCCATTACCTTATACGCAGTCTTAAAGAGCCCCATTCCCCTATCGGTGTCATACCAGCAAGGGGATACCATTCTTCGACCTCTTCACCATTTGCAAGATTAGCAAGCTCGATTGTCAACTCTGCTACCTAAAAATTAAAATTATATGTATACATAAGTAAAAAAATATTGCTGTATTATTAAATTCATATAACTTTTGATCAAATTAAATATTCAACACCGTTACGTAATGTACGACAATGCAATGAATAAATTAAGTTAAAAAGCAAAACTCACTTCAGACTCCTTTCCCCTTTTTCCCGTATTGTGTACTGTGATCGTAAACGACGTGACATCCGGAGGTACATCGCTGCAAATAAAGAACACATATTACGTTTATTAACTTTCATAAACTTTATATATACATACATATTTTATCTCTCCCTAGACCCCATTGGTTGGTAAATTCCGCGATCCTAGCGCCACCTGGATTTACTTTCTATTATTTGCATTTCTGCAGTTCTGTAAGTGTTATGCTTCTGCGTTTTGTCTGACAAGTGAGGTAACCGTCGCCCACTTTATCAAAAGGTGACAAAGCATGTGCAACACCACGGGCGTTGCAAATTTCCATAGGACACGGTTATCACTTAACATGTGGTGAACGACTAGCTGACTTTCCATTTTTAAAATCTATATAAATAAATCCAAATGTTGGTAAACGCATAACTCAAGAATGGCTGGACCTATTCGGCTATTTTATTTTTTGTATGTTCCTTACGGTCCACGGAAGGTTTTAATACTATAAAAAAAATATATAAAATATATACTATAGTAAAAACAAAAACGTAACATTCATTTAATTTTTACTATTAACTTTTCACAGAACGACCTCTAACGAGTCTGTCCGGGCAGCTAGTTTAAAATAAAATTAAAATTAAAAAGCTTAACATCCGGTGAACGGCCAGTTCGCTTCCTATTAAAAAAAATTAAATATCACCAACTCGAAGACGAACTCGTCGTCCCAGTGCGGGTCGGGCGAGGGCTTGGCGCGGGTGCGCGCGACGGGCGCGGCGCCGAGCGCCAGCCGCAGGTGCGGGCGCGGCGCCAGCCGCGGCGGCAGCCGGTGCGCCGTCACGCAGCGCACGCGCAGCGCGCGCAGCCACACCACGCGCGCCACCTGCCGCGGCCACGGCCGACGTTACTCTTGGATGCTTGGTGCCCCACAGCGGGATTTCAACTTTGCTCGCTCGAGTGTATTGAATTAATTTGGTAAAGATGAAATAAATTTGCCAACAAAAAAACTAAATATTCCGTTTATGAATAAACATAAATATTTTATATTATCTGTGCTAGGTGTCAAACGACGGCGACGCAGGTTCACTAATGATGTTTTCGTTCACTGATGAGAGCGTGACAAATCGGCACTTACAATTTTAATCAACAAATTTTGAAAATGACTTACTCGAGTATATTAATGTATTGAATTAAAAGCGAGCCTCTGACACTGTGAAATAATGACTATTGCCATGAAGCATACTTCATGGCATTGACGGCAAAACCATAGTTTACATGAATATTCGCATGTACCTTACACTGGTGGCGAGCCTGTTGAGGCACGCAGAGCGGACGCAGCGCGTCTAACCAGGCGCGTTCTTCGGCCGTGGAGTTGGCCGCCAAGAAAGTGTGCGTAGACAGGCAGGGCAGCGCTCTCTCCACCAGCTGGAAGCAGAACTCACGCTCCCACAGAGATTCGTGCACCTGAAAAAACGAACAATTTTGTTCTACAAACCCACCGAATTACGTTACTCAGATTTTTATAAAACACTGGAAACCAATTCCGGCTTCGTACGTAATTTGCGCAATCGGTCCCAATTTCCCAGCATCACCCGTAGGGCTAAACTGAAGATTGCCTGATAATATCATAACAATTGGTCCAGCCATTTAGGAATATACTTACGCAGTGATTTTTATATTTATAATAAGATAGATTTAGAAGACCAGTTCAAAGGTGATTTAGACAAAATAGACAAGAACAACACATATATTAGTTTATTTTAAATTGATAACTACTCGGCAAACGCTTGGCCTTATGGAAAGTGAGAACTTGTTCCATGTGCACTCACTACAACAGATGTCAAATGCAAGTACAAAAGAAGTACAAGTAATTTTTCATTATATATGTAAAAAGACTGATGCTTTTTAAGCCGTGCTACTTCTCAAGTCGATAAAAAAGAAGCAAGCTCTAGCTGTAGCTGTTTGGCTACATAAATGAGATATTAAAAATAATAATAATAAACACATCAGCGCACCTGATACAAATAAGCGCAGGAGAGGTCGATCAGACCCTTGGGTTTCGTCCTCTTCGGCGAATCGTAGAAATACAAGTGGGTGTCGGTGCCCTCTTGTAGCAGGACGAAGTACAGCGCCTTCCATTTCTTGGCGCCCTTGTCGGATTTTTTGTTGAGATACCCTTGATGTTTGATCCCCTTCATCTTCTTCAGGCCTATCTGGTCTCGGCACTCCCTCAAGGTCGCGTAGATCTTTTCCGCCGCCGCACCGGTCGTGTTCTGCTGTGGCTCGATGTGGTGACCTTCGGCTATGAGCTGTCCAAAAAAAAACACGCTATATAATCTTGTCCATTGAAAAAAGCAAGGCTTTGATTTAACAATTATTAATTATTCTACCGTATGACACTCCTAAAATAAAAGGAAATAAAGATAAAAGAGCATGCAAAAAAATTCATACATTCATACATAAACTTCTGATACTTTACTTTTTCTATACATAAACTGGAAAATGGACCCTGCCGTGGCAGCCGAGTGATAATCAATAATATTTACATATAAACAAAATCTCTATATTAAACATATCTGTCGTGTGTCAACGGCAAAACAGAACAAAACTGATTAGTGGTATCTAATGAGGATATTGTAACGATTTCTTATCGGCCCTCCACTTCAGCATTCGCGATTGCATATGTTATACTAGATAAAGTACGCATAACACAACAAAAATATACCAACGCTCTATTGTTCAACACAAAACAATAATGATTGAGCAGGGCACACTATAAATAGCACGGAGGAAATCGTCGAATTAAAAATTACATTGTTTAATGTCACAATTTTTACAATTCGATACGAATCTAAAACTTGTCCGTAATATCACAACCATACGGAGAAAATGGATCCGAAGCAAGGAGTCGTTTCAGGGAAAATCCGTCGAATTAATAATCAGTCTATTAGAGTAGTTATTTTTTATAGTTAGTTAGTTATTAGTAATTATTCATAGACCGTAAATCGGTGGGTACTGTAATATTTTCGGAGGTTTTAGCGAAAGGTAGGATAATCCAATAGAAAGAGAGATGTTGTAAGTTCTTATGGATTTTTATATTTTGAAAATCATTTATTTATCAAAGTTTATAAAAGTAGAATCGATATTAAGCATTCATTCGTTTGGATACCGTAATTTTCTGATGCTTAGCTGCAAGTAGCTGAGGTATGATAAAGATGCAATGCTAAATTTTATGTCACATAAGATTGTTACGACTAAAGATGGTTCAGCTGGTTCTTTTTTCGCTGAAAAGTTAAGCATAACTATTCAGCGAGTAAATGCAGCTAGCGTTCTTGGCACCATGCCGCGTGGATTAGGTTTATTCGATAATACGTAATTTTAGATAGATTTAGTCTTGTCATTATAGATAAATAAATATAACTAAAGAAACATTGAAAGTTATTCTTACCGGCTGTCCCAATGTGTGACCTTCGACAATCTGCTCCTTCCTGTAGCGGTTGATGACAGCGTCGAGGCACTCGAACACCCTGCCCCCCATGAGGTACCGAACCCCCTTCTTCTCTATCCTGAACCTCTGTATCTGGTTGTTGATGTGGAAGAACAGGGAATAGTCCCCGGGCGAGTTGTCCGACGGCCTGACGAGGAAGCTCCCCGGGCCCGCCTTGACCAGCATGTCGACCGCCTCGCTCTTCGTGCAGTTGGGGTGGAACCACGAGAACACCGTGTTCGGGTCGATGGACGGGTCCAGGTCCTCGACCAGCTCCCTGAAGATCATACCCTGCTCTCCCGTTCTGGTGGGAAAGCGACATTTTATTATCTCATTTTTACGCCGAAATCCGTTCACGGTTACGAACAAGTTCTTTTACAGTGTAATAAATGCGGATACGTATTTAACCCGTAGTAGATTGTATATGAGACCAATGCCCATAAGTGAGATTTTTAATTAAGTTCCATGTTTTATAAAAGTTAATGAAATACATAGAAGCTTACCAAAATTGAAAAAAAAAATAAATAAAAACTGTATTATTTTACTATAGCACATACAAGGAAATCCTTATAAGCACTATTCGCAACGTTACCTACTTGTAACCTATGAACGTCATAATTATGTATGTCATAATTATACGGTTAAGTTATAATTAAACAACAATATTTTTAAATGATATCAATTTTTATAGTGCTATAAAAATTAACGAATTTTTTTTTGCCGCTTCGAGGATTTGAAACTGCACCCTACAGAACACGTGCCCGACGCAATAGCCACTGAGCTGAACGGCTTGGCTTATCTTCACGCCGATGAAGATCAAATTCTAAAATTCTTGGCGCATTGTGTGGTTCTTTTAAAGCAATCGATATTTTTTTCATGTAACAGTTTAAAATGGAATATGTATTTGAAAACTAGCGATAAATAACGATAGACAATTATTTTTATATTGCTATTAAGATTAAAATAAAAAATAATTATAACAAACAATAAAATCAGTCAGTTTATAACAAATTATAGTAATGTTGGGATTCGATCATTACGCAACGAAACGTCACTCAAAACTATTAGGCAAGGTAGAAAGTAAGTAGGTGTTATTTCAAACTAGAACGTTCGGCTTATTACGCAAGTTTCCAGAACATTTAAAAGTAGTAGTTTATACATACGATATTTTATATAGAAAAAACATCGAGGCGTATCATGTTAGGAAACACGTCATTATATAAATGAACTAATTCATTTAATTATCGGTATCCTTACAAATTGCGTACAAAAGGCGCGCATTTTTACATCCGCTAACTAATCATGTTAACAAGATTAATATCGTGTTCACTATTGTACATGTCACAATTACTTTTAACAATTTTTCTGCACAGCCACAATATCTCATTAACGAAAACTATTGAAGGATATGAAGAATAAGGAGTGCATCACAAAAGCGACAGTATGATACAAAACTGAATGTGATATTTTCTTCGATAAATGATAAAAGTCCAGCTGTCTGTCTGTCCCTAAGTATGCTTAGATCTTTAAAACTAAGCAACGGATCTTGATGAGTTTTTTTGACTAGATAGAGTGATTCAAGAGGAAGGTTTATATGTATATTATATTGCACCCCTGCGAAGCCGACGCGAGTCGCTAGTTAGTTCATAATTCTTACCGGTGCGCCGTGACCCAAAGCCAGCCGTCGCCCATATCATTGTGCACGAAAAATATATCGCCCTTCTGGAATGTCAACTCGTCGGTGTCCGGCATCTTCGTGTACGGTAGAATCGCCACCACGCGCTGTCGTGGAAAAATATACAGAAATTACGAGAGTGTTTTAAAAATAATTTTAGAATATTTTCACTTTAACTCGATACGTTTTGAGTGCTTGGAATTGTAAAGTTCGGGATGTCTCTCTTGATATAGATATTGTTTATTTATAGCATATATATGCCATATATGTAAAAATAACAAAAACTGAAAAATTTCAAAAGTAACTCGCCATTGAACAGACTTAACCATATCCACTTAGACACGATCCATTGGTTTACTATCGTGTGCTTGACACAATCAATTTGTTTACTCAAAAAGCAGTCAATCACCTTTTTATCGTTCACAGGTTCAGGAGGGGGTACGGGCTCCACCAATCGCTCACGTTTCAGGAGATCAGAACAGTGGCTGTAGAAGCCCACCAACTCGGTCAACGAATCAAATTGGCGACCGCCGATATAGTAGTCACCACATACAGCTGTTATTCTGGCAATGCAAAACAAACAAACAAAATTTAAGAAAATAAAATTTAAGAAAATATTGTGTTTGTATATATTTTGTATAGAAGGGGTTGGGTAATAAGTAGCACCAACTACTACGACCTAGAATATTTATGGTAGTTTTCCATTCGAAAACATTGCGCCGTTACTGTAGGATAACATTATCCCATTGTAAGGTTGTTTTACATTCATAAATTTCACGTTAACAAATACTCAGATCCGAAACAAATATCACAAAAATACTTGCCTCGTCCGGGAATCGAACCCACGTGACGCCGGGGTCACGTTTTTTAACTTCAAAAATGGACAAACTTAAGTTCAGTACAACAAGCCATTGTCAATGACATTGTCAGTTATTATTCCTGTTAGTGGTTTACTATGTAGGTTTAAGTCGTAATTCATTTTGCAATGCCAATAGCAAACATAAAAACAGTACTGATATTTATGATGTGTAGATAAAATTGTTGTAAGTCTTCACCACTGCAAGGATTTGAACAAAACCACTAAGCCAGCAGTCATTATTTTTTTTATTATGTAGTGGTTATTAAAAGTTACAACTATATAAAACTGTTTTTAAATTGTGTTATAAATCATTATACCTGAAGTGATTAATTCCAGTTCGTCCCAAGTAACTCAAGACATATGATCCTGGCTTTCTGTCACTTTCACGTACTGGAAAACATTGTACAATATTACTTACAATATATATAAATATAATATACAATATATAATATGGTGTATATTTATAAAATATTCGCATATTATAGGACCATAATAATAGAACTCATAATTGTACCTAGTATATGGAGATTTAACAGATATATATTGTACTTGGCACAAAACAGTATCTTACTAGTTTTGTAAAGTAACACAAAAACATTCTTAGCCTTATTCACATATCATTTCCATGGGAATATTAATTTGAATATACAATCACTATTGTTATGAGTAGGCCAAGGTAAATTTCGATGACAAATTTTTTTGAACATACACTATTACCTGCCTTAGTAATTGCCTTTACAATTATTATAGCCCTTTAGGTCTGACTATTTATTGTGATTGGTACAAGTATTAAATATGACTAGAATACATCAAGATACCCATTCTAAAATAACCCTCACAAGCTTTAAGAAACAAGACAAGATCTAAACAAAGAAAGTGAGAAGGTTGGTATTGAATAAAGACAAAACTTCATATCAAATTCAATCCCATACAAAATATAAATCATTAATCATCCTTTAGAATAAGTGTTTAGAAAATGTGCAAATTATCGCACAAACTGATATCACTACCAAAATAATTGAATAGCCGATAGATGGAAAAGATATTGGTGACTGTGGATTATGAAAACTACAGATTTTCGTAAAACAAAAACTAATAACAGTGCCTTTAACACCTGTATTCTCTGCTGCCTCACCTATGGATGTAAAAAAAGGTGACTTTGTAAGTAGTACAGGAATATGCTAGAACACTGCCAAAGAGCCATGAGTAGAAGTATGCTGAGAATCAGAAAACTATATAAGCAAACCAACATGGAATATAACTGAAGCCCTTTAAAGGTGTTTAGAGAGCTCCAAAAAGAAATGTTATGTTAGGTAGCTGAATAAATAACGTATTAAAAATAATCATATAACCTAGTGTTTATTAACTAGATTATACAGGGAGATTTTTTGAGAAGTGCCCAAATATACACAGGAGGTTTAGACTCTGTAGTATATTTGTTTATTTAAATAAAAAACAAAGGTTTTTTTTGAAAAAAAAAAATGCCATTCTATTCCCTAAAAAACAGAAAGTGTTTACAATGCTGTAGTCCTTCATAAATACCTAAATTTTACAAATCACGCCACGTCACGGACCACGATAAATGGAATATATTAACAGAATGGCACCCCAGAAAAAAGGTAAATATAAAGATTGTCAATGTAAAACTTGGGAGATTAAACTCAAATTAACAGATGGTTGAGATATAAAGGCTATATTTTTATTGGTACCCGGTGGAACGAGCTTTGCTCGGTTTTTTTTTTGGTAAATCATGTATTTTGGAAATAAAAAAAATAAAAAATTAAGAAAGCCACAATCTGGTATAGAAAAAAAAAATATATATACATATATGTACAAGAATTGCTCAAAATTGAATTGTTTAAAGGATAAGATTTACATTCAGATGGCTTGTAAGGTCTGAATGGCTAGATGACACTTTGTTGCTTATTGTTGACAAATATTTACTTATTATGACTATCAAAAAGAATTAAAAGAAGTAATTATAAAGACAATTCCAGTGTTTTTTATTTATGCTAGCCTGTGGATCTTTGGAAAATGTAGATAAAAAGTGTTTTATTTTATTTTAGGCTGTGTTTATCAAACTCACAGTATAACAGAATGTTTTTTACGGTTGGTGTGGTAAAAAATGACTTCCCCATCCTTGCAGTCATTGCCATTAATTTTGGTATTGGAGGAATCTTTTAAATATTTCACGCTTACCTAGGTAACTTCCTTGCTTGCTTGCAGCCCACAACCTTTCCTCAGAAGTGTACCTGTCCAACCGACCATGATACCACTCAGATTCTGGTGGGGCTAATACTGCTTGACGCTCTCCTGTGCATGAATTATTAAAGTGCTTTACAATTATAAATCCCAAAGTACTTATCCCTCCTCCCTACTTACAAGAAAAAGTTGGGGACCCCCCCTGTAAGTTTTTTTTTTAATTCCGAGGAAATTTTCCTCATTTTCTGGATTAAAATTAATAATAAGTGTAAAAAAACAAGGGGAACCTCTAGAGGCCTCCCACTAAAGAAGGGGGAACCCCCTAAAAAACCCCCTACAGGGCAAATCGGAATAATATATAACAATTCACCATTTGAAACATTCAAATATGCCATAAATATTGCAAAAATAATATGTATAATAATTGATATTCAATTTTTTTTTCCACAAAAACTATGCTTCTCCACATGTGTGCTTCTAACAATGTAACCTTTCATTGTTTTTATCAATATATAACGAGTGTAAATCAATAAAGTTTCCGATAATATAGCACCGAACAGTAGTAAACAAATGACAAAGATAATTATAACTATTATTCAAAATTACCATTAGTACTGGGTCCATCTGCTTCATCTAATTCTAGTTCTGCTGCCAATTCCGCTTGATCAGCGCCACCGTCTTCAGATTCAGTAGAAGGAGAGCCTAACTTATCCTTTACAGGGGGTCCAATTGGAGCCCCCACAGCGCGTATTAAATCAGCCATTTCAGTCACTGCTTCGTTAAGATTTTAAATGCAGAAAGAAAAAAGGAATGACTCACACATTATTCACCAACTTATAAATATGAAATTTATAAAATGTAACTGGAACGTGTTTAGGGCCAATACTATTAATCACAATTTGCTAATTTCCGTTGTCTGAAAAAGTACCATTAAAGGAAAAAATTGTCACAAATAATTATATAGATGGTTAAAATAAGATTTTACGTTCTAACTGCCGTAGTGTTTATTATATTAAAATAAATATTAAACCTCTTATCGGTACGCCCGTCTAATAATTACATACAAAAGTCCAAGTCCAAAAAGTCACAATACAGATCTGTATTAAATGTTGACAGGTAGTTAGAAATCTGTTTAGCAAAAAAGATACAGATTTTTTTTTTAAATCTATATGTTTTGTTTCGCGTTTGCCAAAAAAAGTTTCATGTGCTTGGCAGCAATATGCGCGAAACCTGCACTCGCATATGACATAATTGACCAAACATATTATTATCATCATCATCATTTCAGTCTATATTATCTATCTTAAGACCCATTTACACGGTGCAAACTTGCCAAAAACGGTTTCTTGCCTGTCGTATACAATTAAATTGAAGCAATAAATAAGTTGCATGGTCTAAACAACAAATGGTCTAACCAATTATTGCGCGCAATTTATTGCATGCAATTATTGCTCTTGCATGTACAAGAAAATGGCATCGTGTAAATGGGCCTTTAGTCCACCGCTCAACCACCCACTGTCAGTAGATTGTATTATGACGGTCATTGCAGTTTGTTATACAAATAATTCAGCATAGATGAAGAACCTGGAGACTCCAAACCCTGGAGTACGCTCCAGGCTAGAATTCCTCCCTTCAACAAAATCGAATGCTTGTTTTGGTACTCCACATAGGTACGACATAAAGGCAAATAATTATATTTCGTTCTTCTGTATAATCTGTCGCTGAGCCGCTGAGTATGTATGTTATCCATCTACGGTACTGAAACTTTTTCATACTGTAAACTTTTTCATAATTTTTCAACTTTTTCATGTACTGGAAGTCTCTTTAAGATTTTAAGACTGAGGAGACATCCAAGCAAGCTCAAGAAGTTAAATTAAGACTTCAGAGTCTTGGTTTGACTGCTCCCTCAAGATGAGCTAAGCATATGATAATTCAGCACTTAAAATTAACAATTTCATTGGTGCCTGCACCGGGGGTCGATTTCAGGTTGCTCGAGTAAGTCCTTTAAAGAATTAAAAGCGAGGGCCTGGGCATTGAGCTATCATGGTTTTTGATTTGACTATTAAGTGGTTTTAGAATACTTTTTACTGTATTATTACATCAAAATATCGTACTAAAAGATGCATCCCAGTTACTTACGGCTCATCATTCTTCACCCACCCCGCTTCGCCAATGCATTTTTTTATGAGTTACTACGCACGCAGCTGTTCGTTGCGAGGCTACCAGATTGAATAATTGGATAAAAAAATGTATAGTATGTTTATTGTAAGCATCCAGTAACATCCAGTTTGTATAGCAGATTGTTTTGTACTTGTATAATTTGATACAAAAATAAAACTTCAAAAATGAAGTAAATTTTTTTGAGAATTAAAATACCAATTATATAGTAAGTCAAAGTGGCTAAAAATCAAGTTGTATTTTTGCAGACTATGTTTATTTTAAGTTTTATCGCTTTGTATGATAAAATTTGATTCCATAAAATTTAAGTGAACGAACGGTACAAACTAAGTCAGTATTTATGTATTTCAGTGTTTATGTAACATGTATCGTCTATGAAATAGGAAATAAAAATAAGTTGACTCCACTGGCAGCCCTGGTTCATTGCGTTGCAAGTAATCAATAGTAAATTGCGGTTTTGAGTTTTGAGTCTATGGACATATTTCCAGATTTATAAAAGTACTCTTTGATCTTTTCTTATATCTACGACTTTCAAAGGGTATGTTTTTTGTAGTTAAAAATTAATAAGTATATATTTTCCTACTGCTAAAATAAATAATGTTTTTACGAATATCTTACACAACATTTCGTTAAGCCCAATTTTATTTATTTTTATGGTTTTTGGATTCGTAAAATAACTAAACGATTTTTTTGTGGTTATCAGAATAAATTATTTGATTCGTTAAATTTTAAGGCCATTCTTAACAATCTTTATTACTTTGCTTTTCTTTTGTTTCTTCTCTTTATCGTTATTCATATGACATATCTTACGTCGTTTTGCTTAAAACTAAATCAATAGTAAGCTACCCTTCTCATCTTGAATCAATATTTGATTGTTGTTACAGATTATAAGATGCAGATTTTTGTGAAAACTCTTACGGGGAAAACAATTACACTAGAAGTCGAGCCTTCCGATACCATTGAGAATGTCAAAGCTAAGATTCAAGACAAGGAGGGTATTCCACCAGATCAGCAGCGTTTGATCTTTGCTGGTAAGCAACTGGAAGATGGCCGTACACTTTCAGACTATAATATCCAAAAGGAATCTACTCTGCATCTTGTATTGCGTCTCAGGGTGGAATGCAAATTTTTGTAAAGACCCTTACTGGTAAAACAATTACTCTGGAAGTTGAGGCATCGGATACCATTGAAAATGTCAAAGCTAAGATTCAGGACAAGGAGGGCATTCCCCCAGACCAGCAGCGTCTGATTTTTGCTGGTAAGCAATTGGAAGATGGTCGCACTCTCTCAGATTATAACATTCAGAAAGAATCAACTCTGCATCTTGTATTGCGTCTGAGAGGTGGAATGCAAATCTTTGTAAAGACCCTTACTGGTAAAACAATTACTCTGGAAGTTGAACCATCAGATACCATTGAAAATGTCAAAGCTAAGATTCAGGACAAGGAGGGCATTCCCCCAGACCAGCAGCGTCTGATCTTTGCCGGTAAACAATTGGAAGATGGCCGCACACTTTCAGACTATAATATCCAAAAGGAATCTACTCTGCATCTTGTATTGCGTCTGAGAGGTGGAATGCAAATCTTTGTAAAGACCCTTACTGGTAAAACAATTACTCTGGAAGTTGAGGCATCAGATACCATTGAAAATGTCAAAGCTAAGATTCAGGACAAGGAGGGCATTCCCCCAGACCAGCAGCGTCTGATCTTTGCCGGTAAACAATTGGAAGATGGCCGCACACTTTCAGACTATAATATCCAAAAGGAATCTACTCTGCATCTTGTATTGCGTCTGAGAGGTGGAATGCAAATCTTTGTAAAGACCCTTACTGGTAAAACAATTACTCTGGAAGTTGAACCATCAGATACCATTGAAAATGTCAAAGCTAAGATTCAGGACAAGGAGGGCATTCCCCCAGACCAGCAGCGTCTGATTTTTGCTGGTAAGCAACTGGAAGATGGCCGTACACTTTCAGACTATAATATCCAAAAGGAATCTACTTTGCATCTTGTCTTGCGTCTCAGGGGTGGAATGCAAATCTTTGTAAAGACCCTTACTGGTAAAACAATTACTCTGGAAGTTGAACCATCAGATACCATTGAAAATGTCAAAGCTAAGATTCAGGACAAGGAGGGCATTCCCCCAGACCAGCAGCGTCTGATTTTTGCTGGTAAGCAATTGGAAGATGGTCGCACTCTCTCAGATTATAACATTCAGAAAGAATCAACTCTGCATCTTGTATTGCGCCTGAGAGGTGGAATGCAAATCTTTGTAAAGACCCTTACAGGTAAAACAATTACTCTGGAAGTTGAGGCATCAGATACCATTGAAAATGTCAAAGCTAAGATTCAGGACAAGGAGGGCATTCCCCCAGACCAGCAGCGTCTGATCTTTGCCGGTAAACAATTGGAAGATGGCCGCACACTTTCAGACTATAATATCCAAAAGGAATCTACTTTGCATCTTGTCTTGCGTCTCAGGGGTGGAATGCAAATTTTTGTAAAGACCCTTACTGGTAAAACAATTACTCTGGAATTGAGGCATCAGATACCATTGAAAATGTCAAAGCTAAGATTCAGGACAAGGAGGGCATTCCCCCAGACCAGCAGCGTCTTATTTTTGCTGGTAAGCAACTGGAAGATGGCCGTACACTTTCAGACTATAATATCCAAAAGGAATCTACTTTGCATCTTGTCTTGCGTCTCAGGGGTGGAATGCAAATTTTTGTAAAGACCCTTACTGGTAAAACAATTACTCTGGAAGTTGAGGCATCAGATACCATTGAAAATGTCAAAGCTAAGATTCAGGACAAGGAGGGCATTCCCCCAGACCAGCAGCGTCTGATCTTTGCTGGTAAGCAATTGGAAGATGGTCGCACTCTCTCAGATTATAACATTCAGAAAGAATCAACTCTGCATCTTGTATTGCGTCTGAGAGGTGGAATGCAAATCTTTGTAAAGACCCTTACTGGTAAAACAATTACTCTGGAAGTTGAACCATCAGATACCATTGAAAATGTCAAAGCTAAGATTCAGGACAAGGAGGGCATTCCCCCAGACCAGCAGCGTCTTATTTTTGCTGGTAAGCAACTGGAAGATGGCCGCACACTTTCAGACTATAATATCCAAAAGGAATCTACTTTGCAAAGGAATCTACTTTGCATCTTGTCTTGCGTCTCAGGGGTGGAATGCAAATTTTTGTAAAGACCCTTACTGGTAAAACAATTACTCTGGAAGTTGAGGCATCAGATACCATTGAAAATGTCAAAGCTAAGATTCAGGACAAGGAGGGCATTCCCCCAGACCAGCAGCGTCTTATTTTTGCTGGTAAGCAACTGGAAGATGGCCGTACACTTTCAGACTATAATATCCAAAAGGAATCTACTTTGCATCTTGTCTTGCGTCTCAGGGGTGGAATGCAAATTTTTGTAAAGACCCTTACTGGTAAAACAATTACTCTGGAAGTTGAGGCATCAGATACCATTGAAAATGTCAAAGCTAAGATTCAGGACAAGGAGGGCATTCCCCCAGACCAGCAGCGTCTTATTTTTGCTGGTAAGCAACTGGAAGATGGCCGTACACTTTCAGACTATAATATCCAAAAGGAATCTACTTTGCATCTTGTCTTGCGTCTCAGGGGTGGAATGCAAATTTTTGTAAAGACTCTTATGGTAAAACAATTACTCTGGAAGTTGAGGCATCAGATACCATTGAAAATGTCAAAGCTAAGATTCAGGACAAGGAGGGCATTCCCCCCAGACCAGCAGCGTCTGATCTTTGCTGGTAAGCAATTGGAAGATGGTCGCACTCTCTCAGATTATAACATTCAGAAAGAATCAACTCTGCATCTTGTATTGCGTCTGAGAGGTGGAATGCAAATCTTTGTAAAGACCCTTACTGGTAAAACAATTACTCTGGAAGTTGAACCATCTGATACCATTGAAAATGTCAAAGCTAAGATTCAGGACAAGGAGGGCATTCCCCCAGACCAGCAGCGTCTTATTTTTGCTGGTAAGCAACTGGAAGATGGCCGCACACTTTCAGACTATAATATCCAAAAGGAATCTACTTTGCATCTTGTGTTGCGTCTCAGGGGTGGAATATTTAGTAACCAAAAGCCACACTTGGTGAAAATACAATAATAAAAATAATTAGACAGCTGAGTATTTCTGTATTTCCAATATTTAATCTTACTATCACTTACAAATACATAATAAACATTTAAAAGCATACATTTTGTTTATCATTTTAATACATATAAAATATGGGTAGACCTAGGTTTTTGTATGAGGAAGCAGCTCGCATCGTTACTGTAAGGAGTTCTATTGATCATCATTTTCAACGTATTCATTTCATATTAAAGTATATTGTAAGAATCATTGAAACCGGTTGGCGTCATAATGAGTTATTGGTCCACTTGTCGCGCACATACTTAATGCAAATTTAAGACTTATGGTTATCTCATTAATGCCATTGTTAGTTAGAACTGGACCAAAATGAATCATCAAATTCGGTTCACCCAGTCGAACGTTCAGAGGTAACAAAAAATACAGTCGAATTGAGAACATTCTCCTTTTTTAGGTTCGCTTAAAAAAGTGCATACATTCTATTTGATTTTAAAGGGCATTTGATATATTCCCAGAGTCCAAGGTCCAATACCAAAAATATTTTGTGAATATCATCCTTGAAGTTGGTTGCGAAATAGTTTGTAAATCGCTTTTGAAAAATTTTTGGATTTTCATAACATCACATGAAGGTACTTTATAGCTTACAGCCTACATCTACTCAATTGCTGTAAAAAACCTTGCACAGCAATACATGTTAACGTTTTGTTAATTATTTTTATAAGCAACAATAGGTGCAGACAAATCCAATATAATATTAGTTATAGATTAATTAAAATATGTAGAAAAAGTGCGAAACGATTGTCGCCGCTGTGGGAATCGAACCCACGTCTTCGGCATTCGCGGCCTGACGCTCTAGCCACTGAGCTAAACGGCTGATTACCACACCGGCGAAAATCTTAACGCATTCCTCTACATTGTTTTCTTAGCATTTGAAGCAATGCTTGGCGCCATCTATTGTTATATCCTTTCCAGCATACAAACAATTTCGAATATCGTTTTACAACGATAATTCGAACGAGAGATGTCGCCATTGCTTTTTTAGAAATTTTAATTGTTTATAGTGCTAATCTTTGCACTTAAGATTGAACATTAAAATATGTAGAAAAAGTGCGAAACGATTGTCGCCGCTGTGGGAATCGAACCCACGTCTTCGGCATTCGCGGCCTGACGCTCTAGCCACTGAGCTAAACGGCTGATTACCACAGCGGCGACAATCTTAACGCATTCCTCTACATTGTTTTCTTAGCATTTGAAGCAATGCTTGGCGCCATCTATTGTTATATCCTTTCCAGCATACAAACAATTTCGAATATCGTTTTACAACGATAATTCGAACGAGAGATGTCGCCATTGCTTTTTTAGAAATTTTAATTGTTTATAGTGCTAATCTTTGCACTTAAGATTGAACATTAAAATATGTAGAAAAAGTGCGAAACGATTGTCGCCGCTGTGGGAATCGAACCCACGTCTTCGGCATTCGCGGCCTGACGCTCTAGCCACTGAGCTAAACGGCTGATTACCACAGCGGCGACAATCTTAACGCATTCCTCTACATTGTTTTCTTAGCATTTGAAGCAATGCTTGGCGCCATCTATTGTTATATCCTTTCCAGCATACAAACAATTTCGAATATCGTTTTACAACGATAATTCGAACGAGAGATGTCGCCATTGCTTTTTTAGAAATTTTAATTGTTTATAGTGCTAATCTTTGCACTTAAGATTGAACATTAAAATATGTAGAAAAAGTGCGAAACGATTGTCGCCGCTGTGGGAATCGAACCCACGTCTTCGGCATTCGCGGCCTGACGCTCTAGCCACTGAGCTAAACGGCTGATTACCACACCGGCGAAAATCTTAACGCATTCCTCTACATTGTTTTCTTAGCATTTGAAGCAATGTTGAATGTAGAGGAATGCGTTAAGATTTTCGCCGGTGTGGTAATCAGCCGTTTAGCTCAGTGGCTAGAGCGTCAGGCCGCGAATGCCGAAGACGTGTGGTTCGATTCCCACAGCGGCGACAATCGTTTCGCACTTTTTCTACATATTTTAATGTTCAATCTTAAGTGCAAAGATTAGCACTATAAACAATTAAAATTTCTAAAAAAGCAATGGCGACATCTCTCGTTCGAATTATCGTTGTAAAACGATATTCGAAATTGTTTGTATGCTGGAAAGGATATAACAATAGATGGCGCCAAGCATTGCTTCAAATGCTAAGAAAACAATGTAGAGGAATGCGTTAAGATTGTCGCCGCTGTGGTAATCAGCCGTTTAGCTCAGTGGCTAGAGCGTCAGGCCGCGAATGCCGAAGACGTGGGTTCGATTCCCACAGCGGCGACAATCGTTTCGCACTTTTTCTACATATTTTAATGTTCAATCTTAAGTGCAAAGATTAGCACTATAAACAATTAAAATTTCTATTAGTTATAGATTTTGATAGAAAGTGAAAGTTTTGTAGAAAGTGAATGAAGATTCTTTAAAAACTGTTTGAGTCGTAGGGATGATACTGGGGTAAAGGTAAATTGTGAACAGTGCAAAGGGTTCTGTTATGGAAATAAGTATATTTCGTAGGGATTCAACCGGAAGTCGTACCGCCCGGGAAGACGAAACCTAAGACGGCTATAGTCTCGCCAGGGCACAGAAGATTGCGTCTGTGTTCCAGATCGATGTGACAAAAACAGGTACAGCGTGAAGTTAGGAGTGAATAACGTGATCGAAAATATTTCTATCGATTATTGAAGAACGTTCTAAGTTTTGTTATTGACCAAATAGTCTTGTTTCAGTGTGTTTGGCCATAAATAGGCCCGAAGCGGAGGTCGAAGTATGCGTGACCTGTATGTACGAAAGCTGCTGATGTACCTATTACATACTTTATAACAGGAACCGATAGAGATTCGATTAGAGGCTACAGGTTTAGTAGCAAACATGATGAGGAAACATATGTTTATATGGGGTGAGAAATTTAAAAGTTTAACCGCAGGTGCCTTTCGACGACGTAGTGACATGAACTTTTAACATTTTGATGACATTGAGATTATTGCTTATTTGGGTGTAAAATAATATTTTTCATGCACTCGCAAAGATACCGAACTTGACTGTCGTATATTTAGTGGTATATTATTAAAAGTGTCAATAACTATTAAGTAATTAAGCGTAAATCTTGCTGACATTATCTACTACATGTAAGAAGAAATAGCTTCTACGAGTAAGTAGTTTTATCGTAATCCTTGCAGACAATATGAACATGAAAATACGTGCAAACTCTAGTGCTACTTGAGGAAGACAGGTGGAATCGTAATTACAGTGTTCTAAATTGTGAAGAAGAAATTGAATTTGACTGTAGTAGGGCCACGCAATAATTGTCGCTGTTGCACGAATGGGCACGGCTGTCCGGGTAGGTAAACCACGACCTCATAGATGACCTTTGTGGAGTGGAAGTTTTATACTTCCGCGTTTCTGGTGAGTGTGGTAGCCGGGGCCTATTTTATATTAACTTAGCGCCGCATCTGCAACCCTACGGAACAGAGACGTTTAGAGGTCTGGAGGCCTCGGGGCGCCAAAGAAGTGGAGGCCCCTTGGCAGCCCCGGATCATCAATTTTTTTTGGGTGGGGCAAAAACTGAGAAATGCCGCCCACGCCCCCTTATATTTATTTTTACCTTTATTATCTATAGAGGGTGGCTTTTCTAAAGATGACCAAATTCATACAGGAGGTTTAGACTCGATAGTATAATCGTTTATTGAACTAAAAACAAACTGTTTTTTTTTTTTTTAAATTTCCTCAAAAACAGAACTTGTTGACAATGCGGTAGTCATAGGTATCTTATAGGTAGTTCATTGATCCCTTTACTTAAAAAAAACATGGGGGCGAGAATCAATAAACTCTTTGAAGGCGGTTTGGACTGCCGCATCGGATTTGAATTTTTTTCCTTGTAAGAAGTTGTCCAAATTCCGGAAAAAATGGTAATCTGTTGGAGCATGGTCCGGGGAGTACGGTGGATGCAGCAGACATTCCAATTGTAGGTGATCTAACTTAGTGGTTGTTTGTTATGCAGTCTGTGATCTTGCGTTATCGTGAAGCAGCAGTGGCCTAGAGCAATTGACCAATCTCGGTTGTTTAGCAGCTATTTCTTCCTTCATGGTTTGCAGTTGCTGACCATAGATATCTGCTGTAATCGTTTGGCCAGATTTTAGAAAGCTGTTGTGAACCGCACCGGCGCTAATCCACCAAATAATCACAAGTAACTTTTTCTGAGTCAATTTTCATTTAGCTGGCTTTCGATTAGGCTGGGTCTAAAGGGTTCAGCCATTGTAACAAGCGCTTCCGATTATCGTACAGTATGAACTTTTCACCACAAGTAATGTGTGATTTAAAATCCCTTCATTATTGTGTCGGTTGAGCAAAGTAACACAGCAGTCGACACGTGTTTGCAAGTTCGATTCACTTAATTCATGAGGATGTGTACCTCGTTAACTTTACTTTCCCGATATGCTTCAAGTGGATTAACACAGTTTTATCACTTAGCCCGAAGCCTGCACCTATCTCTGAAGTGCTTTGTGATGGATCCGCTTCCACAATAGCCTTTAATTCTTCATTTTCCACCGGTGGTCTCCGGCCGTCCATGGGATCTGCAGGTCAAAATTTCCAGAACGAAAACGTTGAAACCAAAAACGTACCGCGTTTTCTTTTGTGACACCAGCGCGGTACATATCATTAATCCCTCAAGCTGTTTCTGCAGCACTGGTGCTACGGTAGAACTCGTACTCGTATATACTGATATTTCATGTTTTCCATTGTCCGGTATCGAATTAATTTATAAACTTGAATTTGGAAGTCTTAACCAAAGAGGAGATATTTCAGATCAATCAAGGTCAGTATGATAAAACGCTAATTTAATATGTACGGACCCACGGCCGTAGCTAAGGGGGGGCATTGTAGGGCAATACCTTAAAATCACAATGCCCTACCTTAAAAATACCAAAATAAAAATGTGTAAATATGACCACGTTTTTCAATTTCGTACACGTCTCAAGTGGTTTCCCATCCTACTTCGCCGGAATTTGTATATTCTTTCTATGTTGTACCTACTGTGTTCTATTTCATGTTTCTACTTCACTTTATTTAAAGGAGAAATTTGAATTTGTAGGGCTTCTAGGGGAAGATCCTACCTTCTTCGAAGAAGCTCATTTTAAAGGTGCCAAACCACAAAACATAATTTTTTGAAAAATCTTTTACCGTACAGGCTGTTAAACTCTACTACTGCATTATATACTATACTATTGCACAACCTACGTAGGAAAGTTCCTTTACGTCACTGGTTGCCTGGAAGAGATCGCTATGAAGTGATACGCATGCGAATTCCATTAATTTGTTTGTCTATTGTTAATTTTGTGTATCCTCTTTTGTGTGGTGGACAATAAAGTATTCATTCAAAAACTAAGATACATTATTGTAATAAAAATTGTAGTAGTTTGTCAAAATCAAAATAATTTATTTATGGAAAAACATACATTTTTCATCTATCGATAGTATTTTTTTAATCTACCACCGTTTCATCATGAGGTTCCTCTAACGGAGAAGAAACAGGCGAAAGAAACTCCGCAGGTATCCTCTTATTCGTAATTTTTTTCTTAAAAAATTAAAATATTATACAATTGTTTTTTTTCTTTCTTTTAGAAATAGCTTGGGTGCGATCAACTCATTACCAGTGTGTGACATTCATTTCGTATTCTAATAATTCTTTGTTCTGTGTACTCGTATAAAAAACTACCTGGAGGACCGAGCTTTGCTCGTTTTTTTTTGATAAATAATGTATTTTGGAAATAAAAAAAAATAAAGAAAGCAACGATCAGGTATAGAAAAAAAAGTAAAAAAAATAAGTGTGTGATCGTGATACGAACCGCGGCCGTCTGTTTTGGGGCCGCCCGATTACCGACCGACCTATTATAAAATTTTTTTTTGCGGCGAAATTTACCGTCATATTCGAATGATATTTTTCATTCCCTGAAAACAGGGAAAAAGGACATTTTCTAAAAATGAAACGGCTAGATCGATGCTGCGCCACCTGGAGCCGTTTCCGAGATTCCGATTATATATATATACAGCGTGTCGTTACCGTCGCGACAATAAATGAACACACGTCTAACGCTACTTGCCAATAATCATAAAAAAATATTAACGTTAAACAAAATCCATAATTAAAAAAAAATATTTTTCGAACAAACTAATTAAGTAAAACAGAAACAAAATTTGTAACATCCTATACAACTCGCGCCACAGCGTCGTATTACAAGCCTCTCCTTCTAACAGTATGTTTTGTCTCTTTTAAATTCATTCAATCCATTTATATGCTTTGTGACCTTTTATAGGTAAGGGTGTTCTAAAATTATAATAAAATAATAATAAAATAGGCATTTGAATGATGATGATCTAAATAATTCGATTGCAAGTCCCGATGAGTTGGATGTAGATAAAACTAGTAGCTTCCACTGAAAAGTTTGGGTAAGTTTAAAAAATTTTATAATTCAACTTTAACCACACTAGCCTAGTGTGGTTAAAGTTTACTTGAGTTGTTGTGTAAAATGGAAAATACATTGCTAGTGTTGTACAGGCAACGAGAGGCGTTTAAAGATACATATGAACTTCTTGCATCTGTGGCGACCATAGGATGTAGCACTGCAGTGTGCGAATCTACGTTTTCAACTTTAACTGCAATCAATAGGCCTCAAAGGCTGTCAATGGGTCACGAGAGAATGGCTGGTATGGTATTACTGGCCTTTGGAAAAAAAAGGACAAAATCAGTTGATCTGAACGAAGTTCTTCGCATTTTTAATAACATGGCGAATCGAAGAATTCAGCTGTTTTAAATATTTTTATTATTATGTTACTTATTATAATAGGTCTGCAGAAACAATTTGATATAAGTGGTATTTTTGGTCGTATCATCTCATCCAAAAATTAATTATTACCTCACTCTCACTCAGACGTGGATCTCTACATCCAAAGCTGGAAGTTCAACCATCTTGTTCGCTTATTCTTCATCATTAAGGATTTAATAGTGCTTATAGCCATGCTCATGTTCTGTCACAGAAATTATTTGTCTACGAATAGCTATTGAACTGACCTAGAGGTCAGTGATATACATGATGATTGATTTAGGAGCTCATGCTAGTTGGGGCAAATATTCCTTTATGGCCAACCGCTCCTCTGGGAGAAAAAGGTCAAATACTTAGGAGTCACTTTCGACTCGCGTATGTCATTTAATACGCACATTAATAACGTTCGCAATAGAGCCGCGTTCTTCTCCGGCCGGCTACACAATTTAACTAACGCTAAAAGTAAAATGCCCTTAAGGCACAAATTATTATTATATAAGACCTGCGTACGATCTTTTATGTCCTACGCATGCATGACCTTCGCCCACACGCACCCTACTCGCTTGTACAAGTTGCAAATAGTACAGAATAAGTTCATCAACCGGTGCGCAGTGGTATCAACGCAACGTTGACCTGCACGGCGATTGCAGACTCCCGACGATTTGCGAATATTTTAAAGACCTGACCAAACGGTTCTTCGATAGAGCCGAACATCATCCCAACCCTCTGGTGGTAAGTGCAGCAAATTATCAACCCGACAAAAACGCGAACGTCAACAAGCGTCGCCCGCGAAACGTCCTCATCGACCCGAGCGACGAAGAGGACTTAGAAACGATGGACCCACCGCCGAGGGTCCCGCCGGATAACAATACACCCACAGTAGTGCAACAACAAACACACTAGTTCGCCCTCGCCTCCGAGCACGGCGAGACCAACACAACGCGTACACAAGGTACACTCGCGTTCCCGGGCGATTCTCACCGCTCCCAGCCACCGATTAGCTATTCGCACAGTCGACGGCCATCGGAGTTTCGGTCCGAACCGCGACCTCGATGGCCCTTAGATGACACACCATACTTAAACGCACGCATGAGCACATGAAAAGTTGAGTAAATTATGAGTTGTCCATTCGTCTGTAAAATGTGAATTTGCCGCCTTCTGAACTTGCCGCCCGGGGCATGGGCCCCGGCTTGCCCCCCCCCCCCCCCTAGATCCGGGGCTGCCCCTTGGCCTCAAATTATTTTCAGTAAATAATTTATTGTGAAACCAAGTATATATTCTTTTATTATTTAACGAACATATAAATATAATCGGAAACAAGAATTATCTAAAATTGAAGTTTGGATTAAGGAAAACGCGAAAAATTTGAGTCTGATTTATTTTGTTGTCGGGTAGTGCATCTGATATAAATTCTATATTTATTCTAAAAGAGCTGTCCGAGCAATCTTTAACATCGGAGCCCGGAATACACTTGATCTTTTTAAAGAGATTAATAGTTACGGTATGTAAGACATAATCTTTATTATTATCTAAAGAATAGTGACAGATATAAACTAAATACTAGAAATAAAGACAAATTATTATTAATAATTGTAATATATGTATTGTTCTTGTCGGTAGAAGATATATGTTTTCGGCATGTACCCTCGTCTAATGAATCAGTCAATAAATGGCGGTTGTACTATTCAACGCGTTTTAATATCTGCTCCCGAATCCCTCAAATAGTGAAGGACATTACAGTGGCGACGAGTTTATTTTTGTTAATAATTGATTAATTAAAAGTTAAATTCACGCGTCAAAATGTCTATATTCGGCAGTGTGTCCGTTTTCGATTGCAAAACAGACGAATGGATTGTACACGTAGCGCAGCTAAATAATTTCTTCGTGGCAAATGAAATTAATGAAATTACCGATCCACATGGAACGAAAAGACGAGCAATTTTATTGAATGGCATGTCTCAGGACTCCTATCGTCTGACACGCGATTTATTGCATCCAGATGCCTCAGGCGCATCGGAATATAATGGATTATAATGTTATTATTTCTACGCTTAATGGTCATTTCGATCCCAGGAAATGCGTATACGCAGAAAGGCAGAAATTTTATGCAGCTGCAAAGGAACCTCAAGAGTCAATAACTGAGTTTGTCGCTCGTCTTCGTGGTTTAGCGTCGGAATGTTATTTTGGGTCGTCACTAGAAATGTGCTTAACGGACCGTTTTGTACTGGGTATTGACTCAGCTTCGGTCCGTGAGAAGTTGTTTAGAGAAGACCCGAATCAGCTCAAACTGACCCGAGCTGTAGATCTAGCGCGCGCTGTGGAGAGTGCGCAGCGTATTGTATCTGCTGGTGAATCGGTACCGGTGACCAAAACGGAGTCATTACTTTATACGGAGTCCCGTCGGAGAGGCAGCACGCGCACCGGTCGCAGCGCTGGTGGCAGCGCCGGTGGCGGTGGCAGCTCAAGATGTGGCGTTTGTGGCGCGAGGTCACACGACGCCGAAGCATGTGGTTACCGTCATTTGTCGTGTAATATGTGTGGTGAAAAGGGGCATTTAAAAAGAATGTGTTTAAATAAAAATGTAGCTAACAGGCCTACGGCGACAAGGAGCGCGGTTTTTAGAAAAAATGGTAGTCCACGGAACAATTATATTTTTGAATGTATTGACAGTGACGATTGTAGTGAATTGCTACAGGTTAATGACACTAGATATGACTCTTCTACTGTTAATAATATTTTGTGTAAGGATGAAAACCTGGCTCTGGAGGTGAGTGTGCGGGGTGTTGCACTCATTATGGAGGTCGATTCTGGAAGTGGGGTGTCGGTACTGCCCGGACACCTGTGGCGTATATATTTTTCTCGGTACACGTCGCTCGGTAAGTCAAATAAAACTTTACGTACGTATAATGGATCAGTCTTGAGTCTGCTCGGAGTTTGTAAGTTACCAGTGACGTATAATAATGAAACACACGATATTCATTTTTATGTTGTAGATAATGGTCCCGTTCCCTTGCTAGGCAGGGACTTCATGTCAAAATTTAATTTTGCCCTGATTTCGCTAAATTATTGCTCGTTAGGAAAAGGAGAATCAATTTTAGACAAATATAAAAGTTTGTTTTCGGGTAACCTCGGCACGTTTAATAAATATAAAATAACATTACATTTAAAAGATGGTGTTACGCCAAAATTTTTTTTAAAGCTCGGTCTGTGCCATTTGCACTTAGAGATAAGGTTGGAGAAGAGTTGGACCGTTTAGTGCGCGTTGGAATACTCAAACCGGTTTCTTATTCGAAATACGCGTCACCGATCGTTGCTGTGCTGAAGAAAAATAATGACGTACGTATTTGCGGCGATTATTCAAAGACTATTAACAAAGCATTAATCGTAGACTCTTATCCGTTACCGAAAATTAGTGAATTATGTGTATCCTTACACGGTTGCAAATATTTTAGTAAGCTCGATTTATCAAGTAGCTATAATCAGTTTCCACTGGATGAAGCGTCACAAGAGTAATGGATTCCCTATGCTTTGGCGAAGGCCAGGAACGCCTTCGCATGGATTAGTGTTGCGAAATGTTAGAAAACATCAACGGAGGTGACTCTAACACTGTACTTGAAATCGTCAAAAGTGAGGAAAGCTGGATGTATTGACCAGAAACCAAAAGACAATCTGCTCAGTGGATTTTAATTTTGAGGATCGACCGCAAAAAGATGAATGCCTCGTTCTTTGGTTGGAAACTCGTAATGCATGGTCGAATTTATAAGGAGAAGGGACCTGATTTCTTATTTTTTTTAAAAACATTGCCCTTACTTTAGGATAACATTATCCTGTGTTGTAGGGACGTTTTACAAATATAAATTTCACGCGGACAAACACCAACAACTACCTGCGGGTCACACAAATAGTTGTCCCGTGTGGGAATCGAACCCACGACCCCCGACACCGAAGCCAATACCTTGGCAACTGTGCCGGAGTCGAGACGAGTACGGAGTCATCGGAGTTCATCCGCGAGCCACGGAGTCATCTGATGACCCAATAATAGGAGCCTTGAGCTTGAGTTTGGTGCGTTAGTCTCCCACAATATAAGAAATTATAAAATCAATTATCACAATTGTACAGGTTGGTAAGAGATCTACCACCCACGTCAAATCAAACACACTGACCAAGCAACAATGATCCATTGCAACCACTCGCGAAAATAAGTTTTTTCCTGACTGACTGACTAAATATGTACATTGTTTAGAGAATGAATGGATGAGAATATCATGAATCATATATACATTTCCACCTCCTTTTTTTTAAAGATTGTCTCAGGTATTTATATGTAATGTCCATAGGCAGTGACATTCACTCAATATCAGGCAAATCGCTTGCTTGTTTGCCAAATTAAACATTTTCAAATTTTGTGACCTATTTAAAAATATCAATTTTTGGGAAACGTAAATTAAGGATTTGTGGAACTTATGAACAAACGCGCTAATTGGGGGGAAGTGAAATAGACAGAAATATACGTTATGTAGCTTTCTAAAATCGGCCCATGTTTTAATAGGATTCGAAAAAGGTGGTCGTTTTAGGTCGTTTCCTGACATATTATTTTTATTTTTTTTATTTTATGCGAAAAGTTGTCAAACGAGCAGACAGTTCACCTGATGTTAAGTGAATACCGCCGCCCATGGACATCTGCCACGAGGGTTACAGATGCGTTGACAACCTTTTGATAATTGGGCTCCGGCTACCTCACTCACCAGACGAAACGCGAAAGTATTTGTCATACTTCCACTTTACGCTGGTCTTCTGTGAGGTCGTGGTACTAACCCGGACGGGCCTGCCCATTCGTGCAACAGCCGAGGCTGCAGCGTGGCCCTACCTCCGCTTAAAACATAAAGCCAAAATCATGATTTTTTGTTAAGTTATTCTGATGTAGGTATAAGCTATGTTACTGTTAAACTATAAAAATCAGTTCAGTAGATTTTCGTAGGAGAGTAATAAATATCCATGTGTACATTGTTTATAATTTAAAAAGGATCACAAATGCATTGGGCGCATAGATGCTTAAGAACGGCGCTATATATTTTGTTGGAGGTGAATTTGAGTTCTATACCGTTTGTTTTTCAACGAATAGACAGTTTACTCCTGGACCAAGTAGACCTTAGTACCGAAATGTCGATATTGCTACCTCCCATTAGTTTGGTAAAACGATTTGGCCTAAGAAAAAACGTTAAAGATATTTTTCAAGAAATAAAATAACACGAGAATTGTTAACATTTTATTGGGAGGCGAAACCAGCAAAAGTTCAGGATAAATTTTAATACAAATCAATAATTGTATTACATACACCTCATAAATCGTCAAGTCCATCTATTTAATTACAGTAGATAAGATTACAATAACATGAACAAGAATACATAATATTCCAAGTATTTATTTTTACATTACATAGAAACAGGGCCGGATTTAGGGGCGGGCCTCCACAAACGAGGAGCCCCACAATAAAGAATTCGGAAAAAAAAAACAATTCAAATTTAGACTAATAAACAATAGTAAACAACTTTTCCTTTCATATTTTTTTTCGCGTTTCACTTTTATCCACAGTACTTGGTAAAAACATGATTACATTACATATTAACAGAAATCAATAGAAAATAATTTGGGGCCAAGGGGCCTCCACTTCTTTGTTGCCGAGAGGCCTCCAGACCTCTAAATCTGGCCCTGCATAGAAACGCCTCGACGCTTCAGTTTTCGATGCCATAATTTGGTGACATTTAATACATAATTCTGTGTAATAGATATATTTTTTTATTTAACTATTGTTTCAAAATACATAGATGTACTATTTGATATGAGCTAAGACATTTCAGTGAAATTATTATTATATCACTAAAGATGGCATTGGTTTTTGTCGATAATAAATATACGCTTATAGAGGGCATTATATAGGCACCAAATTGACATCGACTGATTTGTCGCGATACACATTCCCATCACAAAACAACACCGAGAACACACGAGTAAGTAGATCATTATCGTTTACATATTTTATATACTCTTCAACTGTCAACTAGCTAGAGAATGATTTAGAGTCATTAAAATATTTAGTACAATAACAAGTAAGCCCAATTCGTGGAAGGATAGCGTTCGATAAATCTGAGCGTTTGATTAAATATTAAGTTTTTTTAAACAGCCTCGCACCTTGCGCATCGGCGTGACACATCAAACACTGAACAGTAACATCCGCTTAACACCGAAGAAAGTTTTATTTGCCCGAATACTTACATTAAATAGACACTTGAAGATAGAACGATTACTTTATGAACTTACATACACCTAACATTAGATCTAGGTATTGTCTTTTGTATGCCAGAAGTGATACAATGGGGTCCTTTATGTTAACGACATAGATGATTGTATGAAAATGTTGAATGTCAATGCTAACTTCAATGCAATAATAGTTGTAATTTCAAAACATTTTTAAATTTAGCCATTAGTGCATGCATTGTTCAGATGTCATAAAATTCTATAAGTAATACATTTTTATTTATTATCTGGATAAGCGACATTAAAAAGATATGATTTTATTTAAATTGTAATTAGTTATATAATACAAATAAAAAAATTATATAAAAACGAACATAATTTCAATTGACGCATCAAATCGTTCAACTTGATATTTTATCACAATGGTTTATAAATTACATTTTACCAATAACATTAAATGCCACGAATTTTTGGCAAGATTTAACAACTTACACCTCCCTCATTTTTGATACTAATGTATAACATTGCAATGTATACGTTCGTTTATAATAAATACCCGCAAAGATGTATTTATTTATTCTAATAATCGCATGTAAACTAATTTACGTTCTATATACTTAAAGAAAAAAAAAAAGTTTTATTTGATGTAAAAAAGAGGTAAAAATATATGACTATAGTATTTACTACTAAAATGAAATTAGAATTGTACAAGGACATAAGGTTAACTAAATATAGTACCTAAAATATCACCAATCGCAATGCTGTTACATACCACCGCAACAATGTACTGGTAACGTTGGGAATGTCGCGCCATTTTACCTCGTTAACTGGATGTTAATATGTCGTATTGTTTTCCGAAAAATTTACAATGTATCTTTTCATTTTAGAAATACTTCTAGTCCAGCGATACTTGTTCCTATTCGGCTTAAGAGGAAATTCCATAATCACTCTTCTATTTTAAATCAATAAACAATATGACGGGCAAAATCATATATAACAGTCCATAACATTGTTAATGATCAAACTGGAAGACCGTATTACAAAAGTGGGAATAGTTACATTTGTAATTGCGACATACATATGCGATACTCCTAAAGGTGTCATTAGAAAATTATAATTTTTAACACAGTTCGACACGGAATGCTATTTGAGCGACGGAATTATAATTACATAGAAATTATATTATTTGTCTATATAATACTGCGTGGATAAAGTCGATGGAGGACATCAAAGATGTAACAACAATTTACGCTAATTACAATTTAATACATAGAGAGGAAGAATAATCTAAATAACTAATTTCAAAATTTTATTTAAACATTGATTATATCTTCACGATAAATTTTAAAGATAACGTTCAAGATAACTACAAATAATTGATACGGTGATTTTCGAACGAAGCAAAACAAAGGCGGCGCGGTGAAGCCACAAATGGTTGAGTTTTCGACAATAGAAGAATGAATGGATCTATGGTGTGAGTGGAGTGTGTGTATGTGTGTGTGAGTGTGTGTATGTGTGTGTGTAAGTTTACATGTTTGGCAATGGCACGGTAACTTGTACGTAGCTGATGGGGAAGTATCCGGTCTTCCCGTTGACGGAGCCCTCGAACCAATTCTCGTCCACCTTGCTTATCAGCGTTATCACGTCATTTTCCTTTTTGACAAACAAAATACATTGTCATTTCTCTATCAATCTACTAAACATCTAATAAAACTGGGTTCACAATATCCAATAACAACTTTGTTCAAAACTATCTTGAACAGGACGGCAATATTCCCCAAATATGACTTGTGATAATCATCATCATCATCATTTCAGCCTGTTTGAGTCCACTGCTGAACATAGGCCTCCCCCACAGACTGCCACGAAGTACGATCCTGAGCCACCTGCATCCATCGACTTCCCGCACATTTGCACAGGTCGTCACTCCATCTAGGGGGACGTCCCATACTGCGATGGCCAGTACGAGGCTGCCACTCGAGAACCTTTCTTCCCCAACGGTTATCGGTTCTACGAGCTATATGGCCGGCCCATCGCCACTTCAGCTTGCTAATCCTCTGAGCTATGTCGGTTATCTTAGTTCTACTGCGGATGTCTTCGTTACGAACTCTATCACGCAGAGAAATACCGAGCATAGCCCGCTCCATAGCTCGCTGAGCGACTTTGAGCTTCCTCATACGGCCAGCAGTGAAGGACCACGTCTCGGTTCCGTAGGTCATCACTGGCAACACACATTGATTGAAGACTTTAGTCTTCAAACATTGAGGTATATTTGACGAGAAGATTTGCCGAAGTTTCCCGAACGCTGCCGAGTTGGATTCGCCGATTGACCTCTGCGTCGAAGTTGGACTTACCTAGCCGGACTAACTGTCCTAGGTAAATGTACTCGTCAACAACTTCGAGCTCAGTGCTCCCAACAACAACCGGTATTGGCGTGACATGGACATTAGACATGATCTTCGTCTTGTCCATGTTCATCTTAAGGCCCACCCGTTGGGAGACACTGTTGAGGTCATTGAGCATAGTACTAAGTTCCTCCAGCGATTCTGCCATGATGACTATATCGTCGACAAATCGGAGGTGGGTGATGTATTCGCCATTGATGTTAATACCTCGTCCTTTCCAGTCCAGAAGCTTGAAAACATCTTCCAACGCAGCGGTGAAGAGTTTCGGGGATATGACATCACCCTGTCTTACACCCTTCTGCAGTTGGATAGGTTTTGTACTACTGGACTGTACTTGGACGGACATCGTAGCCTTGTTATACAAACACCTCAGCACCTCGATATACCGACAGTCAATTTGGCACCGCTGAAGAGCCTGGAGTACCGCCCAAATTTCGACAGAATCGAAGGCTTTCTCATAGTCCACATACGCTAGGCACAAAGGCAGATTATACTCTTCGGTCTTCTGTATAATCTGCCGCAAGGTGTGTATGTGGTCTATGGTACTGAAGCCTTTTCGGAATCCGGCTTGTTCGGGAGGCTGGAAGTCGTCGAGTCTGGAAGCGAGACGATTCAAGATGACTCTTGAGAATAGCACATAGACGCGGCTCAGAAGGGATATCGGTATATAGTTCTTCAAGAGAGCGTTATCGCCTTTCTTGAAGAACAGCACCAACCACACTTCTGCTCCACGCCTCTGGTGTAGCACCACCCTGAAGGACGGAATTAAAGAGCCTCTGAAGGACTACAAGTACCGGTTCTCCACCCGCTTTCAGAAGCTCTGCTGTAATTCCGTCCTCTCCTGATGCTTTGCAATTCTTAAGATGGTCAAGAGCCATTCTAATCTCGCTCAGACTGACGTCCGGGATATTATCGGAATAGTGTCGGATAAGCTTTGCTCTTGGGTCGTTACTCACACATGTGTGTGGCTCCAACGACGATGTGTACAGCTGTCCATAGAACCTCTCTATCTCACTCATAACCTCTGGTCTACTGGAGATGATAACGCCGCTGTCAGTCTTCAACTTAGTCAGTTGGCTTTGTCCGATAGACAGATCTCTGACGAAGACTTTTGAGCCTAGGTTCCGCTCTATAGCTCCCTCAATACGATCTGTATTGAAGTTGCGTAAGTCACGCCGCATGTATTGGGAGATCTGCCTATTAAGCCGCCTGTAGTCCGACATGTCAGTTAGAGACTGCAACCGCATCTCTCGTCTTTTTCCCAAGAGGTTGAGAGTGTGATCAGAGAGTTTTTGGGTTCTATTTTTGCGGCGGGCCTTATAAAATTTAAGGCCCGCGGCATGGACAGTTTCCACGAGTTTGCATTAATATCGTCCACCGTGCTGCAATTTTCTAGGCATTGGAAACGATTATGTAGCTCGAGCTGAAAGCTTTCGGAGTTCTGGATATGGGCACGAGATGGTCGGAGTGTGGACTTCATCAGACGAGATCTTTCCAGCCTAATGTTAATATTCAATGTGCCTCTCACTAATCGGTGATCACTTCCGGTCTTTACCCTTGTGATCACAGAGACATCATTGAATATTTGCCGTTTGTTCGTCATAATGAAGTCTATCTCGTTTTTTACAGAACCATCGGGGCTAATCCAGGTCCACTTTCTGTGGGGCTGCTTTTTGAAGAAAGAGTTCATCATAAAGAGTCCCTCTTTCTCCATAAAGTCAGCCAGCTGCTGCCCCCTTGGGTTCCGTTACCCTATTCCAAAACTACCTACTCTCAGCTCATCGTCTTTCCTTTTGCCTAGCTTTGCGTTGAAATCTCCCATTAACACCATGTACTGAGTTTTGGAGGAATGTATGGCTCGTGATATATCCTCATACATTGCCTCCACCTCATCATCGGGATGTGTCGACGTTGGTGCGTAGACCTGTATGACCTTCAACGAATACCGTTTGGATATTCTGAGTATAAGGTACGCAACCCTCGACGACACACCCTCGATTTTAACAACGTTGTTAATGAGAGACTTGTGGACGATAAATCCGACACCTCCTTGGGACACTTGGTCGCCCTCCCGGTGGTAAAACAGGTTGCCGGATTCAAGGATTATCGTGTCCTCCCCCTGTCTTCGGACTTCAGATAATCCTATTATATCCCAACGCAGCCTGCTTACCTCTTCTTCCAGCTCTGTTATCTTCTCGTCAGTCCTCAATGTTCTTACGTTGTATGTTGCCAGGTCCAGTCGCCGTCGTTGGTAGCCGAATCTTAGCCGGAGATTCTTAGCACCCCCTGCCCTGCCGTTACCATGACCGCTACCGTAGCCAGGAATAGCAGGGCCGCCGGGGACTGGGGGCCGTACACCTTGGACTTCCATTCATGAGGGGTTTTTTGCCATAGTTGCCACGCTTGGCGAGCGGGTTGGCAACCGCAGTTCTTCCAGCCACCTCGCACCTTCAACGCTGCTGCCCGTTATTGGCCTGGATATTTGGGTCTGGAGAGTTAGGATGGTTATCCCGCCATCTATCGGAGGCCACCGGATGTTTGTGGCTTATCCCTTAGTCGCCTCTTACGACACCCACGGGATGAGATGGGGTGGCTTATTCTTACGCCGACACTTTACCACTTGTGATAAATAAATATCTAATTTAGAAGGAAACGCAAAGATAAAATAAATTAATTTATAAAAAGTTGCAAAATGTCTTATTTGCCTCTATCTATGAACTTTTAAAACTTGAACGAACAGAACCGTGTACATATAAAACATTTTAAATAAACACTAAGCGAAGAACATTTACGCACCATCTCACTCAACCCTACCCTGGAATTTTGACATCAATAAGAAGTTTAATAAGGCATCTATATTGAAAAAAGATGTTGGAATTCGATTGTTCTTTATGTATCTTGTCGTTTTTCTTTTAATATGAGAAAAAGGAAATTAGAAAAGCAAGTGAGTCATGGTCAAAATTCAAGTATACCCATCCCTAATCTGTAACCTTTGTGTCGCTTAACGAAGTTAAGGCGCATATAAGTTTTGCGATCATAGCCATGATAGCTCAGTGTCCTGGCGCTCGCCTTTAATTTAAATATACTCGAGCAACCTTAGTTCGATCCCCGGTGCCGGCACCTATGGAATTGTTAATTTTAAGTTCTGAACTATCACGTGCTCAGCGTAGAGTGCAAGGGAAATACTGTGAGGAAACCTGCATATTTTCGAAATAATAAAAAAAAAATCGAAGATATGCGAAGTCCGCTAATCTGGAGTAGGGCAGCTTGGTGCATTATTATGCTCTAATACCCTCTGTATAGAGGAGGCCTTTGCCCAGCAGTGGGAAATGTATAGGCTGTCCTTTTTTTTAATCAATATTTACCTTGAATCCCAGCTCGCCTTGGTTTTCGGCCTCAAAGTCATACAGAGCCGTACAACATGGCGTCTTCGACGGTGCCATCGGCGTCCGCGCGGGAGACTTAACCGGCGACGGAAGCGGCGACGCTGCGGCAGTTCAAATTTCAAATGTTTCGCCCAAGACTTCTTGTAAATTATAAGAAGGCTGGAATACACGCCCCATGTAGTTGCTGCTGCATGCGAAAGCGTGGTAATTTCGAGAAAACACTAATATCTATGCATTCACGCAGAACGTGTGTACGAAAAAAGTATGCTAATAACAGCAAGAAGAAACTATTCCAGCCCTCGGTAACTATGCTAAGTCTAGCGGCCAATTCATTATCTCCTATTAATTTTAGCAAAATTTTCATTTCAACTACAGCTGTCTATAATATTTAATACTATACTCTATAGCTATTAATGATATTATGTCCTAATTATGTTTTATTTTTTTTTTGCAATATATTTAAACTATGGCTTTGTATAATATTTAGAGCTTTGGCTTAAACGATGATCAAATCCAAGTACTATTTTTTTTCTGGGTGTCCAGATTGATTTAATTGCTTATGTAATTGCTATACATGGCGATCTTATCATCAATTTTTCACTAATTACCTACGTAAACAAAAAATTGGCTACATATGCATATTTCTGTGCAGCCCATTCTTGAATAATAAATAATTCGTTATATATTAAAATGAAACACACAAGTTTTTCATATACAAATGATAACTGAAAATATAACAAATTGGCAGCTAATGATTAAAGGTAGTTTAAGCTTGATATAAAAAGCACTCAAATCATGGTCCATTTTTAATTTTGTATTTATGACCCAACGTTGGATTCGTTTTTTGAAATTTTGAATCTGTAGCAGTAAGCGTAATTTAAACCTTAAATAAAATAATACGCAGACATCCACAAGCGTTACACAATTAAGCGATATTTATTATGTGGCTGTTTTAATAAGAAAATAGATGTCTTTTTTGTTATTTTAACTTAAGCTTAGCTAAGACTTTTCTATTACAAGAAACGACAACATGCTTTCGTAACTAGACGCACAAGGTGAAATGATGTAAACTAAAGTTTACCTACCATTTAACAAAAGTAATGTAGTAACCATGGTAACGACACTGACATGCAACGCAAACATTTATGAAAAATCACGTAAACAGATAATGAAAGCGTACTTAGTCAATCATAGAAAAAAAGAAAAGGGAATGAAATACTTTGTTATCTATGCACCCGTATGGCGTATGTATGTGGTATGAAGAGTATATATCAATTAAAGCTTTAGGATTCATTTAAAAGTATGTAATAACATTGTAAGTTTAAAAAACACTGACTAGTAATATTTGTGGCTAATATAAATCTACGCAAATACATGTAATAATTTAAAAAAATTATTATCAATTACGTTTGTTCCTGTACAAGGCATAATGTGTAGTGTTGTTATTTTCAAGTGATGATTAAGTTATCTTATGTTGGGAGTACAAACACAAATTCTTGGAATTGGTTCACAATCCTCCTTCGGAGCTTAAAAATTTGACACTGACAGTTTCTGTACGATCAAGATACAGTAAAAATTAAGCTGTTAAATTGACGATATCAATTTTTATCGACTTGACATCTCGCGGCTTTTTATAATCTGTGGTGTTGTCTATTGTCTGTGCATCTTTCGATGTGTTTCATATGCGTGTTACCCTGATTGGAGCGTTGCGCGTTGGCACCGCCCGGGAAGAGCTCGAGGTTGGAGGGCGGCTTGTGGTCCGGGGAACCGGCGTGCGAGCCGCCTTCTCCGCGACGCAAATAAATAAATGTCCCAGGCTCAGTACACTTTATGAGGGCGATCGCAATACGTCTACGTACTGCGATCGCTTTTATTCGTCAAATCGGAACGTGGATTTTGAATTTAAAGTGTTACTCTTTATATACTTATATCAGTTAATACGTTTGTTGAAAGAGACGCCTACAATTTTATGCGCGCTAATTTGGTAATAATGATTCGATTGTATAATTAAGTTATTTAAAAAAAATAGTTGTTAATATGACTTCTGCCACTAGTTTGATATCACCATAATGTAGGAAGGATAAATATTATGTTGATTCCATTCCGAATATTGCTTGTCCTATGCTAAATAACATTTGTAACCTTTTAAAATTTCTCTAGTCAATCAAAAGTTTTCTTACATGCGTCATTTTGTCTAGATTTACTAACACAAACCCGGTATAAAATGATGGCGTCACAATATTCTCATTTTTATTTCACTCATCACAGTGTATGTATAATTTGAAATGTGCATAGTAATGCTGTTTCAGAGTTCGACTGAGACAGGAAATCTTAAGAAGGAGGCAGAAGAGACACCAACGAAATGCTACACTTATCCAAGATACGGAACTACGGCAAATCTTTATTTCAAATTAATTTCGACATCAATGTTGCTAAAATAAAAACATCAATAGAACGGCGAAGGGAAAGAGTTTACTCACAAATGTTCTTTGAAAAAAAGTATTATGCTGTATTCAAACAATATAATCTCTTTCCATCGCAAAATATATAAACACCAATAAATACTTAGCCTAATGTCGGACAAGGAATGGAGGGGACTGAGGGAAAGGCGACTCGGCGAACCTGAAAATCGATTTGGAAACTAAGACCATACCCAATACAGCCGTGGACGGTTGCTATTGTTTTACAAAAAGCAATAAAAAAAAATCAAAACGATACGTTGTTGGGATTTATATACAATTGAAGTAGTTTTTGTGAGAACAAGTTTTTGGCGCCTGAATGTGTTGCCATATCGGATTGCAGTATTAATTGTGTTATGTTTGTTAAGTTATGTTACTACAGTACATATAATCGTGAGAAAGAGTGATGCTTAGTTATATGTATGTATATAGGCCGCGCAAAATACACAAATTATTGCCAGCGGCTACATGCGGGTTTGCGGGAAGAGAGCATTGCTCTCTTCTTCACATTGTAGTCCAAATTGCTTTCTGTCTTGCTCCCACTATACGTTTGAGTTCAGTGGCGAACAATTCAGTTTTGGAACATAGTTTATTATAAGGTGGTCTGCAAGGTCCATTAAGCGACTTTTGTCCTCATCGGTACACACGCATGGTACATAATTATAAGTTTTACGCGGCCTATACATAACAAATTTACGCATGTTATTAGGGGTGAAACAGAATGTCGATTTCTTATTATTGACTTTGTTGCGTGTGCCTTCACCAGGTTTCCCTGCAGTGCGAAGATACAAGCGTGTTACACAGACCCAACAACAAAAAATTAATTTGACTTTGGACATTTGTCTAAGATGCAAGTTCTATATTTACGGGAGACGCGTATTTTGATCGTTCCTCGGTCGAAACTTGGTAAAACTTCGACCGTAGTGTCAAGTCAACGTGGTAGATGAATAACGAAATGGTAAAATTCTTTTACATTTTCATCAACACAATAATATTGAATGTACTATCATGATACATGAGTTATATAGTAAATTCTCCATAGATTAGACATGAGATAGTATCAACTTACGATTTTTTTAAATAAAATAAACCTTAATATTGGAATGTGAATACAATGTACTCTATATGGCGCGTGACAATTATATAGAAATGTAAGTTATATATAATTAAATAGGTACATAATTTACACGTACCTAAAATTTGTCAGAGATATAGTTCAAAATTCATTTCACCATATCTATATTACTTAGATCAAAACCGCGTCTCCAGTAAACTACGTGGCATTAGATTTTGAACTCTAAACGCGTTGCACATACGGCTGAAAATGCGCCCTCCACCGCCAAAGTCAAATAGGACGTAAACAACCCGCAAATAAAAAGGAAACGAGGTTCACCTGTCCACGGATCGAGGCCGTTGTATTGGCGCGGGGCCGGGTGCGGCCTGAAGTGGGGCCGGGACAATTGCCCATGGTCCGGCCTGGACAATTGGCCCTGACCCGGCCGGGGCTGGGGCCTGGGCTCCTCCCAGGCCCTCAGGGGGTCCACGCTAAGGTCGCCGACGGACGAGGAGGGGGGGATGTGGTTTCTGGGGCGGGGCAGACTCTGTGTGGAACCGTACCGCCTACCATTGCTCAGGTCGTGCACGCCCTCGATCTGGAGGTCGGCGAGGGTCTTCGGCACAAACTCCATCTTCGGACGGTTGACCGCCTCCTCCTTCCTGGAAGACGGGGGCGGTGCGTTCTCGTAATTCGCACGGGTGTTCACGAAAGTGTACTCGAATGACTTATAATTAGCAGACTCCACACTGTGACGCTTTAAAATATATATTATATATATTTAACACTAAATAAATATTTTAAGACACATTTTTACTGTCCCAAACTGAGCAACGCTTGTACTATGGGTACTAGGTAACTGTTAAATATACTTTTTTTTTGTAACTAAATACATATTTTACATATATATACACCCAGACCCTGAAAAAACACTATGTTCAGTTCCAGTAGTAGGTGTAGAACCCACACAACCTCTGGCGCAAGAGGCAAATTCACTAAACACTTCGCCATTCGGTCAGTATGAATAACCCCATGGTTATTCATACTTAAGTACAGACAAAGAAAAAAAAAAGGGAGAAGATGCGTTATATATATCATTCGAGTACTAGACCAATGATTGAGAACCCACGATACGCTAAATCATCTGGAAATGATAACTTACTTCTCCATGAGTGTTGAGACCAGGCCCTGCAGGATTTCCGTACACTGCTGGTGATACTCCAGTAGGCCTTCCGCGAAGAAACTAAGCTGTGCAACTTGCTCCACCTGTCATCAAGTCAACTGTACATGTTATGTGTAGAAATTAAAGGTTACATCAACGGAAAGACCATGTATTATCAAAGATCAATTTCAAAATCTCTACACATTTAAAAAAGCTTTTCCAACTTTTCAGCCTTTGCGGTGGAAGCTCGTGTCCGTGCCGCAAGTCTTCGTCCTACTTCACGCACGTTATAGTTTTGTGGGAATTGTACGTAATACATATACTTCATATTCATTTACTCTGTTAGGTGACAAATGGACAAGATAGCGTTTTTCAATGACGTCCAATCCAACGCCTACATCCAAATTCAGAGGCGCATTCATTTATTATTTATTACGTGCGTTTGCCACATTCTCACAGTTCACCTGATGTTATGTAAGTACCTCCGCTCATTGACAATAGCAACACTCATAGAGTTAATGGTAGATACGTTGCCACCTTTTAATAAATTGGCTACCTCACTCACCAGACGAATCGCAGATGTGTAACACTTCCACTTCACTCCGGTCTTCTGTGCGGTCGTGGTACTTACCCGGGCGGACCTGCGCATTCGTGCAACAGTGCAGACTGTTACGTGGCCTCAACTTAAAATAACTATGCACTATGCAACATTTCAACCATTAGTTTCGTTCAGTTGAACGCCAATACACCACTCACGTCATTGTCGAGCAGATTGAACATGCCGATCTGGGCTAGCTGCAGGGACTCCGCGAACTTCTCCTCAGCCTGGCGGATCTCCTCGTCTGCAATGTGAGCACCTGATGTACGCCCGCCGCGACAACGTCGCGTCAGAGCGCCCGTATAGTTCAAAACGGAATATCAACAGAAACACCAAAAGAAAAAAAAAAACCGAGCTCATTAAAATCGGAGAAGAGCGCAAGAAAGGGGGAGACGGGAGAAAAACGAAAAGAGAAAAAAAAATACAGACCAAACGCCGAAAGGGAAAGCGGACGAACAAAATGGCGGTGAACGGGAACGCAGCAATCGCAGGACGGGTATATGGAAGAGACGAGCGTTTCGCATAAGACACATTTGTATATAATAGCTTAACAATACATTGTTAATGTGCTATCTAGCTATGTTACTTATACTCCACACATACCATGTCTAGGAGTGCCGCTACCTGGACAGGACCCATATAAGGGCTGAACCTACCTGATCCTTGACAATTAAAAACAAAAAAAGCGTCATTACCTGCTTTTGTTTCAATTATGCAAACAAAGTAGATTTATGCAGCTAGGGACAAGATTAAATTAGATAAAGGCGTTTATAATGTTCAAACACGAATTTTCAATTAGCGCAACTGACTAAAATTAAATTGTTTACGTACGAAGTTCACTGTTATTAATTTATACAGTTTACAAGATTGTTTTATTGAAATGTGTAAAATCCACGCCAATATTAGAAATTATTATATTAAATTCTCAACATTTATAATATTAAATAATTCAACTTAAACTTTACGAACTAGAAATGAAAATATGAAATAATCACCTTTCGCCTGCCTACGCCGTTTGCAGTCGAAATCGAGCCTGCGTCCTTGCAGTTTCTTCCGGTGATGCTGTGAACGCAAAAGTTACATATAAAAATATATTGGACTCAAATATTTCCATACAGGGCATGGTTGCAGCATTGTGTTTGTATTTTAATATGTCGCCCACGTACCATAACTTCTTTGAGATCTTTGGTCTGTAGATGGTGCAGGGGCTCGAGGAAGCTTTGCTTTATATTGTCGTCGAGGGAATACTTGACGTCCGCCATTTGTTTCAATGCCTCGCCCATTTCGATAAGACATTGTGCTGTAACAAAATCGACATGTAGCATGGTTCTAAGGGGAGTTAGTATTTTAATTAGCATTTAAACTTAAAACTGTCACAAAACTTTTCGCCGCTATCAGAAATAAATACTTCGCCTTCCGGATTAGGCGTCGCGCGAAATTCTCGACGTCTTATGTACTTGGTTTTTATTGAATTTTTAGCAATGCTTGGTGCTCTCTAAAGTATTCATTTACAATTTACAAGCAAGACTGTGTTGCAAGTAGGAAGCACACTTCCTCAAATTTTAACTTTATAATGATAATTTGTAAACTAGAGATGTCGCCTTTGCTATGGAAATTTAATTTTTAATTGGCGAAAAATTTTGCGACCATTTAACCTACACATTTTAAGTATCGTTTTCGCACCAGATTTTTTTGGCTTACCAATACCTAACCATGTCAAAATGAGTGGCAATTTCGGAACGGGCACACCTCTAAATTCTGATGATTGTAATTTGCAATAACTTCATCGTTAGTATTGTTGTTCCAAATTGGAAAGAAACTGATTCCTGAGATATTAGGTATATTTAATTTCATTGATGGATGTGATTTTTTTAATCAAATCATGCAAATATTTCTACTACAAAATCTGTACGATAACTGAGAAGTAAAGCTCAGTCTTATGATGCATCCAACTTCTAAAAGTTCTTAATCATAGGAAATATATCTTAATTATGTGGAACCAAGATGCAAAGTTGTGTAAATGATATGAATTCCTAAGATCCTGTAGAAATAAAGGTTGGAGAAGAAAGGCCACATACAAAATACTGTATCCTCCCCGAGTTTCTTCCCGTAGAGTAGCATGCAATCACCCAATACGCCCTCGGGCTGTGGATAGGTGTTGCTTTTGGCTTGTCCGCTGAGTTTACTGATGCCTTTGACGGCTGCCATCTTCGCCCTAGCCGTTGGGTTCGGCTGGAGAAATTCTTTCGTTTTCGTCTGCAGCTCCTCCACGAGTTCGCATGTTACATCAGTTTTCTGGAAGATAACATATCATATATGTATATATATATATATATATATATATATATATATATATATACATATATAGTAATCAATATAGAAAAGACCGTGAGAGACTATCGTTTATATAGAATTGCGTCATTCGTTTTTTAGATATAATTGCTGCCGTCGAGTTGACCCATTTATACAAGAGTATACTCGTATGGTTATGCAAAAGTAACAATATAAGTAGTATTGTGAACTCTTTTTAACGTTTGTAAATATTTACATAAATAAAGACCTCTAATAGGGCAAATTCAATCCGAAATCGCATAGGCCTATGATTAGCAATTGTTTTAAAATAGAACTGTTGTAATGATGATGACATTTCGGCATTTAGGTATTTTTGAAATGACCAGAGTTTAAATATTATGGTAGTGATAACACTGTCACTTGATCCGTTCAGTCCATTAAATGCATTTCCTAAGATTTTTGTCTCAAAATTGTATCATTGGTTCGTCGGCGTATTCGTATTTTTAGGCATGGTGAACCAATTTCTTACAAAATAGTACTGATACATCACTTATAAAATATTACTGATTATGAATTAATAATAACAACGCGATAATAACCTTAATTTTCTGAGAATAACAAAGCAGTATAAATAAAATAACATTACAAGGTTTTACCTTGGTATAAATTTAGTTCAGTATTTATGAGTTTCCTTCATTTTTATGAAGGAAAGCCATAAAACACATTTAGCGGGCGTCTCCGCAAAATAGGACACTTAAAAGTTTTCTGTACGTCAACAGTGTACTTAAGAGGTTTGAAATAGTAGTACGGCGTTTCAAAAAATGTAAGGATTGTTTACGGGACGATATAAAAAAAAGTTAAAAGCATTTTTTTTCTTTAGATTTTTTGTTATTTATGGTATTTAGTTTTATTATGTTGTACGTTCCCTATTTGTTTCGAATATTATGTTAAAGTTAGTTGTTAAGATTGTTATTTCTCAGTAAAGATTGAACAATTGTTTTACTTTGGTCGACGTCAAATGTGAATTTAAAAAAATGTACTAGTATTAAAATTTAGTAATTGTGTACTAAATACGTAACAAATATTAACCATACATGTAGGCTTCAAAACGGAAATCGCTAATGTAACTTTAAAGTAAGCCCAAGTTGGGCTGTTTCTTTGTTTACTTGACGGTTAGTCAGAGATCACAACCAGGTATTAAATATATATATTAAATATATTAAATATAAAAGATCTCCAGAGCGGTTCATATTACGATCTAGGCTTATATGACAAAGACTGGGTCAAGAAACATAATATATCACTGCTTACCATCTGTGGGTACACTGAAGAGAAAAAATACCTGTGCAAGAAATCAGATGTAAGAGAATCAAACCAGTAAGAGTAAAACATAGAACATTCCAGTCTTGTCGCCATTGCAGGCGACTAGCTGACCACATTTGCGGTTTTAGTTTCCGTAGATGACCGCGTTATATGCGTCGTGGGCGGCGTGTTTATATCTTATAATCCAATAAAAATCATTTGTCGCCTTGTGTCCGGTACGCATTATAATTACGTAAATAACGTAAGTGGCGCTTGTGAGAAAATTTATGTGTGATCAAAAGTAAAGGAAATAACTGAAAGATAGTATCCAATCTTGAAAAGAAATAAAATAATTTTGTACAATGCGTTTTTTTATGGAAAATTGGGCGAAAAATTAAAAGGATCCCCTGATGGCAAACAATGACCGCTGCCCACGAAGACTCGCAAAACCATTTGTTCCAAAAAATATTGCGGCCTCGAAGGTAGAGGAATGACAGGTTCTGGTTATCCCATGTGAAGTGATTGCGTAAAGGAGTACCCACCCGTGGTAAATTGGGTAGAGCAGAAGATTAGCTGAGTGAGCTCGACAGAAACCATACGACGGTCGCTAATCAGATGATCAAGGTACCCACAAAAGCTGACACTTAATAATAGACTCCATTATTTCAGAAAACAAAGTTTATAGGAATAGACCTAGACACAGGTGTCACTATAGACACACTCGTGAATGTTATTTATATAGAGTAGAAACAACTGAGGCCCCAGGATACTACCCTGAGAAAACCCGATTGTGTATAGCTTGTTCAGTCTTTCGCTTGGTCAATCTTAACACCATTGTGTTAACGGAGACAGTTCTCGGTTCCGTTAAATAGCTTCTGAACCAACTTAAGGCAGTATGGGAACGGAGACAGTTTCGAACGCCTTTGCCTAGTCCAGAAATGCGCCAACAGTTAATAAGTTCTTCAAGAATTTTGGAGAAAGTTCCCAACAGTGAGATCGGTCTGTAACTTACCACGGAGTCCCTTGACCGGACAGAGCGAAGTGATTTTCCAGTCATGTGGAAAGACACCACCGGAGAGACTTAAATTTACTACATGAGTAAGTGGTGTTATAATCCCGTTTTTAGTGGATTTTATTAATGAATTTCCTAAAACCATCATTTCTTTGCTTTGGGGCTTTGCGGTTTTCTAAACTTATAATTAGCCTTTCGATTGCTTCATAGTCTCTTGGAGCAATGAACCGATTAATTTTAATTAATAAATGATTAATTTATTAATACTTAGAAAATATATTTTTTTAAATTAATTTAAGCTCCGTTGTTCAATCGTATTATGTCATAACATCTAATGATGAACATATAATTTTATTAGCAGTTGCATAAAGATTACATAATTGCTACGTTAGAAAGATACTATAAGGCCGTCATTTTTTTTTCATAATATTAGTCTTCGATGGTACCACAAATCTAATTAAAAAATTATATATAAATTATTGCACCTCAACTATTACAAACCGTAAATGTTTATTTGGCATGAAATCAAATTGCGTATTTTTAAAAATAATGAATACTTTTAAGACAATTTTTATTTTTATTCGATTATTTTTATTACGTTTCTACATAAATTTCGTGACATCTAAGCCAATGTATGTCATAATAAAGTTCAGGTATTGTAAGCTACGATTTTTCCTAAATACGCTACTAACAGCCTTGCGGAGATCACCAGGCGGTTGGCTGATGTCCTAGGTCCTTGAGAGAGGCCAAGTTGACTAATGCAGGCTGTCGATTACGATGATGATACTAAGCTGAGTTAATATAAATAGTGATAAGTTGTACTTACTCTTTCCATTTCCACGAAATCCAAATCCAGTTTCGTGCCTTCGGCACCTCCCATTTTCTCTGTGACATACTGAAAAAAGGAAAAATGCGTCAAGTGAAACTCACTCACAAATGAATTTTTAAGGGTAAACACGGTTTATCTCGATTTCCAGCAAAACTACAAGGCCTATGGAAAGTAAAGTTAAACGGTAAAAATTGTAGGTAATAAAAAGAACTTTTGTATTTACACTTTTTTAACATAACCTGAAATTTTTTGTGAAAAATTCAAATTACCAAGTTTTTGGTTTTTTATTTTTATCTTTTACATAATGTTTTCTTTTTCGCGAAATTTGGTGAAAATTTTTATGTCTCAAATACACTGTGATTTATTTGATTTGAATTTTTTATTTTTTCATCTTATTTGGACTCAATATCGAAAAAGCACCCTAATTTTCGATCGAAAATTCTCGCGTCAAAATATCAGCTTTTTTAAAAAAGTCGTTGACCTTTTTGTTCGTTGAAATCTCAAGTTTCATACGGTATAAAATATATATGTTACTATGTATATATAATATATATGTAAATGTTCTCAGGAAATGCAAAACATAAAATATCTCAATTTAGAAGTTAAATTTTCAATTCGAAGTTTAAAGACTCATGCACTAAATAATAGAAGGAGACGGTAACTATATGTTTACCAACTAAAAAATTTACTACGTTAAATTACTACTTAGTACATATGAGTAAGTAGCGTTACAGTAAGTAGAGCAATTAATTACAAGTTTTGTAGAGTTGCAAGAATAAACTTCATCGTATTTTTTAATGCCCGTCGTTTACTTTTAAAACAACATTTTGAACAGTATTTCTGTTTATAATATTAAATAAATTAAAACAACACCTCTAAACCTTTCACTTTTACCGATAAAACAATTTGCTCAGCACAAAAGCTATTGTTGCCATAAAAACTTCACGCCACATTTAGTACATTTAGAGTAGCGATTTCATACAAAGGAACTAAAGTATCGGACCGTTCGTTTGAGTACAAAAGCTGGGGTCGAGGTCTGTCCTTGGCCCAACTCGCGCGCTCAACGTAAAGTGTTGCTCCTATAGACGTATTCTCCCAATAAAGGGTGCATACGTGTGCAACGAAAACTATCTAGTCTATCTAGTTTTTGTTAACAAGCTACTTTTTCATTAAAAGCCAAATTTTTTGTAACAACTTTCAACTTTGAACCGTTATCCTAAAAAAATATACACTTATAAGGAATGTTGGCTCTGACATGACGTATGTAGTCAAATATGTACAAGTAGTATTGTTAAATTGATCTAAGCATTTAGTTAAAATAATTCCAAATTTACAAACTTGCACCTAAGTATGCACCATAATAAAGACCCACACTAAGATAGACCTATAACTTTATTCGGACTACCTTATTAGACGGAGACCATTACGCAATTTGAAACCTTCCATTTGGATTCATCACGTGTTAAATCAATGTGATCGGTGAATCTGTATTGTCCGATCGTAGAATTATATTGTGGAAGATATCATAGAAGCTACTGATTAGCAAAAAACCAATCGACGAATTTTTATACGAACATTTGGATTATTGGATTGGAAGACTCGCTGTTTTATATGCAACTATTATTTGGAATTGTGTCACACTGATTTGAAATAAGTAAAATCGTAAGTTAATTAAATCTGCATTTGTCAGTATGACAAAAATAATATAACGTATGACCCTCTATACATAAGGCCTTTGCCCAGCGGTGGGACATATATAGGCTGTTACTTTTGTTTACTTGTCACTAGAATTCCGAATCCAAACAAGAATCTATGCAATGGATAAGAAACCTTTAGATTGTATTGAAAGAAATGAAAAATATAAAAATACTTTTCTCTCATTTAGTACTCAAAAGGCCACAAATTTTTCAGCTGCCATTGGTATATAAAAAAAATGTACCATAACCGTGATATGATAAAAAAAATATGGCATTTATGGATTTTATTCCATTACCGTGAGATGCTGTAGATATAAAAATGAATCGCTTACGAAGCCATAACAGAAGTTTATCGAGCAGTTTTCGAGTAAGTACAACAAATTGTTACACATTTATGGTGCCTCTGAACCGAAGCTATAAATTTGAGTACGGCGACACTGGAACAGTATTTAAAATCAATATGTTCAATAGCATTGTTTGTCCGGTCCGTTGCGCAAACAGCGTTCATTGTCGCAGGAGCATCGGGAGAAGGCCATAATAATTGGGGCACATCAGCTATATGGAACGCGCCATGGGTCACGGTCAGCACCCATCCCATCGCACGGGGTGGATGGCTGCGAGGGGAGGGAGAGAGAGGATTTCGTCGAGAATATCATTACTCGGATTTGTAATATTGATCACGTTGTTACTGCGCGGATATTAAACGCCCTTCGGAAACGGACCGCTTCGACGGGACGTGAACTCGACAGAGATGAAACGTCGCCTCCATTAGCTGGTCGATTGCAGCTGGATATAACTGAGACGTTTAAACGAGTTGTGTTTAAAATACATTGTGACAGTTGAGAGTTGTCTGCCCTTATCTTCATTTGAACATAATTAAAAGAACTTAGTCTGTTGCTGAGTTCTAAAAGTCAACATCCAAAAAATTTGCTTCCTCACAAAAAAAATATATTTTCTCAACCACGGATCTTTGGTTTGGGTACAATCAACTTTAAAAGTATTGCAAATCTTTTACACCCTACCCCAGTATTTTTCATATACTGTGACCTTAAATTAGATTTTTTTTGTTCCCTCTTCTTTATATAGCGATGAGTATGAATAACGGGTGGATGGGTCCATTTTCCTTACGGTCAGAAGATTCCGCGTTCGGTTTTTGCACCTGAACGTAATTTTAGTCTTTATGGGAGAGGGAAAATAAAATTGTATTTGTGTAATGTGTCAAATTTCTATGTCCTACTTCTTAAAATAATAATACGATCTGGAATCGAAACTTTAAACATGAGTTTGGATTTTTTTATAATTGAATATATAAAATAACATACAAAATTATCTGAAAGTTCAATAAATTTTAAAGCATTTTTTGCTCCATTTACTCGTATTAACACCACTGCCTAGGTTTGAGCTCGGACTTTTCATGCCTAATGTGCATAAAAGCCAAATCAAATTCGATGAAATTAGTGTTGAAATAGTTTTTGGTATCATCATCATCATCATTTCAGCCTGTTTGAGTCCACTGCTGAACATAGGCCTCCCCGGTCCTTCACTGCTGGCCGTATGAGGAAGCTCAAAGTCGCTCAGCGAGCTATGGAGCGGGCTATGCTCGGTATTTCTCTGCGTGATAGAGTTCGTAACGAAGACATCCGCAGTAGAACCAAGGTAACCGACATAGCTCAGAGGATTAGCAAGCTGAAGTGGCGATGGGCCGGCCATATAGCTCGTAGAACCGATAACCGTTGGGGAAGAAAGGTTCTCGAGTGGCAGCCTCGTACTGGCCATCGCAGTGTAGGACGACCCCCCACTAGATTGTGCAAATGTGAGTCGATGGATGCAGGTGGCTCAGGATCGTACTTCGTGGCAGTCTATGGGGGGAGGCCTATGTTTTTAGTATAACTAGCATTAAACCACGTAGGTGTGAAATTTAAGAAAACATTATTCAAATGTAAATTATTATTTTTTTCAGTTTGCAGATGCCACACGAATAGTTTATTTATGTACATACATATACACTATTTACATGTATATACACGATTTACTCTGCGTATCTTTAAATCTCAATAAGCGATCTAGTCTAAATGAAAAGGTTTTATATCAGATATTTTTTTACTACTGACTATTTGTACTTTTTTGACACGGGCCCTAATCTATTTTTGGTGCCATTTTTTTACCGTTGGTGGGGCCACGCAGCGGCTTTAACTGTTGCACGAATGTGCAAGTTCCCCTGGGGAAGTATCAAGGCCTCCTGAAAAAGACCGGCCTGATGTGAAAATATTATACTTTTGCGTTTGCCTGGTGTGTGAAGTAGCCGGAGCCTACTTTTTAATCAATGCATTTGCAGCCCGTCTGGTATTGTAGGTGTAATGGGCGGCGGTATTCATTTAATCTCAGGTGAACCACCTGCTCGCAAAATTTTCATATAAAAAAGAAAGAAACCTGAGGTATATCTCACAAATTTAAACATTTGCCGATAATACTGATTGGGGATCAGAGGATAATCAGATTTTGTTGACAGTTTCATTGGTTTTCGTTATTTTGCGCGAAACTCAATTTAAAAAAATAAATAAAGGCAGCCTCCATGGCAATGCATGTAACATTATCTATCCGTCAGTGAAGACTGTCATCAATAACAATGTTGTTATTTTGAATAAAGAAACGGGCCCTTGAATTTCATTATTCGTATTGATGAACTTCCTATATATAAGTAAAAGAGGTTCGTATTCTCTTCTTGCTTTCACGTTCCATTTTCATGGGCACAGTTTATTAATGCGCGTCTAAAAATATATTGGAAGCAACTATGCAAATTTCAATGGACATTTTTATTTGGAATTTTCGACCGAACCTCGTCTTCACGGAGAGCACTTGAAATTTTAACGATGAAGCCTCGTTAGACATTTTTCACAAAACTTATAGATTATAGAGCGAAGTCGATGACACCGAATAATTTGGTAATAAATTATTCAAGAAAATTTTATAGATGTTGCATGATTTTTATGTGTTAAAGATAATAAAATTCGATAAGATTATCCCCGTTATTACATGCTTCCGCAGTTATTTTAGATAGCTTGACAATGAACTAGAGTTAATTAAATTTATATATAAAAACGTAAGAAACATATTTACAATTACTAAAATTGAAAAAACAATAACAAAGGTGGCAGTTAATTATACAGATTTATACAGAACAGAATTATACAGATAAAAATTAATTGATACTTTCTGAGTTAAATGTAAGTTTAGCTTTTAAATGTGGGATGAATAATCGTCTAGATGAGAAACATTTAAACTATATAATTTTTTAAACGAAAATGTGGTTGGACCATTGACGTAATACATACTATGTCTTGTATTTTTATATGAGAGTACTTAACAATAAGTAATAGAGATTCTTTTTTCCCTATACACAAACTTAGACGAGAGAAACCGCATTTCCGTATAAAAACTAAGGTAAAATGAAGAGAAGAGCTTTTAGTAAATTACGTTTTGAAGGTCGGGCAAATATGAAAAGAAAAGTTGCGTCATTGTGTGTTATAAATTATGCCTATATCTCTGCATTGCGAATGCGATCATTAAGCAGGAAAAACTAGATTAGCTTTGATTCTTTTTTTTTTTAAACATTGCCCTTACTTTAAGATAACATTATCCTGTGCTGGGGACGTTTTACAAGCATAAATTTCACGTGGACAATCACCCAGATGCGAAACAATTATCTGTGGGTCGCACGAATAGTTGTCCCGTGTGGGAATCGAACCCACGACCCCCTACGCCGAAGCCAATACCACGGCAACTGCGCCACGGAGTCCTCAAACTTGCATGATTTAACTGCGCAAGGCTTTAAAATAAAAAATAAACACTATTTATTTCAGATTTGATCAGTGGTCGCAAATTATGTTGAGCGTTTGATTCCCATAAGGACATAAAAAAAACATGTGTGTGATCCACAAATAGGTTTCCGAGGATAGTTATTTATGAAAAACTAAAATGAATTATTTTCTAGACTTTTAATATAACACCGAATTGAGAATTTGGCGAAGGTTAAACATACTTCACTTTATTTTGTCAAAATATGCTATATATTTTCTTTTTAACTTAGTTTTGGGTGAAAGTTTTAAAAATTCTGATGTTTGAATTGTATCTTTCTTATAAAATTGAATATATTTAAGCTTTAATATACTACGTCCTAACTACCTAGTAAAGTAACGCATTATAAAACTCGGTATTAAAAGATTGTACTGCAATAATTGTTCCAAATGGGTTCAAAAGATTGACGTAAATTTACTATCTATACTATTGTCGATATAAGTCATTTCTTACACGAAAGGGAAATAGTGTGACTATCATAGTGTCTTCAGTGAGAATAGATTGAGTTTAATAATAGTATCGCCTCACTTACTTAATTTTTACTCTTTTACTTGCTTACCTGATTGGCTTTGTTAATTTGTTTCTTAAGTCCCGCGAAAGCCATGGCTGTCCGGGCTGCTTACTGGCGATTTCTTCCTTTCTGATGCAAAACAAAAAAAAAACATTTAATTCATTACCACGCAGTCACTTCCATTGATAATTGTCCTCCTACCGAAACATAATAAAAACTTTTGCTTTAAAATTTTATAGACAAAACATTAAAACAAGATAGATAACAATAAAACCTCTCACGTCTTTGAGCCCTAACGGGGTTAATGCTAACACAGTTAATGCTAGCTACGTTCCAGCGAGCAAACTTTTTCATAAATAAGACAAGACTTTTATTCCATCACCATCTATAAACGTAATACATACAAGTATTGCAACGTATTTAAAAATGTGTGTGTGTATCCGTACGTACCTAAAAAGCAATACTTCTTTGATATAACAAAATAATATTGAACAAGAAGTTAAAACCTTGAAGTAAGTAGGGGACATGAAATTAATACCATTCAGTAAGTCGACAAATCCCTTTCAGTTGAATATAATTTCATGTCTTGACAAAATTGATGTTGGACACATTACTAAAGAGACGTTTATCGACTAACTTCATGGTGTTCATAACGATTAATATGTAAACCATAATGGACTGTGATTTCTTGATATAGTGGACAGCCCCTTCTAGAATAAATAACTTAATGAAAATAGAATGGAATACATTTTAAGAAATCTGTTCTCGAGATGTTTATATCCATTAATCGTACATTAAATATATATACCTGTTAATATATAAATATAATACATACCTTTTAATATATAAATATTAGTGTAATGTCATGTCTTTATATAGTGTGATACAGTACCCGCTAGAATAAATAAATGAATGGGAATGTAATGAAATACACTTTAAATAAATTGTTATCCACACTGGAATCCTTTCAATTTATCCAATTGGATTGCACAAGAATGTAGTCTGTCTATGCACCGAGCATTGTATGGAATTCGCGCGCTATACAATTCGTATATAGTCGAATCGGATTGCAGTAAAAAAATCAAATTTACAAAATTTTATAATTAAGAGAAACCAATAACGCTTACAAAATGATTACTGAAAGAAAGAGGGACCTAACAAGTCAAATACTGAAAGCAACGCACTTAAAGTGTAAATATTATTTTCTGCATACTGAAGTCAAAATTACGTAGGATTTTGCAAGAATTTATGTACAGCTGAAACGGTAAAAATATCAAAAATATAAAGCAAATGGGAACCTGAAATGAAATCGCCGTATCTGGAGCAGTTTCAATGAATGAATGAGCCGTGGGCGAGGCGAGGGTGAATTATGAATAAGAAAGGCAAGTGGCTCCATTAATAGAGGGAAGGGGCAAAGGAGGCTAAAATCGATACGCTATTCACAAAATACCACCGTCTATCAGTTAAAGAAACGATAATGGTCTGGTACATTATTTTTTTTTACCAGTTGAAATGCACGGTGAGCTTCGCCAAGTGGGCGGGGTAGTAGTAGGGGTAGGCTCACAATTAGTTGCATAACGGCCGTGAAGTCGGTGCGCGCATTGATGCAGACGGCGGTTTTATCACCCCGCAAGTTCTGGGACAGCAGGGGCGGACCGGGTTGCCGTTGGCTTGGCAGTTTGCCACAAGGCCGGATCGATAGGTCCGCGGCGGACGTAAGTGACATTATGTAATAGCGCCCCGCTCGGCGGAGATCCGTGTGAGCTAATGACGCGCGATGGTCACCATTGTGAAGCGTTCATCTGGGGGAACGAGTTTTAACGACGGCCGAGGTCACTGTCGTCACAGACGAAGGAATAGGAATGGATCCGATCAGTAAATGATGATTATACCTTGCCGTTTAAAATTGCTTCTTCTACATATAACTAGCAACAATATTATGGTTGTACAATTTAGATATTGACTTAATAGTTAATTATTATAAATTATTATCATTACGTTGATCGATGAGAATCGCTGAACCAATTTTAGATCATGTTAATGTCCTATATATAAATAAATCTATTTTTAAAACGTCCACTGTAAACTTTGAAACATAAAACGAAAAGGTCAGTATAAAAACGCGTTTTAAATTTTTTATCGGGTACTCGGTGGTTCTACCAAATATATTACCTTCTTAGATAATACGTAATGTATTTATTTAGGATTTATTGTCGCGTACATATCTTAACTGAGCTTTAAAGCTATCGTATAAAATTTAACAGAAAAATCAACGAGAATTTATAGAAATTGAGAATTTCAGAAGTCACAACAGTCTTTTCACACGATATATAAAGCATAAGTTTGCAAGGAGAGGCGACTGAGTGTGAAGTTGCCTCAATTTTCAGAGTTAACACCCACACGCGACCTTTTGCTTCGGAAAATATAAAGTGCTTCAACAAATGTATAGCATTTCTGGAAAGCGACACGTAGCATGATTCATATATCATATGATCATCAATCATTTACATAAATACTTCGGTTTAGGTATTTTCCAAATTGTATTGTATGATGTTTTCCTTCTTACCATATCGATATATAAAGGTTAAAAAGACACGTACGGTAAAGAACTTCCATATTTAAAAATAATTTATATATACTAAATTATAGGATTAATAGTATAATTAAATTAGAAAAAAAAAACATTAATCGTCATGCGAATGTAACAAGTTTCGAACAATGAACAATGAGTCGATCAACACGAAATATGGCGCCCCACGTAAATAGGAATAGTGTCATAAAAGATGTAGAATAAATTTATCATGATTTAATTCTAGTATAACTATTGACAGCTAATCAAATGGCGTTTTACCTGACTTTAAAAATGTATAATTAAAACATATAAAACGATATTTAAGTAATGAAATTTCATTGTTTAAATATCGCAATTAACTTTTTAACTGTCAATGGACGCATTGGAATTCCTGAAAAATGTACCTTTCTTGTTTCAATGTCAGAGCCGGATCCTTTGTGCTCACGAGTCACAGTTCACAAGTCGTAGGTCAATTTTAAGTTCACTGTACAGTGCTACGGCGTAGTGGCGGACGCGTAGCACGCAGCTCGGGCGCGACTGACCGACCGTAGCGCTCTACACTGCGCGCGCAACCTCGCCCCTCGCACTACATGGAACCAATATCAATCCACATTTCTCTTACTAATTTAAAATTATTCACAACAACCTATTTGGTACTATTCCCAACCTATTTCTTTGCAATAAAGTATTCCGGTTACTTTATGTAATACGTTACGTTGACGTTTTATGTAATACGTTACGTGCATTTTATGAAATTACTTTAGTGCGTGACATTGCTTTTGTATTTAATTTTAGGAGTCGGGTTATTGATGTTCACCACCCCGTACCTTGGTTAATGCCACATATGTTTTATTAGCGTTCACTGATGCCACAACATATTTGCGTTTTTAAGTAATAGTTATTGATATCCGTAATTTGAAATGGGAATATAATCGAGCAAGAAATAATATATATATTTTTTATATTAATAGAACATAAAAAAATGTAGTATTAAATAATTAACGAACTTGTCTTTGCTTGCAACAAGAGTCTTCTCTAAGAGAATAATGGAGCTTGTTCGGGTCACAGCGATAAAAACACACAATGCGGCGTACATTGTCTTTACTCAAGCTAACTTGGCGCTCGAGGGGTAAATTGCGAAGCACAAACAGTATTCTGGTTTTGTTCCTCGGCAGAGTGCAAGTTTTTTTTTAATTTTATGGTTTAAGGTGGCAAACGAGCGAACAGAATTATAGACCTATTTCTATCGTAAGCAGTGAGTAAAGCGTTTGAGACCCAATAGATTAGCGTTCGAGTCATAATTCACAAATTTATACGCGGCAGAACAACACGGCTTTGTCAAGGGTCGCTCCACTGTTAGCAATCTACGAGAGGCGTTCAATGTATTACATTATATTTATTAATATTTCAATGTATTTTTAAAGTGGTACTGTTCGGGTAAGTACCACGACCTCACAGAAGACCTGCGTGAATGGACGTATTTTATTTCGTCTGGTGAGAGAGGGAGCCAGGGATCACTTAATAGGTGGCAACGCATCTGCAATCCTACGGGTGTTGTAATTGCCAATGGGCACTTAACATCAGGTGAACCGCTTGCTCGCTTGCCACCTTCTCACATAAAAAAGTGTTCACGGTAGAGGCATGAAAATTTGTCATTCTATGTGTCCCCCATCAGGTAATGTAACTTTTCTATACCCTTTAAAAATATTTTTCTTCCTTGTCTGAAAAATGTTCATGAATTGCCGTCTTCATCTCTTCAACGTCGGAAAGATGCTTACTTCGAAATTCTTTCTTGGAGTTGGTAGTCCCAAACATCCACCATGTTTGGGATTTCCTCAAATCTGCATTTTGTGAACCACTTCACTCTTACGAGGGCATCTTCAAGTACGACGTATCGACGTTTTCTTCAGTAGTGGCACTAGCCAGCCCACTTACTCGTCTTCAATACTCTCTCTACCCTGTTGTCCTTCACTAAACCACTTCTTCTTCTTTACGTGTCGATGACAAATCATATCTTCCCAGCCCAGAACCTCTGTACGTGAAGGTATCACGGCATAGTCCACCACGCGGTCACACTGCGGATTGGCGGACTTCACATATCTTCGAAATATATATATATATATATATATATATATATATACAGCGTGTCGTTACCACCGCGACAATAAATGAACACACATATACATGATAACTATTTAAAATTGTAAAACATTTACATTCTTTAAACATCAATATTTACCGAGTTATTAAATATTCTATTATTATATGTTATTAAAACAAAGAATTTTAGAACACCCTTAGGTATAAAAGTGTAACGTAAAGTTCATTTGTAAAGGTCACAAAGCATATGAATGGGTTGAATGAATTTAAAAGAGACAAAACATACTGTTAGAAGGACAGGCTTGTAATGCGACGCTGTGGCACGAGTTGTATAGGATGTTACTAATTTTGTTTCTTTTTTACTTAATTAGTTTGTTTGAAAAATATTTTTTTTTAATTATGGATTTTGTTTTACGTTAAT